GATTCCCCCATCAAAATAATCGATATGATCCCCTTATCTTTATTCATGGTCAAGCTTTCCATTCCACTTGGCTCATCCCACATGCCCAATACTACTTTCGAACTGGCCAACGAAAACCCTTTTAGAATCCCTCTTGGAACACATGCCTGCCCATGCAAACCCTCATGAATTTCCTTCTCAATCCCTCCTAGAAATGCTATGTTGTTGTCAGATTTGCTTATGTGAGTCGTATGTTCAAAGTATTTTTCAATATCTTTCATAATAGGTATTTTTTCAATAATATCAATTTTGACATTTCTTAGTTTATCCTTATCTGTCTGTGTGTTAAGTCGCTTACATTCTTTTAGCAAAATATTATATTCAACAATGTTATCTATAATACTATCAGTGTATAATTCATAGTCTCGGGTATTTATTATCTCTTGAACTGGGCGTAATTTCTTGGTGTCCCCTTTTGCTATTTTATTTTTGATTATTCTGTTCTACAAATTGTTTTATTCTCCAGTATGGGCGGCCCCAACGCACTCTGAGGCACATGATGTGCTATGTTGCCACGCGGCTTGAGGCGCCGTTCTGGTTCTTGGCGGTTTCCTCGCCAAATCCAATCCTCTTGTCAGGACATCATGGCGCAGACCGTGGAGATTCCCGTGCCGCAGGTCCAGGAGCCTTGAGCAGGGGGAGGGGGGGAGGGGGGGGTCTTAAGTTTGGTTCATTTTCCCTTCTTTTTTCCTGCGTTGGTTGGACCAGACAAATGCGGTCTTCCCCTGAAGCAGGCTCCCTTGAGAAGATGATTCTTCTGCCGGGAAAGCCAAAGAACCAAGCAACCTCGAGAAAAACAAAGGACTTAGTTGATGTTTATTTGGTGAGCGTTCAAGGCTTGGAGCTTGTAATCAGTGAGCATGCGAAAGCGGTGCACTTTTGAGCACTTTCCCAGATGCTTAAAGTCTCACCCCGGAATTTGAGGACAGTTCATGGTTTTACAGGTAACAGCAACATAACCTGTAAAGCTCCACTGCCTTTAATGTTGACCTACGATTAGTAAATATGCCATAAATAATGCTAACCGATTTCCCGAAAAATAATAGATTTACAATAAATAATGCTAACCGATTTTCCCCAGGTGAAAAAATATGAAAAGAACACAATTACACCTTCCCCACATGAATGAATGAATCCTCAGTTTCCCAGCTCACAAAAGAACTCTAGAATTCCCATCGGGATCCATGCATCCCCCATGGGATTTGCATGGTTTCATAGTGAATTTTAACAAGGGATCATGCCAGATAAACCTGATTTACCATGGGATTTGCATGCTTTTGGCATCTAATCTTTATTCAGGGTCAGTGCTCCAAACCATCATCCCCATGGGATTTGCATGGTTTCATAGTGAATTTATCCAGGCATCATGCAAGAAAAACATGATTTACCATGGGGTTTGCATGCTTCTGGCACTGTTTTTTATTCAGGTCAGTGCTCCCAACCCTCATCCTTCATGGGATTTGCAAGTGAATTTTTCCAGGGATCATGCCAGAAAAGCCTGATTTACCATGGGATTTGCATGCTTCTGGCACTGTTTTTTATTCAGGTCAGTGCTCCCAACCCTCATCCTTCATGGGATTTGCAAGTGATTTTTTTCCAGGGATCATGCCAGATAAACCTGATTTACCATGGGATTTGCATGCTTCTGGCACTGTTTTTTATTCAGGTCAGTGATTTGCATGATGTTCACATTGACCCTGGCAGCAAGGGTGCCCCCCATGAACCCTGATGCACTAAATAATAACCAGATCATGAATATTGATAACCAGATTCCCCCATCAAAATAATCGATATGATCCCCTTATCTTTATTCATGGTCAAGCTTTCCATTCCACTTGGCTCATCCCACATTTGATTCTAGATTTATCCCAAACCCACAATTTTATGGAATCCCTTTCTTTCAAAATTCCTTTAAACAAATCCATCAAAATCAACTAGGCTTCGTGGCCCGCGGGCCACCTGCGTGCTTCGGCCAGCCCCGGGCCGCCTGAGCTCGCACGGCCGCGCTAACGAGCAGTTTGTCGTACGAAGCTCGCCCCTACCAGCAGTTTCGCAAGACGAAGACAGCGCAGGGCAAAGCTGTGCCTCAGCTCGCACAACCGCACTAACGGGCAGTTTGTTGCACGAAGCTCGCCATCGCAAGAAAAAGACAGCGCAGGGCAAAGCTTCGTGGCCCGCGGGCCACCTGCATGCTTCGGCCAGCCCCGGGCCGCCTCAGCTTGCACAACCGCGCAAACAAGCAGTTTTTGGTACGAAGCTCCGCTGCACAGCCGCACTAACGAGCAGTTTTTTTGCACGAAGCTCGCCCCTGCAAACCGTTTCAGAAGGGATGAGGACTGGTTCGTTGGCATGATGATGTAGTGCTGGGTACACAATGTCAATGACGGGGAGGATGCCCGTCTGCTCGTGTGGGATGTGGGAAGTAGTGAGAATGGCCAGCGGTCCCTCGCTGACAATTTGTCCATCCCGCAAGTAGGGGGTGACATCCTGAACGGAAGCGAAGGCAAGCCCAGTTTGCCCTTTGGCGATGCGCTGGAAGGCAAGTTGCTCAATAGCGGACCCGTCCTCGGCAAGGAAGGATTTGGGTAGGAGGTCCAGGTCGTCAGGGCTGCTTCTGCTGCATCTTGGATGTTCTTCGGATGAGGGTCCAAATCCGACATGGCCGTTGATGTAGTGGTTGGTGCCAAGGATCTCGAAGTGAGCTGAGAGAATGGAGTGGTAGTGGGTAAGGTTGAGGCAGGCCGCAAGCCACAAATGAAGTCGTCCTGCTGATTGAAGCAGGTAACCTGTTGAATTGAGCGACCAAGCTTGAGAAAGATGCCGGATGAGGTTCTGCCCACCATGTAGGGCATGTCCAGGAAGGCCATCGAAGACAACGGCGTGGAGCTGTTGAGAGTCGGCGATGCCAATGAGGGCCCAATGTCCTCTGTAGTTGGTGTCGAGGTCGAGGATGGAAACGGGGTGACCTCCAAGTTCTCCGTGGGCCCGTGCAAGTATGGTGAGGATGGTGGGGCAGACCGAAGTCAACTCAAGGATCCGAACATCCTGCCCGAACTGAAGATCGTTGTAGTACTCCAGCTCCTGATGGTCCAACGCAAGGCAGTCCTCCTCTTCTCAACTCCACATTGGCCAGCTCGATTGTGGTATGCGATGAGGTGCGTGGCCAGGTTGTGAAGGGAGCCAGGTTGAAGTCCTTTGGCACCACCGATCTCGTCTGGCCGGCCATTGGTCGCTCAGGGACAAGGTGGCAAGGAGGCCAGCTCCTCCACACCGTTCTGGATGAAGGGGAAGTTCACCACAGTGGCGACGCACTCCAGAATGAGCGCAGATGACTGCATAAGCCAACAGACTTTGAGTGTGGTTGAAAACGCCGTGACCCGAGTGTCATCGGATCCTTGTCTATCTCCTTGGCGAGAATACGGCTGACATGGCAAGATGCAACGCATGAAGCTGAGCATCATCGCAGATATCACCCAACAGGACGTTGTTGGCCACATTCATCCGTAGGCATTGACAAGCCAGAGGGTTCGAGCCCATGTGGGCAACAGCGCGGATGCCGGCTTGGGATGCTCCGTGGGAGATGCCTCCCAATCTAAAAGTTGTGGATGCTTAAGGGGGGGTGCGGCGCGAAGTGGGAAGTCTCCAAAGGTGTGCCCACAAGCATCTGGTGGATCAGGGTGATCTGAAAGCCATAGAGCGTGACCTGGAGGGAGTCCCTGAAGATGTGCTCAGGCAGCCAAATGACCTGGCCGCTGTGGAGCACCCGCCACCCTCCGAGATGCCCACCAGTCCAGTGAAGGCGCCGCCGGGAACGGCGTTGTCCAACCAGGAGCACGGGGCCATGAGTGCAATCACCGAGCGTCTAGCCGACCCAGTCTCACCACTGGGAGGGGCTCGGGCCGAGACTTCTTTTTACCCAACAAAGCTTGCGGTTTGCAGGCGCGCCAAGCGAGGAGAGCGAAGAGCTGTAGTGAGGTACTGTTGCCAGGGGGGGTTTTGTTGTTAGAATCAGACCACTTTTGGAGGGGCCCCACCCCCCTATAAACAAACAGGGGTTCATTAATATGGGGTCAACATTACAAATTATTTAAGGGTGGGGGGATGGGTGGACGGGGGGTTCCTGGATGTTTCAAGATACTGAAGTGAAATCCATATGTTGTCAGATATTCGACTTTTTGCAGGGGTCTCAGTCCGGTCGGACCAGTAAGTTCTGCGTTCTTTCCAGGGATCCTTGGTTTGAAAGCGATGGTGGAAACGAACGGAAAAGGAAAGAACCTTCCCTTCGCACCCCTTCCCCTGGTTCCAAACAAGGCCCTTGCGGCCTTAGTGGCTCCAGGTTTTGGCCAAGCTGGGTTGAAAGAATGGAGGAATCAACACCATGTTTTCACATGAAGCACCTCTTCGCAAGTGGTTGGACATGAAGCGGGACCCAGCGACTTATGATGTCCACCATTTCGGGTCCCAAGCAAAATTAGATTCGCAGCATTCTGGGCGTGTCTTGTCGGGAAGCCCTGTGAGAAATGGTTTCAACGGGAAGCTGTCGGAACCCCTCGTCTGAACCCGTGGAGCAACAAGCGCAATCCAACCCAAAAGGTTCAGACCAGAGTCCTTGCTTGTTTGCAACGCAATGCGGCTGTGTGTGAAGGATTGTCGGACCCAGAATTAGTTGCGAAGAATATGGGAATTTGTGAAGTATGTGTTAAACAAATATGGTGTTCCTATTGGCTTCCCTTTCAACCGACAAGGCGTACCTGAACACAACATATTTTTTGCCCAGTGGATCCCAGTTCCCCAAATAGTAGGTAGGGGGGGGGGGGCATTTTTAAAGCGTGGCAAGCCCTTGGTTACCTATACATGGATGGCTTGGGGAGGACAAGCCCACTATCTCCGCCCCATGACTCCGCTCCCGCGAATTCGAGCGAATCAGATCCCGGAAGCCCTCGAATCAGACTCTGTCCGAGGACGCCCTGGGCTCGTGGTCCACGGCCATGGCTCTGCCCCTCACCACGACCTCGGAGTTGTTCCCCACCTGGAAGTCCGCCTCTGTGCCGCTGCCCGCCGGGCAGATGGCGCCATGGACCAAAAGTTGAAGAATAGGTTATAATACATATATATATATATATGTATATGTTGTTTCCCCGCTACTGGAAATATATTTTTCCAGGGGGCTTAAGCAAATGGAAGCGACTCGTTTTGCCGATGCGTGAGAGACAGGAGGCCTCTAGATCAGCTCTCCCCGGTCTTCCCGAAGAGCGGTTCGCCACTAGAGTAGTTGCAACCCCATTTAAGCGGAGTTTCCCTTTGGGCGATCCCTCTTGGTGCTTGTTGGTTTTTCATTGGTTGGACATGGGAGAACTTCGGGTCTCTTGCCTAGCTGCTTAGGGGGAGGGCGGTGAGGAGCGAAGTGTCCACATCCGGCCTGTCAGGAGGGAACCTGAAAGGAGCTACCAGAGTTCTGCAAGCACCTGGACCCTCAAACTACCCATATGTTTAGGGCTACAACCAAATTTAAAGGGAATTTTGAAGGGTCCAGGCACATGGAGGTCGCTTTGTTGCCATTGCACCAGAGGTGAAAGAAGGTGGTTGAAGCTTCCCTTTCAAGGGGAAAAAGGAAACACCCCGGGGGATCCAAAGCTCTCAATGACCCCTAGCATCATTGGTTGCCTCAGTTAAGCAACCGTCAGGTTGTTGCCGTCAGGTTGTTGCCGTCAGGTTGTTGCCGTCAGGTTGTTGCCGTCAGGTTGTTGCCGTCAGGTTGTTGCCGTCAGGTTTGTTGCCGTCAGGTTGTTGCCGTCAGGTTGTTGCCGTCAGGTTGTTGCCGTCAGGTTGTTGCCATCGGGCCATTGCCATGTGAGTTCCATTGGTTGTTGCCATTTGTTTGGCAATGCCATGCAAGGCCTCAGATCGAAACGGCCCAGGTGGAATACAAGTTCGTGATTCAGCGAGAAGATCGCCAGGCAGCGGCTCAAAAAAATGAACCAACCAGTCCCTCTAAGAGAAACCAAACGGGCAAGAGAGATGTTCGAACAGCCAGATCCGGGCCCCTTTGAAGCGGACAAAGGATTGTTTGAATGGGTTTGTCTGCGTTCGTCTCCAAAATTGAACCGGTGGATAGGGTGGTGTTCCTTTGTTTTCCTATGAAAACAACCCTAAAATGAGAAACCTCAAAGCAAACGCTCCCAAATTGTTATATAGTTCCCATTCCTGAAAAAGACACAAGGGCCCGTTCGCCGTCAGGGCAATCCGCAGTGGCAATCCTTCCAGGGCAACTACCGGGTGACGCCAGAGGCTGGCAAGGTCATCGAAGCTTGGCTACGACCGAAGTCGCCTTTACGCTGGGTTTTTCCGACAATCTCATCAAAAGTTCAGCTGGTTTTCGGAGGGGGTTAGCCTTTCAACTCGTTTGGAACTTATCAATCACCAGCAGTCTAACAAACAAACAACTATTGGCCTCCTGAGGATATAAAGACAGCTGGAGCAGTCAGACAGTTCAGTTTCCAAGCTAGCACCGCCACTAGCCGTCTAGCCTGATACCCACTGTCAAAAAAACAAAACAAAAAAAACGCGGCCAGGTCCCCAGTAGTGCCCTTCTCTCCCCTTTTTTGGGGAAGGGTTCCCCTACTAAAATAGACAGGAAAAAGAAACGGTACCCTTCAAACCTGTCTACTGGAGGACCCAGTGGGATCGTTTTGCCTCTCGCTTGGGTTCGGCGAAGGAAGCCTTGTCCTCCTGGGAGAAGGCCACGGTGGAGATCACCAGCTCGGAAGACTTGGGTGAGAAGAAGCCGCTGAGGCCGCGATCCCTCACGAACCAGGACCCACCTGGGTGGCAGACGTGTCCTCTTGTTTGGCTAGAACATGGATGGGCACGCCACTGGTTTGGCTGGGTTTTATGGGGAAGCCATCAATTTCTCCAAGAGGCCACCTATGGCTGGGCGTGTTTGCCCGGAAAACGGTTTGGATGTGGCGTTTGTTGTGGATCCACCTCTGTAGGATATTAAAAAAGTACAAAAAAGGACCAGGCGAAGAGCAGGTGAAATCCGCAAAAATAAAATTCCAAACCGTTGTCTAGAGTTTTGTCTTCCGTGCGCGTGCTTGGAAGAACATTCCAAGGACAGGGCTTGAAGACATCACAACTCTACCATTGCAACTGATCCGGCTCCGGCAAAGGGCGGGGTTGGATGCTGATTTGGGCGTGTCTGTTTTTGGTACCCCAAACATGTTTTGTTTCCTGTTCGTTTCCCATTAAAACCACCAAAAAAGGTACTTGTGAAGTAGGCGGTTGTATGTATCCTTTAGCCCTGAATGGATCTGTTGTCCTTGGACATTCCTGGTACTCCCGAATTGGCTTGTGACCCCTCTCGAGACGGGGTAAACCGAATCGGCTTGTGACCCTTTGGGGTGTCAGGGTTCCTTTTTCGTGTACACGGAAAGGACGGGTTTCTTCGAAACCAGGGCTCTACCCTGGCAACTGGAAGCACCGAGTTGTTCATGAACTTTTGAAGAACCCAAAAAAAGCAAGCAAGGCGAAGCGACTGGTGTTCCCCTGTAGATTCTAGGTACGGCAAGACCTGGCTGTGGGTCAGAACCAATGGTACCATTCTGGTTGGTAGGTGCACCACCCATTTTTGTCTATTTTAGTGGGGACGGGGATGTTCACTGCGGGTACGATTCGGATTTTGACCCATGGCCATATAGAACCGAAGGAACATCCCGCCCCCAAATTATATAATGAACGCCCATGACACCATCCTTCCCAGAGGAAAAGGCTGCGGCATCTGCAGCGGCCAAGCACGAGAAGGAGGAGATCGGGTGGCAAATTGGGTTTCAACGCTTAGACACGCATCCTTTATTTACGGGAAACCAACAGGAGGTTGTTTCAGAAGCTAGTGCTTAGTTTTATGCTCGAAAGAGGGTGAATTGTGCAGTCCTATCATGAGGATGTTTGAACATTATTTTTTGGCCGAGGAAGTCCCAGAGCTGAACCCAGGAAAGAACCGCCAAACCGTCAAGCCCCCCAATGTCCCCAATGTGGCCGCTCCCGAAAAGCCGAAAAGGGGCCAACATCAGCTCTAAAAGGTGTCTGGGGGCCAACATAAACCCTTAAAAGCGTTTGTGGGCCCAACATAAACCCTAAGACGTGTTGGTGGGGCCAGCATAAACCCTAAACAGAGTTGGGGGTGGGCGAACCTCGGGGTTGGCGCCAACATGTTTAAGCAAAGTGGCCAACCCAAGATTGCTTTTAGCCCCGTATTTCAACAAGAGCCGAGCCGCAGGGGCTCATAACATGCTTAAGCAAGGGCTTGACTCCCACCAAAACACATGTTTTTTTTTGTTTGTCTTTTTTCTTTCCGCTTTTTTAATAGAGGTCCAGTCCCGCGTTGAAACAAGGGCAACCAACCCTTTCAAACGAGCGCTGGCCGCTTGTCCAACTCATCCGGGTTTGCACCGCGGCGCCACAAACCCAAAGTTTGGACCGAACAGTCCCTTCACGGAGATGATTTCAAAGAGTTGTGCCGTTTGGGTCTTCGTTCTTTTTTGAGGAAAAAGGAAACCACATTTGCATTTTCCGGTTTTTTCTTGGGGGGGGGAGGGGCCGGGTCCGATTTTGGGACAACACAGATCTAGTTTCACCCAACTGTAGAGGGCCAGCCCTGGTGTTTATTAGCCCTGTTTATGTTTACCCTTTCTAAGTGCCCGTTCGGTTGGCAACCATGGGTACTAACCGCTTCCCCCAAGAGTCCTGCCTAGAGGGCTCCCTATATTTCCTGTTTTAAAACCGCCCTTCAACGTGAAATTTGGAGAGGCCCCAAGAAAATGGTGGCTTTCTGTTTTCCTGTTGATTTTCCTTATAAACACGACCTGAAAAGGGTACTTCAAAAAACAGACCAAGGGACGGCCAAACAAAGTCAACAACTGTGGATGGGCAATATCCTGCACCACCTAAGAAACCCTGGATTGATGATTCCCATGTATACACCAAAAAACAATGGTTTCTCTTGGTTTCAAAGTGGTGCGAACCGATCTCGTCCATCCACAGTATGTCCTTGCAGACCTCTTAGCCCAAAAGGCGTTTTTTAGTCAACTTTGAATCGAATGCCAGCCCCCTCAGCTAGTCAAAACAAGAAGGCCAAACTGATCCCCCAATGTCCAATCAACTTGGTGATTCCCAGCCGTCCCCTTAGGTGTTTTCATGTTTTTTAGGTGTTTAGGGTTTCGGGTGTGTGTGCATTTGACCAACACTTTTAGTAAAGCTTTTAGCGGGGGATCTGAGGCTAGACCGGTCAAACACCTAGTCAACCTAAGCCCAGTGCTTCCGGTACCATTATAGTAGGTAAACCTGCCTGTAGCTATGGAAGCACTGGGAAGGCAACGCCTTAAACAAAAACCCTGGAAGGATTCGATTCCCCCTGCAAATACCCACAATCAATGGTCCATCCGCAGTAGTCAATCTGAGGGCAAGCCTCAAAACAGGGACCCAGCGGGGGTGGGGGTGGAGTCTCCACGACGCTTTCAAAATGGGTCAACGACCCCATTTTTTTGGATGAGCCCATTTTCCAAGGGTCATGGAGACTCCAGGTAGTGGTAGCTATGGAAGCACCGGGCAGGGTGGCCCTTCGGCTTCCTTAGCTTTAGGTTTCGCATGATGGTTGTCCCTGGTCGCCAAAAGTGGCAAAACGCCTGGAAGCACTGAAAAGGGGAAGCCTTAAAAACAGGTACCGGGGGGTGGCCCTAATAATGGTAGGTAACCCTTCCACATGATGGTTTCCCCGGGTTAATTACCTATAGTGATAACCATGGAAGCACTGGGAGGGTGGCCCAACCTGTGGGTAAGCCTCCAAAGAGGGACCAAGGGGGGTGGGTTCGGAGGAGATCTTGCTGAAGATGGCGGAGAGTTCCGTGGACAAGGCCCAAGCTGAGGTCACCTCCGAGTGCCCGCTGGCGGTGACCTTGCAGGATCGGCCTATGAGCAGAAGGAGCCGGCGAGACGAATGCGTGCCTCAAAAAAGGGGGATCACCATTTTGTCGTAATGTCCAACTTCTCACTTCCCGAGTTCCTGAACTTTGAAGCTTTTTGGGAAGACCATGTACAGTGGTAAACAAACAGTTTGGACTTGTTTGGGCCTTTTTTCGGCCCACCCGCTCGGGAAGTGAGACTTTGGTTGCGTTTAAACCAAGCCCAAATCGGGGACCGAGCCCCAGTTGTGTTTTGGGTGGTCGAGCCAAGGGCTCCCCTTTGAAATTGGTGTGTTTAATCAACTTGGATTTGTGTTTAGGGAAATTCTGGGACAAGAGTCGGGGCTGTGTGTGTGTAGTTTCCGAGACACCAGTCGATGTTGCAGCCAAGAAGCCGCAAGCGAAAGATGCCCAGAAGAAGGAAGGTGGGTGCCAAATAGACCCTAAGCATTCATACAGATCCCCTTCTTGGGGCATGCTTAAAAGCGAAAGAAAGGGCAAAACAGGTTTGAAAGAGTTTTCATGGTTGGACAACTCGGGTGAAAATGCATGTTCTTTTGTGTGGGAATGATTCCCATTTTCCCTTGGAGCTTTTTTCCGGCGCTCGGTATTTCTACTGCAGGTAGGTTTCGGGTTGAGGCAAGTCCCTGAGACCCGCGGCTTGCCATGGAAGACCCGCCAGCGAGGTGGTTTGGATCAAATCCCCAAATCCAAACCAGCCCAAACCACCAATTAAGGGACACCTGAACCCTTGACGACCCAAACAGCCCCCCGTTGGTTTGATAAAGACTTGTAAGATGGTGTGTGTTTTAGTTTGGGGCAGGGGTGGGGTCCATTCATGTATGGTGTTTTTTTGTAGGAGTTCTCCAATTGCTCTTCGTGTTGCTCACCTTCACCCCACAATCTAGAATCTAGACGGTAATTTTGTGAGTGTTGCTAACCTTCCCCACAATTAGCTCCTTTTTTTTTGCCTTTTTGGGATCCCTTTGTTTTCCTCATCAGTTACTGTAGATCCCAGCCTAGTAACTTCATTGGACTTTTTTGCTGTCCAGAACGACCACGGAAGGAACTTCTCCCAGAGCTTGTTCCTGGATGATGAGAACGTAGGTGAGGCAGAGGGCGACGGCAAAACGCCGAAGGCCGCGGACGCCAAAACGCCGAAGGCCGCGGACGCCAAAACGCCCAAAGCCGCGGACGACAAAACGCCCAAGGCGGAGTCCAAAACGCCCAAGTCGGCAGAAGCCTCCGGAGATGTCGTCATCTCACAGATCCCCATGGATGAGGCGGAAGTGCCCTTGCAAGACGAGGATGAGTCCCCCTCGCGGAGAGGCGGGTTGGTTCATCCCCTTGCTTGTGGTTTGAAGCAACAGTTCAAGCAAAATCCTTGTGGGTTCCGTTTAAAGGGGGCCAATGTTTGCCAAACCCTGATTCAACCCCCAGCAAGGGCTATGAGGGAAGGTTTGGTGGTTTTCGTTTGAAGGAATCTGACCTTGAGTTGCCCATTGTTGACGCAACCTCCTTCGGCGTCCCGTTAGAGAACATCCTAAACCATTCTCGACTGATACCGTGGATGGACAGGTGGAGGATTTCGTCCATCCAGAGTAGGTTACTTTGTAATTTGTCGTTTCGATTGGCGGTTTGGATGTGGATTTGAGCAAATGGGAACCCAGAACCGGAACACCTCCAAACCACCCATCCAAATCACTACTCAGTCCCTGAGTTCCGGAGACTTGATACTTGTTGGGACGGCCACTTTGGTCTTGGTGGTTCCCAGCCATAGGTTTCAGGTTTAGTGGTTGGGTTTCCATTGAACCCACCCAAATTAAACTTTAAGCAGGGGATCTGAGGACAGCCTGGCAGTGGCAAGTGAAGAAACCAGTTTGGACATCTTTTGGCCAAGCCACAAAAGTGAGACTTGGGAGCCGTCCGAACTTCATTATGTACCACGGCTGGGTTGTCAAAGCTGAAAAAGTGACCAACTTTGAGCTCAAATGGACACCCAACCACCAAACACTAAAAGGCGCAAAAAAGCTATGGCACTGGATGGCTGGGAGCCACCACGACAAGCGAAGGAAGAACACCCAATCGCTACGTCCACGAGTCCGTCACACAAAATCCACGCACGGACCACGCGCCCGCGCGCGCGCGAAGAAGCCGGTGGCGAGGCGTGTCCCTGAAGCACGTCTCGAGCTTCGCGGCCTTGGCCGAGGAGACGCCTCCCGAGGTCAAAGCGGAGCACCGCAAGGGGAAGAAGGCGACTTGGGCGGATGTAGTTCGGTGGGTCGCCCAGCCAGTTGGGTGCGGCTATTGACCAGAAAAACCCAAAGGTTCTTGGAATATGTGTAAAGGGAAACCCAAAGGAGGTGGCTCTAGGGATCGCTGTCAAGGGCTTTTAAGGGAAGCCCAAAGGAGGTTTCTGCAACTCTGTAAAGGGAAGCCCAAACGAGGTTGTTGCAACCATGGGTGTGTGGGGCGAATTCCGCACTTCGGGCCAGGTTTGGTCGCCTCACAAGAACCCAAAGGAGGTTGTTGAAACAATCGCCGAAACACCCATCCTTCAAGGGAAAACCATCCACCGGTCCAATTTCTTTGAAGAGAAACCAGCAGTTCCCTTATAAGTTCTCTGGGGCGGTTAAATCAGGGTTGGCTGCAAAACATGTGGGGGTTGATCAAAATGTCCTGAACATGGGATGATCATTGCCCCCAAACCACCAAGAAAGATGATCTTCCCCACGAAATTGGACAAGTTACCAAGCCACCAAGAGCGATGATAGTTGCGAAATTGGACAAGTTGCCCATGGTCGAAACTGGGGGCCGTTTTTTACGGCATATGGCTCAACCCCCAAGCACAAGTTGCTCCAATCCCCCAAGCACAGCGGCTGGCTGGGCCCGTTTCGGTCAGGAAGCCTCGGAGGTGGTTGACGCCAAATTGGTTTGACTTGCATTGCGAGGCAACCGCAATTAGTGGCTTTTCGGATTTTGAAAGGCTCCCTAACTGGGCATGGTTGAAAGGGAAACACTTCCCATGGCCACCAAGTTGTTCCCTTGGTTACCTAGGGAACTGAATCGAACATCACTGGCTGAAGGGTTCAAACAAGCAACAACGAGGTGGCGCAGTCCCACTACGACGCCTTCAACATCAACGTCCCGGTGATCGTGGTCACCAGCGAAGTGGCACCCTTCTCAAAGACAGGATCGGACGTGGGGGGCGCTCGCTCGATGCAATCGAGCCGTTGGCTTTTTTTCTTCAGGGCGCAAGCAGTTGCGGTTGCCCCCCGGAAATTCCCGGGCAAGCCCTGTCAAATTGAGGCAGGCCACCATTAAAATAGTTGTTGGGTTCATTTTAACCACAATGATTTACTTAAAGAGTTTGCGGACACGAGCGAAAGGAATCAGCTGGAATCGATGGCGGTCAAATGGCCCCCAACAAATCGCAGTTCCAACGGCCGCCACTTGACAGCCATTTGATAGCTATTGCGGAGTCCTGACTGAAGGTTTTTTGGTGATCCAACTCTTATTTGGCAGTCGGCCAAAAATTGGGTAAATGGAACCAAGGACTACCTGTGGCCCAATTCCTGGTGGTCTGGCCCACTCTCTGCATATGTTTCATTCCAGAAAAAATATCGTATGGAGGGCCATGTCCTTTCCCATAGCCCTTGAGCAGGGGCCCATCTCGATTCCCCTGTTTTGTTTCTGTTCAAGCATCACCTTCAAAGGCCCCTTTCAGGTAAGTTTCCTTTCCAAACCCACAAGGGTTGAGACTTACATGGTTTTAGCTTGGTTTCGACTCCAGCCGCTCGTTTTTCGGCAGTTTCCTTCAGTTTCCCGCCGCCGCCACATTACCAGCCACAAAAAGGCTCATGAACTCGTTGCAGACCCCCGGGCCCTATGAAGACCCCCGACTTGGGTGTTCAACCCACTTGGTAAGTGGGCTACAATGGTTGCGAGATCGGGGGTTGACCGATTTATAGCCATGGTAGCCTACTTGCTAAGGTTGAACATGCCAAGGTTCTATAAAACCTTCTAAGACCCCCAAGTAGGTGAACCATGGTTTTAACCCACTTGCCGAGGTTGAACTTCCAAGTCCCCCCAAAAGTTCTATCAACCCAAGTACCCCCCCCCCTCCCTAAGGTTCAACCGGATGAACATCCGTTTCGGTCGCCCCACTAATGTCTAAGAAACCTACTTATATAGACGGTCTGGGACGAATCGCTAGATGGTCAGTAGCCCTGATCTTGGGGGACTTACAACCATGGCCTTGGTGGCTTACCAGGGCAAAGCTGCCCACTTGGCGATTCCCAGACCATCCAAGCACCGAATGTCCAGCTCGTCAGCGGGCGTCAGCCGGATGCCATCGATCCGGCGAGGGGGTCTTGGCATGGTGGCGGCCTCCTACGCCTTCGAATTCGCCAGGCCTTCCGGTAGTCCGGAGGTCGGGGCCAGACTCTGGGGTCTGGGGGTTGTCAAAGTCAGAAAACGGATTCGGTTGTTTCCCTTCAACCCATCACTGAACGGGGGTGACTTTGATCATGGTAAAATAATGAGGCCAGAGACTTCCCTTTTTGGTTCCCGGGTCTGGGGCAAGAATCGGGTACCCCCAGAATGGGTTGCCCGCTGGTTCGTTCTTTTCAAAAACCGTCCGTTGTTTCCCTGGTTTTTGCTGGTTTCCTGAGAAGAAGGATCCCTGGAAAGAATGGGGAAGGTACCCCTAGAATAACCCCAAAATGGGTGACCCCTTGGTTCTAAGTATATTTTTTTTTTGGTTAGGATATGGCGGTCGTGGTGACAAATCGGGGAACCCCAAAATGGAACCCTGCTAACTGGAAACCGGGACAATTCCTGCCTGGTGGTGTCATTTTGACCCATTCCCATATTTGGGTGGCCCGTTTTTCGTTTTTTCAAAGGACCCAGGGGGCGGTACCCAGTGCTTCCGGGGAAGCCACTATAGTAGGTAAGCTGGGGAAGCCATCATGTGAAACCTAAAGGCCTAAAGGCAGGAAGCCTGGTTACCTACTAGAATGGTAACTGGAAGCACTGGGGTAGATATCAGTCGTGATGGGGTTTGTGTTTTCTTCTACAAACTGGAGTGTGTGTGTGTGTGTGTGTGTGTGTGTGTGTGTGTGTGTGTGTGTGTGTGTGCGTGAGAGAGAATTGTTGTACTTGTCGGACTCAGGTTTCTGTGTGTGTGTGTGTGCATTGCTTTGCGCAAATTGGGTAGGGCTCCATTTTCGAGCCACAGCCAACTAGCATGTTTGCCGTGTTTCGCCCTTTAGGGCTTCCTTGATTTTCCCTTTGAACCAGCAAACAAGTATCTTGCTGCCACACTGAACTCCCCATTTGTCCTTCTGCCTCTTCAGGTTTCCTCTTTTCCCTTTTCACCGACTTTGGGGGGTTCTTCCAAAGTTTGGAGGAACGGTCATCGCACCATGGTGATTGCGCCGAAGTACAAGCACTATGATGGCCTGAGCTACCTCGGGGAGACGCGTGTTCGCGTGGACGACCGTGAGGAGCTGGTGAAGTACTTCTACCTCCGGAAGGATTATGGCGGTGGCCAGGGCACAGACTTCCTCTTTGTGGACGGCCCCGGCATTGAAAGGCCATGGAAAAGCGAACCCCAAGAAAGGGCACCAAGCCCGCAGGGTTCGGAATCTAAAAGTCCAAGCGGATGGGGCTTCTTGGGCCTGAAGTGCCCCTTTGATTTATGGGGGCCTTTGGCAATAGAGTCAAACCTGCTAAAAGTGATCTTAAACCAATCCTAAACAGTCAAACCAATCCTACAAATTGCTCACGACCAAGATCCTAAGCCAATTGAGCAATAGATCCTAACCCAATCCTAAACCCCAGCCCAAACCCAACCTCACCACCCCACCACCCTCGCCCTAAGCCCGGCAACCTCAGGGACGGGGGCCTCTACAACGACAACGACGGCCGCGAATACCCCGACAACCTCCGGCGATTCACGTTGCTGTCCCTGGCGGCGATGGAGGCACCACTCATCTTGGACATCAACGGTCAGGGCAGGCGTGGCATGCAAAAGTCTTGAAATGGCTGTGGCTCAAAAAACTGGTACCAGAATCAAACCCTGGTAAGTGGAAACAAAGGCCAAAACCTGCGGTTTGCCCCTCCCGTTTAATTTTGAGCCACACCCAAATGACAACCAGACCTGAGGGCGTCTTTTTTGTGGCCCCCCCCCCCCCACCCCCCCCCCCCCCAAGTGCGTGGTTTCGTTTCGGTGTCCCTTTAACGCCATCCGAAAAGGGGGCACGGCCAAAAACACGATGCCTATTTCGGCCATCCAAAGGCTTCTTTTGGACATCCAAAGGCCTCTTTTGAACGTGCTGGTTGTTGAAACAACGATTGTTCAAAAGAGCGTTCACTCCAAAGGAGCTTGTAACAACCAGTTTCAAACCATGGATTGATTCAGCAGAAGGAACCAACCGCCCTGGAGCATTCACGGGGAACCAGCTGGATGTTGTTGAAAGAATCGGAGTTTCGCCTCATGGGCCCTGACTCGCACCAGATATGGGGACAAAGTGACCTTCTTAGCCAACGACTGGCAAGCGGGGCTGGTGCCCCTCTACATGTGCTACAAGTACCGCAAGAACGATGTCTACTCCCAGGCTTGAGCGCTACACGTACGTTTCAACATAAGCGAGTAAGCCCCTCTCGCCTGGTTTCCGTTGTTTTCCCTTTAAGCCACCCCAAATAGGGTTCGCTCAAAAAGAGACAATCATATTGATTTAACCCTGCTGTTAATGCAGAACGTTGGATAGTCACCCTCCCACCAAGAGGATGTCCCACGGTCAATATGCCAAGCGGACAGGGGAGAGAGAATTGGCACTTGGACTGCCAAGAATTGGCACTTGGACGTTTTCTGATGTTTCACGGTTTCAACACTCCAATCCTGGCTCCGCGACCAGCAAAGGGTGCCCAATCCAAATTTTCGACAGCCGACTTGTCGTCACTGGGCACCGCGCAAGAAAACGCCAGGCCCCCACTGGTGTGTGTGATTCGCGCCGGTGTTCCATGAACCTTCAACAGAAAAAAAGGGTCTAGATCCCCGAGCCACCGAAGCCGGCGTATCCACGGCTTCTCTTTTGTGGGGGCTTGCTGCGAGCCCCAAAAGCGGGGGGTTTCCCAAGCAAGCAAAGGAACCACTCAGCAACTGGCCTGAGAAGCACCTTGACATGTGCCCAAGGAAATGAGAAGCCCTCAAAATGGGTGTTGCTCTGGCTTGCCTGTGGTTTCCCTCTAGTTTCTGGAAACCATCCCAAAGGGGTAGCAGCTCCAACCAAACGCCCAGAGGGTTCTGATCCTTGTGACACATCAATTTCGCCTCTTGCGCATTGGGCTTACGCACGCCGTAGAAGAGAGGGTTCCCTTTTTGGGGCTCCTTCTTCCGTACGGTGGAGGGATAACTTCCGTTCGCGCCGCTTTAAACCATGGAAGCCATTGCTTGTTGGTATTTTACCAGGAATCAAATCAGAACCCAGGGTTTCTCAGGTGGCGCGATTTCTGGATTTCGATTTCGACCATCCACAGTGTGCCTCAGCCGCAATGAGCCGCACGTGTTGAGCTTCAGGCGCGGGTTATCTACGTGATCCACAACTTGGGGTACCAGGGCATGTACCACGGCTACAACGCCTGCAAGTTCTTCGGCATCGACCAGAAGGCCGGGGGTGTTCAGCCGTTTTGCGGTGATGCAAAATAGCACCTGTTGGTGGCGTTTTTCGTCGTTTTTGGTCAGACAGGCATCCAACATGCTTGGGTGATTTCAACATCACCTTTTCTTCCCACGGCGGTTTCCAGCCGTCCGGTTCATTAGTTTTGTTCAGGTTTTTAAAGTTGGTTTAGTGGTTGGTATTCCTATTTAATCCGCAAGTTAGTCACGGAGAGCCCCGTTCCAAAAGCTCGAATTTCACAATCTCTCCCCAAATAGCTCCCCCCCCTTTCTTCTTTTTTTAAACAAAAAAAATTGGGGTCCCCTTTGTTTTCCACTAACCAGGCCAGAAATATAGTTGTTTTATTCATATTTTAATACCGGGTTTGGATTGTGACTCAAATTTGAGATTCCCAGTGGAACCGCCGGGTTTTCGTTTCGGTGTTCGCTTCTTCGATGCGACAGGCTGCCTCGGATCTGGGGCTCGGGGACTGCGTGAACCTGAGCAAGGGCGCGCTGATCTGCACGGACCGGGCGAGCGGGCGAGCGGAAGGGGTGGCAGGGGAGGGGGGGCTGGGGGGGAGGGGGCTGGGGGGGAGGGGACTGGGGGGGAGGGGGGCATTTGGGGTTTGATCAAAAGGTCAAGTGAGTCAATTGCTCAAAACGCGGGGAAGTGGAGGGAAGGGACAATCCCAACCAGAAATGGTTGCGGATATCCGCCTTCTTAACTCTTTACATGGTTGTGGGTGAACCATTTTTGTACCGGGTTTTGATTATGACTCAAGTATGGGTGGTTGTTAAGTGTTTGGCCCGTTCAGGATCCTTTGAGGCCGAAAGAAGCCTACCTGTCTTAGACTTTGGGTCCAAATCTGCTCATGAGACTTGTGGGTTTGATCCATGGGGTGGCCATTTGGGAAAGCACCAAATGACTTTCACCATGTGGGACAAGTTGCCCATGGTCATTTTGGAGCCAAACGGAATATGGATCAGCCCCCATGTCTGTTTCAATGTTTGGGGATGCTTTTGGCTTCCCGGTCAAACACCGAAACAAGGCGGTACCCCCCAAACGCATTTCAGCGTTTCCCTTTTGGCTTTCTTTCAAAGTCCAACCCCAAAAGAGGCCAGCGTGTCGAACCTCAAATTTGGCTACGGCCAGCTCCTCGGCGGCCAGAACAAACTCGTGATTCAGGAATTCTTTGCTTAAGAATCCCTTGATTCATTTGGAATGATTTAAACGGACCACTTGTTTGGTTTCAGCACTGTTTTAGGTTGGACAGACGAATCACAATAGTGGAGGACGAGAAGGAGGGACCGACCCCAAAGTAGCCCAGGGGTTAAGTCCGCACCGACCAATTTGATTTACATGCCTTGGCATTCCGCGTGTAAAATTAGGTGCCGGGCTACACAAGCTTCAGTACTTATGTCCAGTTTGGTATGCATTTCACCCCGGGACCTTTTGGAGGACATCATTCACAAAGGAATGTACGAACGTGCGTCCACCAGCTGTCATGAAAGGTGCTTCCTGCACACTTACACTCCCGAAAGCCAAGCATGGAAATCAGAGTTTTTGGAGGAAGGTGGTCCAAACCGGTGGCTCCCTTGATTCCGGGCGTTTGATCTTTGGACCGTTTCCCGGACTCGCTTTCTCTTACTCCACTTCGGGGATCCCCTTGTGAAGTAAGCCTGGATGGGAACTGTCCAATCCATCAGAGGTGGGCAAAGGGGTGGTGAAAAAATCTAGGGGCCTTCCTTATCCCCTTTCAGTGGGCGGCCCAAAAGCGGCGGGGATCACGGTGAGGACCGGGTCATCACGGTGAGCCCCAACTACGCGCGGGAGATCCAGACGCCCTCCGGCGGCTTCAGCTTGCAGGATTTCGTGTCCGCCAAGGCGAGGGGAAATTTCGGAAAAAAAGCCGCGCGCCAGGGCGGCTGAAAGGATACATGTGCCATGGTCCAAAGACAGGTGCCAACTTGGGGTGAACAGGGGTGCTGAAAGGATATATATATATATATGCTTCATATACGGGTGTGGCTCAAAATTCAAGAGCTAGGGCAAACCGCAGGTTTTTGTCTTTGGTTCCATTTACCAAGGGGGCCATTATATGTGCTTCCATTTGTTTAAGAATATGTGTGATTTTCCCCTGTTGGTTGTAGAAGGAATCGATCACTACTGGACATATATTTTTTCCGCAGGGGGCTTAAGCAAATGGAAGTGTGCCATGGTCCGAAGACTGGTTCCAGGGGTCATTCGCCTAGTGAGGTTCTGCAGTACCCGTTTGATCAAGTTTCCTTGGTTCATCCTTTTTTGGTTCGGGACATGGGAGAACTCACGAACAAGTTCAAACACAAAGCGCATAATTATATATATATATAATATTATAGGTATAATATGATATATATATATATATACACACATGCTGTGGACACCTAACAAACGCTGGATTTTTTATGATTCCCCTGCAAATATTAGCAAACACTGGTTTCAATCATGGTTTCAAATTGCATCATGTCGTCCATCCGCCGTATGCCATTGTTCTGTTGTGCCACGGTGTTCCTTTGGCCAGGCGCCGCCTTGAATCCGTCGGGTGGAAAAGTTAGCTTGCCTATGGAAGCTGTGATCTGGTGAAGCTGCGAACCTGCAGCCCTCCATAAGCCAAGTGTGTCCTACTTTGACAGGTCTTTGAGGGAGCCCCTTTAAAGAATGAGTGATTGCGAAGGTCCCAGTGGCAGTGTGCATGGCCAGAATCCACTTTGCACCAGCTAGGTGGTTTACCACCAGTATTCAGGGTTGCATCCCGCTAGATTGAGTATGAAACATAAACCACAAACATGATATCTGTGCACCCGAGAAGTGGGCTAAGAACTGCTTGGGTCTCCCTTAATTGGTGGTTTGGATTGGTGGTTTGGATCTGGATTTGGCGCCCTTCCCTTTGGCGGTAGATGGGGTGTCCCCCTCCGTTTCAGCACCAAACCACCAAATCGGGAAGTGGACCGCATTTGTTTGAGTGCATGCTTCCATTTGCCAGCTCTTGCGCCATTTGGGGGTTGCCCTGCCTATTTGTAACCACAGCCAAGTGGGCCAAGATTTCCGGGATTCCATGGCTCCACCGAATTTTCCACAGGCGGCGTCTTTGCGTTTAGCCGGGATCCTCAACGGCATCGACGACTGCTGGGACCCCATGGAGGACCATCCAATCCGATTGCATCGCATCTCGTTTGCGCGCACCCTCAAAAACCCGGTTCGCTTCACCCAAAGGGGCGGGTCCTTCCTTGCCCCATACATTTTCGCGTTGGGGAATATGTGCGTCTTGGTTTCTTGGGCAAACCCTCAATGTATAGGGTTGCTTTGAAGGGACATCAAAGAAACGCCGAAGCCCAGCCGAAGGGGTGGGTCCAAATCCATTGTATTTGCCTCGAAGCCATACCGGCAAGTTGTCGGAAGAGACAAAATCAGGTTCCCCTACCTCCTCAGACAGGTTCCCAGAGCCGAATGTTCTAAGCACCTTGGCTGGATGAAAGACCATTGCTTTTTGGTTTTCTATGCAAGAGCAGGGCCAAAGGCCTTACCTTTGTAACCAGTTTCGGCTCGGTCAAGAGATCGAGTACTTCGTCCATTCGGGAGGGGCAGGTTTCCACAGGGGAATCTCCGGCCATATGAGCAGCTAGCTGACATGTTGCATCCAGGTTCGGGGGTGCACCAAACATCATGCGGCTAATTTCTGGTCATGGACTTGAGGGAGACAAGGATTGCAAGGGTTCAAGCCTTGGTTGCGTTCACAGGAGAGGATACCCCTTAAACTCCAAATGAGACGGAATCAAAACCTAGACGAAGGTTCATTGAAGGCAGCCCCAGCCAGCATGGGTTTTGGTCGACCACTTTACCGGGTCTTGATTGCGACTCACCTTACAGGTAGAGGGGGACACAGAATCCTGTTGCCGCCCATACAGAAGCAACCCGAAACGTGACCATGTTTGGGTTATTTGCCCATGTCTGAGTGCATCAGGGCTCATGTACTGGCTGCCAATGGCGCATTTGTTTAGATGTTCCCCAAGGGAAACCAGAAGAGGATAGGCATTCCTCTATGTGTTTCATACCTGGAGTCTCCATGACCCTTAAAAAATGGGTCAATGACCCCATGATTTTTGGTAATGACCTATTTTTTAAGGGTCATGGAGACTCCAGGTCCCCCTTATTGCTCCGATTTTCCTATGTTGGCACCGGCAATATGAAAGCGGGGGGGTCGGCATCTTACGTGAGGACAAGGACATCGCAGAGAACTTCTCAGTGGAGAACTTTGAGCAGGGCAAGGCGGCGAACAAGGCCTATATGCAGAAGTTGCTGGGCCTCGAGGAGAGCGGCGGTGGTTTGTCTTAGGGTTCTGGGATCATAAGGGGTTTATCCAACCACTTCTGTTGGGAATCTCCCCCTTCAAAAGGGGGGCTAGTCTTACGTAAGCCCTTTGCATCACAGAAGTGGTCATTTCGCACAGCTCTGGTCTTAGACGACCTGGTACCAGTGACTGCTTTGTTATAGGCTGACTTGGACAATTTGTGTTGCTCCTAAGTCAATCTAAAGCAATTGGACAAATGCATGACTGCCTATTGCGCCAAGTCGGAAGACCTGGTTACTCCGTTCCGGCTTCCTCTCGGAATCCGGTACCCGGGGGCCCTGGTTTGGACCAGGCGGGTGGATTCCATGTTCAGCACGCGGAATTCTGGACCCTGGGCCCATTGGCCCATTGCACTGAAAGCGTTCCGTTGGAGGAAGATATCTTTTCGCGTAAAGAGCAATCCACACAAAAGGTGCAGGGCGTGTCTCTTAGGGCCTTAGGGGGTCCCCTTTTGGTTGAGTAAGCCGAAAAAAGGTGCAGGGCGTGCCTCTTAGAAAAGGGGTCCCCTTTTGGTTGATTAAGCCGAAAGGAAAGCCGAAAGGGGGGCCTCAAGATGGCAACAGGAGAACCCAGACCTCTGCGTCATCGGCTTCGTGGGTCGTTTGACCTGGCAGAAGGGTGTGGATGTGATGGCCAGCGTTATCTCCTGGCTGATGACGGAGGGGGATCCGATTCGGGGGATCCGATTCAGGGGATCCGAGTCGGGGCGCGGCTTGAAGCCATAGCTCGAAGTCCCTGCTGATCTAAAAGTGTATCTTCCCCATTCTTGCCAGGGATGTCTTTTTCTAAAAAACCTCCTGTTTGTTGAACAAAACATATTTTTTGGTTGGAATCAAGCCCAAGAGTTGAATTCACCTCCTTTTGGTTTCCCTTTCACGGGCGCTGGTCCTCAAGCCGCAGCTCAGCCTCGGGGGCAATAGCGCCTGGGGCCTATGTTCTTTAGTGCCACCAGGGTTGGGCGATTCGAGGCCCTTGGTGAGACCATGGTGAAAAAATCGCTTGTCCCTAAAAAACATGCTTTAGGCTTCCTTCAAAGCGGCAAGGGGTTGGTTGATGGAAGCATAATATTGTTTGCTTAACCCAGGGTGTCACCCTTTTGTTTCTTTGATTTGTAATAAGGTTGCCCACAGAACCAATCCAAGCCAGGGTTCCCAAAATGTCTGCCAGGCCGGAGAGTGGACCCATGTATCAGGGTTTGCGCCAAGCCGCGAACGATGTAAAAGCCGCCCTGGGCGTTGGACATGTTCGTTTTAGTTGGTTTTCCCTTGTGTGACTTTCTATCCTTGCGCCAATCGGGTTTGTGCTTGGAGGACCATCCCAAGTCCATATCCCCAGTAAATAGTGGCATCACTTACATACAACCCACGGGTCGGCTCTTGTCTGGGGAATCAGGCCTATGCTTGTGTTTTGTCAAATGTGCAGGTTTTGAGAACAAATTTTGGGCCCCGGCAAGCTTTGACGAGAGCCCTTCAGGGAACTTAAAGGATCCAGCAAAAGGACGTTTTTGTGCAGGACACAGGCAATGGCGTGACCGGGAATGTGCAGCTCATTTTGATGGGCCAAGGGGACAAGCAGTGCCTTGCTTGAAATGAGTGGCAGAGTAATTATTTTCTATCAGTTCTTCTATGATCATAGCTTGATTTGGTTTTAGCGTCCTTAAAGCTCGTACCCCAGGACCGAGCCTTGCAAGTTCTTCCGCCCCGAACCAACCAGTGCACCCTCCAGAGTGCAGACAGCCACCCGCTTTCCGACAGGCGAAAGGGATTCGTCTTCCAAAAGAGGTGTGTGTGCACTTTCATGTGGCTGTGGGTCAAAATTAAACCATGGGACCACAGGTTTAATCCATGTTTCCATTTACCAGGGTTGCCATTTTGGGTACATATGTTTGACCCACTGCCATGTTTGAAAAATGAGAACAGCTCCATACCTAGCAAACAGATATCACTTTTGGCAGTTGTTTTTTTTCGTCATCAATACCACCCAATTCCTCCGAAGGAGAGTACCCGAAGGTTCTCAGAAACCGATCAGAACAGCAGCAAAGGACCGTCAGAGCCTTTCCTGTAGTAAGGGTTGCCTTTGGTTTCCCCCCTACCTGGAGGCTCCTCCCAAGAATAGAACATGTGTCAGTACGTAGACAGACTGGACCGGAATCTGACGATTTTTAGCGGCACACCCCATAATTGGGCCAAGTGTTTGGATGCTGACTGGACCGTTTTTAGCTGACCGTCTTCAACATTGGAATCCATGGAATTCCTTCATTTGACCCTTACATCTGTTTTTGCAGTCCCGGTCAGATCTGTTTGGCCAACATTCTTATGAGACCATACCAGGCTTTTCCCCACGGTTTCCTTTTGGTTTCCCTTTGCGTTTCTCTTCAAACAGCGGGAGCTACCGCGAAAACTCGCCGTTTCCTGCGACAAGGACCAAGGACCCGGGAAAAGGGCGAGAAGAATTCATTTGCCCATCCGCAAGCTTCGGGTTCCTTGGGTTTGAAAGGCTGGATCGGCTCGGCGGACTTAGGTACTCGGACACCTTGCGCTGGGCCGAGGGCAGTTTCAAGGGCCGGGTCTGCGGATATGTCGGCTTCGACCCCAAGGCGGGGCCATGGGTAGCTCACGGATCCAAGAAACAAATGGGCCCAACCAGTGGAGTGAGAAAACCCCCTGAAAAAAAGGGGGGCGGTGCCCAAAAAGGTGCTCGGAGGCTCGGCCAAGAGTTTGGTGTGGCTTTGTGGTTGTCGTTTTGGGGTGGTGTGAAAGGGAACGCCCAAAGGAAAACCACGTTTGGTGGGGTGAGGCAAACCCGAATGGGCAATTGGAACCCAGTTGACAATTCCCTGGTGGTGATTGGGGGGGGGTGTCCCAACCTAGAGGGAATCCTTCAGTTTTCGGGGACACACCCCTATGAACCCACCAGGTTGATCAATCCTGGGGTCTCCTCCAAAGAAGTTTTGATATTTTAGGGTTTAAATACGAAGCAGAATCTGAACATTTGATGATCAGCAGAGAATAATGCCAGCTGGGGGTTGCTCAAACAGCCGTGGATCCTTGAAGGAGGATTTGATTCAACCATCACCAAGCATGACTTTAAAACCAAAGCTAGTCATGACAGGTGTAAATACCCCTCCTCCACTAACATGGCACCTGTGGGAGGGAACCTGGAAGACCTGTTTCCTCTTTGGAAGGACCACCTGGGAGGTGGCGTTTTAGTGGGAGAGAAGGTAGTTCGTTCTAATGGGTTTTGCAGAGAGTAGTTTTAAATCATGTAGCCTGCCCCGCGGATTTCCCTAAAGGGGATGGTCCGGTTCGTTGAGGGTATCAGTTTGGTTTGGTTTATAAGGGCCATTGCGAGGTTCTGGTCATGGTATTCGGTTGGAGTTGCCATCCCACGCGAAGGGACACCTACGGAAATGGCGAGATGGTTTCAACTTTTAAGCTATCAAGCAGCACGCAGCCAACAGGTCCCTGTACAAAAAGGGCAGTCGTTGCGCTTGCCGCTGTTTTTGGGTGGAATCTAACTTTGATAGGTTGAGCACCAGATGATGGCTGGCTGCGATCTGCTGCTGATGCCAAGCCGGTACGAGCCTTGTGGCATTGCCAGACTTCAGCTCAACCTTTTGGTCTCTCTTTTCCCGTGTTTGGTTGTCTTTTTTTCTTTCTTTCTTTTCCCAAGAGGTGAGTTCCTCCCTTTATTTTCAGGTATTTTGGCTTCCCGATCTTTTTGTTCTTCAACCAGCTTAGTTGTCGGACCCCAGGCGGGTTGCCTCAGATGTACTCCCAGATGTATGGGTGCTTGCCAGTGGTCCATGCCACCGGTGGACTGGTGGACTCAGTGAAGGAGCCAATCCTGGCACCGTGCCGACAGCCTGCAAAGCGATGGGGCCGTGGCCCTTTTTTAAGGTTGAACCCCCAACATCGTAACGGTTTTCCGCCAACCAAAAGGAGTGCCAACTAAATCTGAAAGAGGAAGGCAATGAGGGAATGACAACCCGGATCGTTTATCTTGATTTTGTTTTTGAAGGGGATTCCTTGGGCGCCTTAGAGAACCATTTTTGGTGGACATTGGGGAGCCAAGGAGCCTGAACATCCCTATAGGGAGCTCAAGCAAACATCATTGGTTAGATGTATGCTTGTTCCGGGGGTCTTCTCCGAAGTCATGCCATACAACCTAATATTTTGGGGGTAGACATAATGTGGGCCAGAATCTCGCAATCCCCAGAGTTGAGCCAAGTGTTTGGGTTCTGGAGCCATTTCTTGCTGGCATTTTGTTCACCACGGATTCCTTGAATTGACCAATAGACCAGCAAAAGTGGACTGTTTTGCAGGGACGTCGGATCCATTTGGCCAAGTTAGCCAAGGAGTTTGCTCTTGGCGTGGTGCTGTTTGAAGGGGAGTCACCAAAACAACTGGTCCATGGTTCATTTGGGAGGGACTGCTGGGGCCCACCCAACAACCAAAACCCAAGCGACTCACACATGTTCCCTTGTCCTGTAGCAAATCATTTTGACGATGGCTTCTGGAAGGACCCCTGTCCGCTTCAAATCACTGAACTGGGCCGCTAGAGGCCCTCTACTGACCTGATCGGGAGACCCGGTCCCTCATGCCCAAGTGGGACTTTTTCTCCAAACCTCGCGCAGTTCCTGGACATTTTAGGAAGACCAGTTCAGTGGCAAACAACAGTTGGGCTTTTGTCAACTCAGGAACCGAGCTTCACAAATCCATCAACCAATGATTGGGCGTGTGGGGGGGGGGGGGCGGGGGGGAAAATGGAAATCCCAGAATGAGTGGTTTTTCAGGAACTAGCCTGAAACTAATCTGAGCGGATCGCTCCATTGGTTTCCGTTGAAACAAACCTGGCTGTGGGTCAAAACCAATGGGATCCCATTTTGTTAGGTGAATTCACCACCCATTTTAGAACCTATTTTAGTGGTTGGATTGAATCGGATGTTCACTGGGGGCTAACCGATTGGCCACCTCGGATTGACCCCGACCGCTTCCGTTCACAGGACATCTCCTGCGGCATCCAGGCTGCCACGGGCTTCCTGATTAACCCCCTGAGCGGCAACAAGCTCAAGGAGACGAAAAGAGAGAATCCGCCAGCAAAGTGGGGTCCGGACCTCTTGGTATATGGGTGTGTATCTTTTTAGGGGAAATCCAAAAATGTTGGGGGTTCCATGTGGCGAAGAAACTTCCCCAGAATTAGCTTCCTTTTGTGTTTCCCCCCCCCCCCCACCACGCTTTTTTGAGGTCTTTTGCTGGGGTCCTACCGTTTTCCAGCCTAGCAAACGGGTGGACCCCTTTGTGGATGTTTGTCTTTTTAGGGGTTTCCCAAAAATTGTGGGTTTCCCATGTGGCGAAGAAACTGGACTCCTTTATGGATGTCTGTTTGTTTAGGGGAACTCCAATAAGGTTGTGGGTCTTCCAGGTGGCGCAGCTTTTTCAAAGCCGACCAGAAAACGGTACCCTCGAGAAGACACCCCCTGTTTTTCAGACTTGTGGACCCCTTGTTGGGGTGTTTTTAAAGGGAAGCCAAAAGGTTTGTGTCTCTTTTGCGGCTCAGGAATTACTCTTTTCATCGGGTCGGTCTGAAAGGACACCAACGGGAAAGGCCTTGTTTTTGTTGTTTTGTTTTTTTTGGCGGGGGGGGGGAGGCGGGCCTTTTTTGACACATACTCTCTGCATATGTTATTGTTTTCGAGCTCACTGATTTGGGGTAAAACGAGCGAACACCATGATGTAGGTCCTGCACTTGGGGATCCTTTATTTCAGGTGCTATATTGTCAGATCGAGTCATGATCATCAGATGTTCATGAGTTATTTTTGTTGTCCCCTTGGACAATACCCTTTGTCCAAGCAGATGGACTTCAGACTTCAGAGGATGTCTTCCAAGCTGGCTTTTCAAGGAATGAATTGAAGCCGGGGTCTGCGGGTTTGCGAAAAGGAAACCACCCATTTTGGGGCCAAAGGGAAGCAAAAGCAACCTTCTGGTTGGCAGTGCGTACCTTGGCACAATTTTGGCCCAAGGCCTCTTAACCCTAGGCGCGATTCGTCACTAGTCACTCAGCTGCACTGGCTCAAAAGCCAGCGTCCCAGGGGTTGGGAAGATCCAAGGACCTTGACCCCCCCACCCGCCGTCATAGGTTAGGATCCGTCCAAAGCAGTGCCTGCACTTGAGTTCTTTGTGGCCAGAAAGGATTTCCCTGTCTCCAACTAACATAGCACCTCACAGAGGGCGCATGGTTTGCCTTTTCCACTGTTTGTGAGATAAATAAGCAGCCCCCCTGGTAGTGTAGAAACCCTTTTCAATTGAGGCTGTTCATTTCAGTCGAAAAGGCAAACCCTGACAGAGGGTCGCTTCAAGAGGAAATTGACCTTCCAGGCACCCTCCCGCAGGTGCTATGTTAGTGGGAGGGACGGTACCTGAGGTAGAAGAGGTTAAGTTGAACCATTGGTCTTGGTCAGGGGCACTCAATTTTCCCCCAACCATTTCATTGCTTCCCCATTCAAAGGCCAGCCCAATTTGCGGTCGGTGTTTTCCCCTTTTGGGGGGTTTAAGCAGCGCACAAAGTAGGTTTCCTTGTTTGGGGCAATGTTTTGCGGTGGGAAACGAAATGGAAGCAAACCATTTTAGTAAGACCAGCCCAAAATCACCCACCCTCGTTGTGTTTTGTCTCATGGAGGCTTCTGCGTCATCGATAGCTTTCAAGGCATATCCTTGTATAAGTGGTGCACCGTATAACCGCCACACCTCCAGACTAGGCTGTTTGTTCCAGGGCGGTGGGTTCCGACAGGAATCGGTCCCCTTCAGATCGGATTGGCCAACCCTGAATGTTTCAACAGCTGGTTGGTTGTTGCGGAGCAAATGAGCAGGAATCGCTGATCCATTTAAAGCCAAACAAGGGATCGCAACGAGCTTTTCTGCAGATTAATTATGGAGCCCAAAAGGAGACGGTTTTTGAAAAAGGAGAGTCGTCTTGATCCTCAGCCTGTTTTATCATACAGAAACACCAGCAACCGGTTGAGGTTTGGGTGTCTCCCCTGGCACTGGTGACTTCCATTTACTTAAGAATATGGGTTATTTTTCCCTTTGGTTTCAAAGGGAATATACATGTTTATTTCTTCCAGGGGCCCAAAAAACAAATGGAAGATACAATATAATTTTGACCCCAGCTGTTGTTAAGCCCCTGTTTATTGATCTGGGGGTGTCCCTGGTAGAGGGGAACCCGTGGCACCAGTGAGAGTCAGGTAACCCCAAATTGTTTGGATTGGTTTGGGGATTTGAACCCCTGGTTCTTGTAGAGGGTAAATGGGAAAGCCACCTCCATTTCATCACCAAACCACCGGGCTCCACCAATTGAGAGAGACCAATTCAGAGAGGTTTAAAGGGAAACCAACCGTACAATCAGTGAAAAGTGAGGTTTGGCAACTACATATATGTTTCCAAAATTTCCCAGGTGGCCGAAAAAGGCAAATGCAGGGTGAGGGCATTCTCCCCTCAGTCGACTGTCCAAAAAATGGACCTCCGCGACGGCCGGCAGGAGGTCTTGTTCCAGGCCACCGAGCTGTATCTCAAGCGCAAGGAGGACTTCCACACCATGCAGCGCAGCGCCATGATGAGCGACTACTACTGGCCCAAGGCATGCGCTCGGCGCTCGCGGACCGCGCGCTCGTGTTTAAGGAAGGAGAAAAGTTGATACGATTATTAGGAACCAAAACAATGGAGGGGAACGAAGACTCACGCAAAGAAGCCTTCTCGGAAATGGGGAATCAACATTCATGAACACCACACCTGGAGGCACGCGGGGTTCGAGGTTTGGATGGATTCACTGACCCCCCTTGGGGAAACTCAATCCGAAAAACCACCTTCTTGGAAGAATGCGGAGGCCAAAAACAACACCTAGGCAAAGGCTCCAAAAAGGTCACGGGCTGTGAAAAAGCCAGGGGGCGAAAGCTGCGTCACACGTGTTTTCCCCTGCCGTTTCTGCAATTTGTCATCTCTGGCTCATGCTTGGCACTGAACGGGCGAAGTAGGACAGCATTGTTTTTATGCATAAATTGTCCAAACCCCAATGTATTTTGCATCGTTGCAGTTTAATTGCTCGAGAATCTGAATCAATCACAAACTGCAGCCAACGCACGGCAGAAATCCTTCGCAGTAAAGAATGCAGATACCTCCAAACGAAGCGATCATGTGGCCAAACGCATAAGAGTGAAGCTGAGTTGGTATATGGTCTTGCAGTGATTGCCACCATCTGTCAATGAGTCCCCACTATGAAGCACGCAGGTCGTTTGCGTACTCCCCTCAAAAGACTCTTCTAGCAAATTCATGTTTGCTGGGACGGACGTGGTGGCTCTCCAGATGTTTGACAGCATTTGCAGCCAACATTGGCCATGCATCAACCTGCGTGCACTGGCATGTGTGTTCGTGCGCGCGCAATATCATCACCCCCCCCTTTCCCCTCTCCCCCCAGCCCCCCTCCCCATCCCTCCTGCTCACAACTGCAACTCAACACATCACAGCCTGAATCAGCAAGAAAAGCACCAAAAATACTAGGTTTTTTGCCAGCCTGTTTCCTCCGAAAAGGGGAACCACAATTAATTGACCCCTTTTTTTCAAAAACATGTGGAAACCTAACACCACCAAAGTGAGGCACCCGGGCTTCAAGGTTGGTCTTTGGATGAAATGGCTGCACCGCTCTTTGGGTCACTCAGAAAAATGTGAGGATCTATCCAGTAACAAGGCATGTGGTCTTTGAATGGAATGGGAACCGCTTTGATCCCGCCCGGGGCAAATTCCAGGCTTTCTTCCTGGGGGTGGGGGTGGGGGTTGTAGGGTCCCTGAACAACTTTGCGAGTCACTCAAAGGAAGTGGCAACCTATAAGACCAAGCTCGCAACCATGCAAGCTTTGAAATGGCAGGGTTGTTCAACCCTAATCCTTAATCCTTTTTGTCAGATGAGCTGAAGGTTAGAACGGGATAATCCCAACCAGAACGGGGTGCAGCCGCCTCTTTAATTCTTTACGTAGTTCTGGGCACAGTAGACCATTTTAATACCAGGATTTGATCGTGACTCAGATGGCAGCGGTTTCAATTGAAGTGGTGTCGTAGAAGGGATTACAGATTAGGATTAGGGATCCCCACATTTTGAAAAGCCCAGAATTGGGGTTGACTAGTGAGTCTGAGCGAATGATTGGAGCCCAAGATGAACAGTAGGACCGAGGCTAGAATGGAAACCCAGTTGATGCGGGGTGTTTGCCACTCAGAGGGGAGTCGGATCACTTTTTGTGGAGTTGCATCCCCCTAATTGTGCAAGACCAATGCCCGGGTTTGATTGAATGTGACTCTCTGTTGACATGTTGAAACCCCTTGGATGGCTTGAAAAGGGCATCCAGCAGGAAACCGGTGTTTCAACATGGGTGTCTCTGACTCGAGCCCCTTTTTGCGGTTCCAAAAGAACAACAGGAAACCGACAAGAATCCGACCATTCGGACATTCAGGGATTCGATGATTCGATTTTTTAAAAGGGGGGTTCCCCAGTTGAAGACAGATGGAAGGCTCCAAGGATGGCCGTGTTTTGGCGCAGGGGCTCGGCGTGGCCAAAGGCTGAAGTCTCCAAATGGGCGTGCGCTTCTTTGGGGCAAAGTGTTTTTTCACCAAGCGCTTTGAAGCGAAAGAAGAGAAGGTATGGGGTCCCCTGACAAATATCAAGTAGCTTTCAACTCTTTAGGACTGGAAGGGAATCCGAGTTAAAATGTTCCCAGGGATTTGGAGACAGAACGAGCTTTCTCTTGAAAGCATTGGGAGCATTTGAATCAAGGCCATGGATGAGTACGAGCAGCAGATTGACATCGTGCTCTACGAGCCTCCTACGATCCGATAGTGAAACGGCCGGCAAATAGGCAAATAGAGAGAGCAGCCGTTTAGCCGGTATCTTCCTTGGCTAGCATGGTTTGCCAGAAAGAAACTCTTTAGTTGAATGCCTCGCCGCTCGCTGAGCCGCGATGGCAAGTGAACAGCGTCAAGCGCTTACCTTTTGATCCCGGGAGCCCGATGCGGGGTCCCGCCCCCTTTGGAAACAAAGGCATCGTTTAGTTTCGGCTTTTCTATGACCGGAAGTGGGGTGCGCCTACTCGAGGTCATAGCTTTTCATGGATTTTCGTGCGAGGACAACACGGCTGCGCGATTGGGGTTGGCTCAGCATAGGGAATCGATCCTCAAATTTGGCGGCGTCAAATGTGCCCCGCAACGCTTGCTGGTGAAGTAGGGAATGACCCCAGGTGTTAGGAATGAATGAATCCGGGGTTCCCTTAAAGGAAAGCACAAGGGAGGGTTTGTAGGGGTCGAGGGAGAAGATTAAAAAGCCAAATACATGAAACCAAAGGAACTTAACTACTGGGAGAAGAAAGACAGACAAAGACAATCAAAAAGGCAACGAGTGAGGAAAAACTTTCTGGAAGACAGACAACAATTGTTGTTGAGTTGAATAACGCATGGTTTAAACATGGGGACCGATTCCTGTTTGTGTAAAGGAACAATGGTTTATGAACAGGAAGAAACAATCAATCATTATTTAAGCGTGTTTAGAAATCACACTAGTTTTGCTCGAGCCTTGCTTAAACCATGGCTGAAGCAATGGTTGTTTAAACCATGGTTCAAACAAACGGGTCTTGATCAGCCATTCCAGGGGGCACTTGAATTACCAATTTAAAGGGCCCTTGGAAGGTTCGGGTGTGTCTCAACCAACCGATACCTGGATGTTTAAGCCATGGCTGTTTAGCCATGTTCAACCAAGAAGAGAGCTTTTCAAAGTGGTTTTGCTTCAGCCAATGCTGCTTGTTTAAACGATGTTCAAACCAGTTGTTTGAACCATGGCTGAAAGAAAAGGAGCCAGCACCCAACTGCTTTTCACCACGTCCGAACTCTCGTTTGTTCTGTTCAAAAAGTAGTGGTTGGGACCCGGGTGCTGCAGGGTGTTTCACGGTTGGTTGTTTAAGCCATCGACCATGGCGAAACTCCCCATGTTACCAACCGTCCCAGAAGGGGGGGGTTGTTTGAAGCCTGGCCCAGTGGATCTGTGGATCCCAGTTACCCATTCTGTAGGCAACCAGCTCTCAGTCTTGTGGCTGTTGCCCTTGGTTAGCTATACAGGTAAATGTATCCACTGGGAGATCCAATCAACCAGCAGGTATTGCTTAAACTCACCAGGGTGGGAAGACTGTTACCCCACCGACCATAATCATCACCTACTTACCTGACGTTGGTTGAACATTCAAGCGGTTCTTTAAACCTGCCGCTATTTGGAGAGGTACAAACTTCATGTTCAGGCACACGCCCCTATTTTGATATTTTGAGGAGCACACTTTGAGGTGCAAGCCCTGTCTTTGGGGCATGAGGAAGCTTTGAGGTGCAAGCCCTATCTTTGGGGCATGAGGAGCAAACTTTGAGGTGCAAACCCTATTTTTGAGGTACCCCCCCCCAAAAAAAAAGAAGCTCAGGTGATATCCCCAACAGCATGCGGTGCTCTTTTTAGTGCTCGCACCACTCCGCAACCCTCGCAGAACCTCGTGGAACCCTCGTGGAACCCTCGTGGAACCCTGGTGGAACCCTGATAGAATCCTCGTGGAGCCATACCTCAGGCCGCCCCAAACCCCGCAGATCTGGGCTGAGACCCCAAAGCATGCGGCGGTTGGAAGTTCTTTGAACTCTTGGTGACAGGTGCAGCTGCCTCAGGAGAGCCCCCTGCAGGCGGCCTCAGAGCTTCATGCTGCCGCGCCCAACACCCGGCGCGGGCGCCCGGACAGCCGAGCTTGTGTGAGGGGGGGGCGGGCAGGCGGGGGCGTGAAGGGTGGGGGGCTGAAGGGGGGGGGAGAGGGGGAGAGGAAGGCCTTAAGGCTTAATCAGAGCTAACTTGGGCTCCCTCCCTTCCCTCCCAGGCCCCATGAGTTAATGCTGATTGTAGGTTGTGTGGGTGTTTTTCTTGTTGGGTTTCTGTTGTTGTGGTTTGTTGTTTTTCTGTGTGTTTGTGTTTTGGTCGTGTTTGTTGAGTTACTATGTTGTTTTTGTCCTACATCTCTACGAGGGAGTATGTCAAAGGGATGGCTGGTCTTTCTGGGGGCTCCGTTTTGAGTTTGGGTCCAAATGAGTTCTCTTCCAAATCCGACCGAAGAGTTACAGTAAATCGCGACTGCTTTGCGGCCCTTGCAGCGTACCTCATTGGGATCGCTCTGCTTCTCAGCTGCAAACTGGCGGGGCTTTGTTTTGGATACTCTCCTGGCGGTGTTGTTTGCACCTGCATCGGCCCTTCAATTGCCCATGCCCTGTGCGTATGTCCGTGGGAAGCTGTTTGACCAAGAAAGGCATTCTGTCGAAACCCTGGTATGCTCCATCCAAGGGAGGGGGGTTGAGCCAACCCGAAAATAAACCCTGGAGCAACAAGTCAAGGGACGAAATGAGCAACCGAAAATTTTCGGGGCTAAGCGAAGTACAGCGCCAGGCGACGGGACGGGCTGAGCCGAAAGTTTGTCGTTCCAGGAGCCGCGGTCGGGACCCGCGGGACCAGATCGAGGAGCTCGAGGACGGAATTTTACGGGGAATTGGTTCGACGGGAACCGGTGTCTGGTGGGTAATCCGGAGATCCGGTGTTCGTCTTGTGGTCAAGAGAGGGGGAACCCCAAAATGGCTTGCCCTGGTAAATGGAAACAAGGACGAATTGCCTGCGGTCCGATTCCTGAATTCCTGGTGGCTTAGTTTTGACCCGCACCCAAATAGCTGCTCCGTGGTGTCCTCCAAAGGAAGCTCATTTGGCCAGAAGGGGATGGCAATTGTTGTTGTTTCCGGTTTGTCCAGCTCCTTGTTTGCACCCGGGGAAAAACAAAAACACATACAGCCAGGCCAGAGAGAGTTGGATTGAGCGATTCTCCGAAAATCGGCTCACTTGGAGTCGACTTGCAAGCTAGTCACTCTTAGTCACGAGAGGCCGTGAGTCATGCGGCCATTTTCTGCCACCTTCGGACTGCTCCTTTTCTGGGCCCGAATGAAGATTGAGCAGACCTTAGATCTTCTGCAAGAACAGAACCCCCTGGTTGAAAAATGGGGTCCTGTTGCAGAGAGACCCCGGATCACTTTTGGGGGCGTGAATCCGCCAGGTGTCCGCGGTCAACCTAATTTCGGTTTGCATCTCTCAAGGCAAACAATCAGAGGAACACCCCCCCATTTGGGGGTGTCTGTTTGAGGCGCGAGCCCTTTCTGGTGCGGTTTTAAAGATGCCCCGCCGCGCCGAAACCGCGAGGGAACCCTTCCTGCGGGGTTTTAAAGGACAAGATCGGAGAGAGACCGACCGGTCAGCGCTCAGGATGCCAACTTCAAGCTTACCCGGGCAAGGGCCACAGAACGAAGTCGAGCGTCGACCTCCCCCCGGTGCTTTTGGTCGACCAAAGGTTCCGCTCGGCAGACCCAAAGGAGTCCGTCGTTTTGAGGCCACGAGCCACTCCCGTTTGCGACACCTCGAAAGGCATTTTGCGCCCAAGATGCCCGAGCAAATGGGTTGGCTTCCCTCTAGTTAAAGCGACCCATGAAGAAGCTTCCGCTCAAAAACGAGACACACACACACACACCCATCCATGTAAAAAAAAAAAACATGAATTGGGCGGGTCAAAATATGTCAATCAACACAAGTCACGCAAAGTGTCATATGTCAAACCAAGGCTTCCCCCTTTTGGTCGCCCAATCCAAGAAGGCGTCACAGGGGGCTCCCCCGCCCATTGGTCGAATGCCATGCCGACCCCGAGGCCACGGATCGTGTGGAGCGGAGACTGGCCGAGCTGGAGCGGGGATCGATGCTTCTTTGGATTGGGGTAGCAGAAGGGCGTCAATAGCTTAGAAACCCGATCTGTTTTATCCAAGTTGTGTGTTTTTGCGGAAGCACAAGGGCGTCAATGGCCGAAAATCCCGGCGGCCAACTGGAGCGTTTTTTGCTGTAAACGACACTCGATGCACAGGAGCGTCAAATCGCCACCACCGATGAGCGGACTGAAAGGGTCCTGCACTCAGCCTGCTCTTTTTGTTCTCTCATCCATCTGGATGCATGTTGTAGCAGATACCGGAGTTGAAGTTGGTTGATTCGTTGATTCGACCCATTTATTACCACCCATTTCTGAACAGGGGGAGGAAGGAATGACCGGAACTCTGAACTTCAATAGGGAAGCCGCCGACAAGTGGTGGACATAAATCCAACCACCGTGACGTCCGCCAGTTTTAAAACAAGGCCCCCCCAACACATAAATATGTAAATAAGTCAAGAGATAATAGATTAGTAGCTAAATTAATACACAAGTAATTCGATGCCAGCTCAACCTCGACCGCGTTCCGTGCGCCATCAGACCGTTGGCATCGCACGGCGGGAGATGATGGCCTTCCTTGCCGCAGCCTCAAAGCGATAACGCCGGGGTCTGGGTGAAATGTGGGGAATCAGACCACTTTTGGAGGCCAGTGCCTGGACTTTACACTTTTTGGGCTTGAACCATTTTAGTGGTAAACAAGAAGTTTGGACTTTTTTGGCCGATCCACTCAGGAAGTGAGTAAACATAGAACCCAAAAAGCCATGGCATTTTAGCGAAAAAAAGGGTTTCAGAGTATGAGATTTGCATGAGAGTAGTAAGTGGTTGGGAACCATGGTTATAAGTCCCCGTTCAGTGGGTTAGGGCCGTGATTCCCAACCACTTATGAAGTTTCCTGCGCCGTTGATACAGCGGTCCTTGGGGTTTGGTTTTTTGGAGTTGGTACCTGTTCTGGTGTTCGGACAAAGGGAAAGAAGTGAAACCAAAATCAATTTTGGGGGTCTCCTGATTTTGACACACATGCCCATACGTCCTCCAGGTGGTTGCAAACATCATGTTTCAAGGGCAAGTTCAACGGAAGTTTCCTCTAGGCGTCTCACTTAGGCGTCCTTTTTGGTTGGGTTGAAACAATCGAGAACGATTCCTGGTTGGCGGTTCAATCAGGGCCATCGATTTTTGCCGAAGAGGACACCACGGCTCACGAGTTCCCCGTGACCGTTTTGGAGTTTTGGGGGGAACCTGCCTGTGGCTTGCTTGAAACATGCGCCATGGGGCCATTCATCGAAGCTGTGGGGTGGCCATGGTTGCCTTAGGTACCCCTTCAAATTCACCGAGGCCCAAGTGAAATGCCACACCAGGTTTCAGGTGCCGGGGAACCAAAGGAAAGCCCAAACGGTGTTTTGATCCTGGGTGTACCCCTTAGAAAGAAGCCCATGTTGTTTTCGGGTCCACGATTTTGACGCGCGCACACACACATAGACATATGTTCGATCCCTTTTGGTGGTTCGACACATCACCATTTGGGCAAACAAGGCAAAGAGCGTTTCCCTTAGGCGGGGTTATGTTCAAATGGGCACCGCCGCGAGCCCCGTAGTGGCACAGACGTGGTGCTGAGGAGAAGTCGGTCCAGGAAGTCAACCAGAGATGTGATGTGATGAACTCAGCACTCGGCAGAGATCCATCTACCCCCCCCCCCCTTTTCCACCGGCCCAAATATCCAAATACGAAGGGAAACAAAAACGACTAGAAGGGAGGCGATTGAAGCTATGCATAGCTTCTGGGTGAATTATAACGACCTCACACGACCTCACCCGAAATGGTGTTTTATGTGGGGAATAGCCCCCCAACCACCGCAAGTTTCAGGTTGGTGAAATATTACAATTCACCCAGATAGCTTGAATGTAACGTCTCAACCCGCAGGTTGGCTCTGGTCCGCGGGACTTGAGGCATTGAAGCAGGACGATGCTGACATCCTCAAAGAGTTGGACGTGGTCAGGCGCGTTTGTGGCTCAAAGAACCCCAGTGGGTTTTTCTTGGGCTCTCCAAGAAGGGTCCCCTCACAGAAAAAGGAAAACGCCGAAAAATGGCTGAAGTTTGCCTTCAAAGCCACCCGAAAAAGGAGTTTTCCCCACACAAAGGCTTGGTTTTCGTTTGCGCTTGCTTAATTGTAAGGCAACACGTTTTTTTTTTGCGTCAAGAACGCCACTTCATGTGGACGCCAGATAATGATAAAACTGGCCCTCCCCGGGATCAAACTCAGGGGTTAAAGGCTGATTATGGCTGGGTTCTTGAAGCCATAGGGCTGGGTTCTTGAAGCCATGCCCAGGCAGCATAGCAAGTCAGTGGAGCAGAAGGACTTGAAGCACCACAAGGAGCAGCGACTCTGCAAGCTGTGCAGTGGATGAATGTAGGTAAGCTTACACTGTGCTCAACCACAGTGTGAGAACGGTAATTAGAGGTTTTCCTTGTTCCCTTGTTTGCAATATTGCTTTTTGGGATCTCCCACCCACCACCCCTCCTTGAACGGGTTCTAATCAACGGGTTCCAGGTTGAAAGGAGCCCCATTTGAGCAGTGCCCAAAACCGATTCTCGTGGCAACTTTAGTAGGTGCTTCTACTGGTTGTATGAGGGTTACAATAGCGCCTAAATTGGTTCAACCATCTTAGAAGCAAGAATCAATTATGTTTGGGCGCTGCTCATTTTTAGAACCCATTCAGGATCAGGGTCTCCCCATTCTCTTCACCCATTCTGATCACCCCTGGGACCAAAACTTGCTGGTGCTCAGTAGGGAATGACCAAGGGTGTTGGGAGTTGAGAGTGAACCTATACCTTGAAGGAGACCGTAGGGGATGGTTGAAAGGGATTCCCTCCTGCCCTGCTGAGAAACAGCGAGAAGATAATTTTTCTGGTTTCGGTTCACCCAATGGGGATCTATCGAGGATCTCTTGGCACAGCTGGACGCCTTTGCCAGACGAGTGGATGAGCAGTCCGCGCCTCAGGCGTCCCAAATCATTTGTTTTTGCGCGCGTTTCGGGGCTGCCCGTTGCTCAACACATATGATTCATGTTACCCTCTTTTCAATTCGAGTGCTCAGGAGGGTCGTTTTGCAAGACTATATGGGCCTTTGTCCGCTTCCATTGGGAAGGAATTTTTGATGTGCGAGATGAGTTCTTTTTGACGACGTTTTCTCTGACCTCGGAGCTTGCGGACTCCGATGCCGAGGTACGACGAGACCATCGATTCTTTGGACAAGCTGAAAGAAGAGGATTCGCGGCTGGACTCCGAGGCACCAGTTCCGTTCAGACCCCGTGCCACCAGTCTTGTGTGGCGCTGCTGCTTTTGGGTGCGTCTCTTTTTTTGGGGGCACCCCCCAAATGGCTGGTTTCCCTGAGGTTTCGCTTTAACACCATCAAGAAAGGGGTACCCCCCAAAAAAAGACGAAAGAGCCTATGCATTGAAGCAAGTGACTCGTCTCGTCCAAGAGTTGGGCTTGCCTGAACATCGGACTTCTAGGACTGAAACAAGTAACATGTGTTACCCATTTCTTGCAGCCAGGTCTGTACGGCGTGTGGGTGTTTCTTGAGGATAAAGAAACCTTTTCAGCTTGGTAGAAAATGACACCAAAAGGAAAGCCACCATGTTTGGGGTCCCCTATTCCCATGTCCTGCGCCTAGTTCTCTGAAATCAGAGTTCGTAAACCCTGTTTCTTGACACCCTCATATCTTACCCATCTGAGGTTCGCTCAAAATTACTGGCAGTCCACTCTTTGGGACAAGTATTTTGGCCCCTGGCTCACATGGGTAGAGTGCAGACCTCGCTGCTTGTTTCAGGAGGTCCTGTTACCACCGGTTGGGGGCAACTTTGGCACGCTTCCAAGAGAAAGTGCACCTTCTGGGCTCCGAGTTCCATTTCAACACCCATTGATTTAGCCAACCCTTCACCCCCGAACCTCACCAATCCCAACTGCCAGTTAGAGGTCCCCTTTGTTCTTCTTTGTCACCACAACAACGGGGTACAAAGGCCAAAAAGCAGGGTCCAAGGGGGGGCCAGTTCTTTACGCCCCATTTTGCTCCAAGCCCATGTTTCGCCTGCAAAAACCGAACACCGAAACCACCTTGCCCAAAAAGAAATAAAGCAACAACAAGGAAAACATGAGTTAAAATGAGTAAATAAAACGCCAGCACCTCAGCCCCAAAACCTCCAAACCCCAAAACCTCGTCGCTGGACCTCCCTCGACCTCTCCGACCTCCCGCAGGCGCAGATGACGCGGGAGGAGCACCGCAAGCAGCTGGAGCAGCAGCTCGCGGAGCTGCAACGACTCGAGGAGGACAAGGCGAGAGAGATCTCGAGGATTCGAGCCAGGAGAGGTGGGGTTTACAATATATATATATACCATTATGAATATATAAATATATAGATATATACACACATAGATATATAGATATAGGTGTGTGTGTGTGTAAATAATTAGTAGTATGACTATTAGTTATGAATATATATATATATACATACATATGTATAATACACACTTACGTATATATATATATATACATATGATTGTGACTCTGGCAATACGTTTGTATGTGTGTATATACATATATATATATATATACATATTGTACATATGTTGGGTTGGACCCGCCAAAATCGTTGTTCTCGGTTTCCCTGAAACCAACAAACGGGTACCCCCAAACAGTTGGACCCACCAACAATTGTGGTTTTCCTCTTGGCTTCCCTTTTCAAACAAAATCAAGACTCAACTAAACATACCCGTTTTTTTTATGTCCACCTGGGGAAACCTGTGGGATTGTGTAACTGTTTGGTGGTAATCACACCCACAAATTGAGTTCATTTTTCCCAGCAAGGGTGGTTTTACACGTTGTGTTGCGGGTGACAACCCCACTCTTTGGGTCGTTTGTCTGTTTCTGAGGAATCGTGGTTGTGTCCCGCGAGATCGTAGCACTTGGGCTGTAAGCGCTTTTCATGAGCACTGGAGCCCTGTTCGGTTTGCAGCGTTTTCTGTCCTCTTTTGTCCTCTTCTGTCCTCTTCGTTCCTCTTCGTTCCTCTTGGGTCCTTGGTCTTCATTCAATCGAGCTCCCCGCTTTCCCGCGTCCCAGTGGGCAACTTTTTCTAGAAGGTCAGGACCGAGGCAAAATTGACACCCTGGGATTCAAATCGGCATGAAACCAAGGGATTTAAAATAAGTCATTGCTTACCTACCTAGAGTCTCCATGACCCTTAACAAATGGGCAATGACCACATTTTTGGGAGTAATGGCCCCATTTTTTAAGGGTCATGGAGACTCCAGGTGAGGAGTTTCATGCTCTAAGCTGGGGCAACCGTTCTTTTGTCGAAACCTGGGGGAGAGGCTCCGCGCTCCGACGCTCCGCGCTGGGATCTGGCAGGTCAGCATTGCTCTTTGGCAGTCCGAAGGAGATGCCATGCTCGGCCGCATCACGCAGGACTTTTGGTGGGCGCCGGAAGGGCGTTCAACGACCAGAGAAAACAACTGGCTGAGATGTTCACATGATCCCAAGGATCCAAGTCCTCAAACCCCCTTCGAATCCTGAACATGTGAGATCCATGGAGCCTTTCGAACATGATTTACGTGGATTTGGGTGGTTGTGTTTGAACATGACCTTGGGATCCCGTCTGGGCAAACAAAACCGAATCCCCAATGATTAGCAGACTGCTGATCTGCGGTTTTCGGATTGGAATACGCGCTTTACGGACAATAGACTATGGATTGCATGGGTGTTCAATCCTCCAAAAAAAGGTTTCGAATGCACTTTGCAGCGCTTATTGCGGATCAAGAAGATTACCGACCGGTCAGCATGACATCCTCAAATATTCACTGAATTGCTGGTTTAGAGGGCGGTTTTCCGACTCCCCAACGCAATTGTGAGACATGGGACCAACAATTTGGCGGTTGCCAACCTCCCTTCCCAGCAAACACCTCAAAATGGGTGCCCACTTGAATGGCCCGAGCTCAGGATGTGGAGAAGCTGCAGAAGGCTTTGGATCAGGCAGGTTTTTTTGTTTTTTTTTCCGCATCGGATGGCACGGAACCCGCGTGGTTTGGATTTTGACGGTGGGAGATCAAAGTCGGGAACTGGGTGCGTCAATCGAACCTACGTCTTGACTTTGAGAAGGGCAAACTGGGGCTGGTTGGAGAAAGGACGAGATCGACCCCGGGAATTTCATATGGAGGGCCATTTTTTTAAGGATTTTTTTTTCGTTTTTTTTTAGGAATTATGTTTGTTTTTCAGGGTCGGTGGCTTTTTGGCTTTTGTGGCTTTTACGTGGGTTTATGTGGCTTTCGTGGCTTTTCATTTCGCATCATCTGCATTCACAGTTCCTCTCTTTTCGCATCCTCTGCATTGCCAGTTCCGCTGCGGCAGGTGGCTTTTTGGCTTTTTGGCTTTTTGGCTTTTTGGCTTTTTGGCTTTTGGCGGCTTTCTGGCTTTGGCTTTTCGCATCCTGATGCTTTTCCAGTTGGCTTCCTGCATCCTCAGCATCGCAAGTTCCTCTCTGGGCCCCCCGCCACCCCCCTTTCGATTAAAATGCACGCCTATTTGAATCATCACTTTTTCGATCATCATGCGACAGCTACTTTTTAGATTCTTTGCCCCTATTTTTTCGATCATCATGGGGGGGGGGGTGCCGTTTTACAGGGATTAGTTTGCCCGTATTTGAATCCTCACTTGTACCATGAGGCCTTGCCGCAGAGGAACTGATGACCCCCCTGCTGTTTTTTTGTTTTTTTTTTGTTTGGCCCTAATTGAATCATCACTTTTTCAATCATCATGGGGGGGGGCTGCCGCCCCCCCCAACCCCCCCGCAATTTTTTAGACTTTTTGCCCCTGATTGAATCATCACTTTTTTGATCATCGGCTGCCGCCCCCCCAACCCCCCTGCTATTTGTTGGACTTTTTGCACCTAATTGAATCATCACTTTTTTCGATCATCATGCGACCGCTACTTTTTAGATTCTTTGCCCCTAATTTTTCGATCATCATGGGGGGGGCTGCCGCCCCCCCCCCAACCCCCCCGCTATTTTTTAGACTTTTTGTCCCTGATTGAATCATCACTTTTTCGATCATCATGGGGGGGCTGCCGCCCCCCCCCCAACCCCCTCCCCACGCCTTTAATTGAATCATCACTTTTTCAATCATCATGGAGGGAATTGCCGCCCCCCCCCCCCCCGCTACGTTTTAGGTGTTTTACAGGGATTAGTTTGCCCGTGTTTGAATCCTCACTTGTACCATGAGGCCTTGCCGCAGAGGAACTGATGACCCCCGGCTGTTTTTTTTTTTTTGTCCCTTTTTGAATCATCACTTCTTCAATCATCATGGGGGGGCTGCCGCCCCCCCCAACCCCCCCGCTATTTGTTGGACTTTTTGCCCCTAATTGAATCATCACTTTTTCGATCATCATGCGACCGCTCCTTTTTAGATTCTTTGCCCTTAATTTTTTGATCATCATGGGGGGGCTGCGCCCCCCCCCCCCCCCCCATTGAGTTTTGAATCCTCACTTGTACATGAGGCCTCGGCGCAGAGGCACTGATTGCTTTTTATATATATATATATATATTTTTGGCCCTAACTACGTTTTAGGTGTTTTACAGGGATTAGTTTGCCCGTATTTGAATCCTCACTTGTACCATGAGGCCTTGCCGCAGAGGAACTGATGACCCCCCGCTGCTTTTTTATATTTTTTTGTCCCTATTTGAATCATCACTTTTTCGATCATCATGCGACCGCTACTTTTTAGATTCTTTGCCCCTAATTGTTCGATCATCATGGGGGGGGGCGGCAGCCCCCCCCCCAATATTTTTTAGACTTTTGCCCCTGATTGAATCATCACTTTTTCGATCTGCAGGGATTAGTTTGCCCGTATTTGAACCCTCACTTGTACCATGAGGGCTTGGCGCAGAGGCACTGATGCCCCCCCCGCTGCTTTTTTTTTAAATATTTTTTTGGCCCTAATTGAATCATCACTTTTTCGATCATCGTGGGGGGGGCTGCCGCCCCCCCCAACCCCCCCGCTATTTTTTGGACTTTTTGCCCCTGATGAATCATCACTTTTTCGATCTGCAGGGATTAGTTTGCCCGTATTTGAACCCTCACTTGTACCATGAGGCCTCGGCGCAGAGGCACTGATGCCACCCCCGCTGCTTTTTTTTTATATTTTTTTGCCCTAATTGAATCATCACTTTTTCAATCATCGTGGGGGGGGCTGCCGCCCCCCCCCAACCCCCCCGCTATTTTTTGGACTTTTTGCCCCTATTTGAATCATCACTTTTTCGATCATCATGCGACCGCTACTTTTTAGATTCTTTGCCCCTAATTGTTCGATCATCATGGGGGGGCTGCCGCCCCCCCCAACCCCCCCGCTATTTTTGCCTTTAATTGAATCATCACTTTTTCGATCATCATGGGGGGGCTGCCGCCCCCCCCAACCCCCCCGTTATTTTTACTTTTTAATCGTCATTTTTCGATCATCATGGGGGGCTGCCGCCCCCCCCAACCCCCCTGCGCCTTTAATTGAATCCTCACTTTTACCATGAGATGCGGGAAGCCAATTTGCTGGTGATGCTGGCGATGTTGGCTGGACATGCGGGGGATGTTGAAAACGATGCTGATGATGTTGACGGACTAGCGTAAAATACGTACATTTCGCGAGAAAATGCTGTAAATTACAGCATTTTAGTAGCCAGGACGGAAAACAAAAAAAAATCCCAAATTAAATCTCGACCCATTTCATATATCTAGTTCCCATTTTCCCGGACCCCCCCCCTGATGGGGCAGATATAGTCAGAGTGAGCAGAGCAACCATTACTCACCTGGCTCACAGGGTTCGGGATCTGCCTTCCCCTGGCGGGGTTGAACAGTGGGTTTTCAATTGGAAATGAGCTTCCTTTTCCGAGTGGATCCATTTGCCAGTATAGTAGGCAAGCCAGAGAACCACCATGAACCACCCTTTAAAAGTCAAGAGGACCGTAGCTTACCCACTATATGGGTTTGCCTGGGATCCATTGGGTTTGCGTGATAGGAGGAACCCGGTCATTCCAAAATCCGCGCAAGGAATGAGCGCCTCGGCTACTACTTTTTTTTTTTTTTTTTTTTTTTTTTTTTTTAAATATATATATATATGAATATGTATAGAATATATATATATATATATATATATGTGAATGCGTCAGGAAATGGCCGATGTGCACAGCCGACTCAAAACTGCCCGGTGGCCTTGGCAGAGTGCTGGGGATACTCACAGACCCGCTAGCAGGGAGCATGACCTTGGGGGGGGGCTGGAAGAGCATTTCCCCCCAGCAGAGACCTCCACATTCCATTTGGCAGACTGAGGGTACGCCTGGTAAGCCCTCGCAAATCAACATGAAACCCCAAAAGCAGCCTCGGAGAAGGAGATTCCAGAAATGATGATTTGTCCGGTTCCACGTTCATTTGGCGATGCCTAGCTGTAGCCTCTGTTTGCATCCATCCGAAGCTCAGGAGTCAGACTCTACAGCGCAGAAATTCAGCAAGGCCTGTGAGGGCTTGGGAATGCTACATTGACCGTTGCTCATATTACCACTGAGAAGTTTTGTCAGCAAGCCTCAGGCTAGGGATCTGTTTTTTGAGTGTATCCTTTTTGTTGGATTTTGTTGGCCTGAAATGGCTTGTTGTCTGCTTGCTGAGTGCATCCCTTAAATGGCCTGAGATGTTTTTTTGGTTTTGCGGGCATCTCTTCTCAAAAACAAAGCCAAGGAAACTCCTTAAGCTGGGCAATCCATCCAGATCGAACTCCACTCCGGATGTCGGGGGTTCCTTGGTCTCCTTGTTGCCCAAAGCGAATGGACCCGGATCTGACGCGTTGGTTTTCCTGTGTTGGTCCATATTTTGTCAAGGTCGCAAAGGGTGAACCTTTTTGTTTCCAGGTCCTTCGACCAAAATCTGGGGTAGACTTAGGATACAATTTTTACATGTTACTGAGGTGACTCAAAGTTAAGGGGAAGCCTACCTCTAATCATGGAATAAGGGGGAGGCTCTTTTGGCCATGTTGTGCGCGAGGAGCAGTCCGAGAGAGAGGCCAGCGACCAGGAGCTTCACAGGACATTGGGTCGGGGTGTTGTTTTTTCTTGCAGCTCAGTAGGGAATGACCGAGTCAGAGGGTGTTGGAAATGAACCTGGGATTCTCTTAAAGGAAGCCATAGGGGATGGTTTGCTTGGCTCATTGACTCATTCCCTGCTGAGAACCAGCGAGTTTTTCTCCAGCTGATTGTTATAGGGTCGAGAAGCCCAAATAAGCTAGAGGGTTCCAGGAATTTCCCAGGCTGCTGGGGATACCACCTGAGTCACAATCAAAACTCGGGTAAGTGAAGGCTGCGGTCGCCTTCTTAGTTCTTTACATGGTTCTGAGTCGACCATGTTTGTACCGGGTTTTGATTATGGCTCACCTGGGCTTCTTCTGTAGTTTTTGAGGCCAAGGGCGATCATGGCGACGAACTCCCTTTTGTACTGCGTCGGACAAACTCAAGTTGGATTTATGAAACCCGGTGGAAACTGAGAAAAAACCACCAATTTATGGATCCACAGAATGCTGGAAAGGCAAATTATTTTTGTTCACAACCATTCTCGGCCTCTCAGATCTTTGCTTTAGATTGCCTCTGTGCAACCCTCATCACGGCTGCCGGCAGAGACAAAGTTAGCCGAATTCTGGCATCTTCTGACAGGACGTCCTATGCTTTTGGGGTCAGGTCTGTTGCAAATGGATCACTGGTCTAGTTTGCTCCTAATCATTTTCCAGTGCCATCTTGTCCAAAATGCTATGGTCAAAGAGGTTTATGTGTGGTGAACGGGGATGATCGTTCCAACTACTTAGTAACCCGAAGGCTCATGACCCCTCCAATGCAGGGCCCCGGGCCCTCCAATGAAAAACCCAGACCCCTCAGGCGACCTTGAAATTAACCCATCTTCAGGGCCCAAAAATCATTGGGAGCCTTAGGGAAGTAGGTTATCACCATTGTTACAGGGAGTGGGCACTCCGGTGCTGCTCCAAAACAGGATTGCGTCCCTCCTTTACGCATACCCAGGGTTTAGGTAGCATTAGTCTCTTAGAATCCAGCTGCGAGGACAACTTGTTTCCAAAGATCCGCAAAATACCCGGGTTTTCGCTAAATTAGGACATCCCGTAGCTGGACTCTTAGAATTTCGCAGGCAGATTCCAAGCAAAAAGAAACGCCGCCATGAGATTGCCGGGCGAGGATTCTCGCCGAGACTACCCAGCGTGTGGATGCTGAACATTCCCAGCTCGCGGCAGATACGCAGGCGCCGGGTAGTCTCCCTTTGAGACCCACTCCCTGAGTTGGACTGTGGACTGAGACCCACTCCCTGAGTTGGACTGTAATGTTGCACACATACTATTAATGCGGGGGTGTCCCTGGGTGAAATGTGGGGAATCAGACCACTTTTGGAGAGGAACACCGCCCCATTCATAAACTAGGGTTGATTACATTGGGCTCAATATTATCTCACTTCCTGAGTTCCGTTTCGGACTTTAGTCACGTTTTGGGCTTGGACCACTTTCGTGGTAACCAACAAGTTCGGGTACTTTTTGTTAGCCAAATCCACTCAGGAAGTGAGCTGTACTGTTTGGGAGGAACCTTTCAGTGGCAAAGCAGTTTGGCAAGCAATCTAAAGGTGATCCCAATAGAGAGCGGAGAGGGTCTCCTTTGGAACTCATTTGGATTTATGCACCGCTTTCGGGGCACTTGACGTAGGAAAGTCTATGGACATTGATACACGTCGCCTCCGTGTGGCGACATGGATCCCCCAAAAGTCCAGGATTCCCTCTCAAACTTGTCCCTAAGCGGGATTTCTTCCGGATGCTGAATACATGTGGCCCACGGCGGCAAGAGAATAAGATACCAGCACACCCCCCCTCCCCCAAACCACTGCTTGCTGGACAGTGCCAAGGGATTTTGGACGTGGAAATTTGGACGTGACAAAAGGCATTTGTTGGAGGGGGGCTGGTGCATATTATCATTCTTACCTTTTGTGATACCAAAGGGCTCCCCTCGATGAGGCTCGGAATCCCAGAACAGGGGCCCATTTTCTCGTGACTTACGTTGGTTTGTTCCAAATCAGCGACCCCTCCAAAGTTGGTGGGTTCCTCTTGCCCTTGAACCCAACCTCAAATATATCGACTACCGAGCCGCCTTTGCGACATGTTAGGAATTTTCTGCACCGAGCCTCGCCTGACAGGCTAGCTTCAAAGCGGCGTCAGCGGCTTTGGAGGACACTTGGGTGGTGCCTGCGGCTGATGACGATGGATGCCCTAGATATTCCAAGGGAAGAAAGGGACACCAGGACAACCTGTACTTTCCTCCCACGAATCGCACTTGAGGGAGAGTAGCTGGAAGATCAGTTTCCTTTTTGAGGGACCCCCTGTTAGGTGCCATGTTAGGAGAAGGGTATGGTTGGATGTGGCAGGTTCACTTGCAACTAGAGAAAAATTACCTTGTCTCGCAAGAAGGACGCTAATTGGACTTCCTGCTTGAAAAAAAATAAACATGTCTCATGTGGGTGTTGCATTCCTTGGACTCCGAGGTATCGACCTCACAAGGTTTGGTGCGTGAAACCGGGATTCGGTTCCTTTCGCAGGGCATTTTTGTCCCAGAGTCGAAACTTGACGAGACGGGTGTGCCTTTGGTTCGGGGAACCCTTGTTTGGTGGGGGTTTTCAAGGGAAACCAACATTAGAACCACATGGTTTTTTTTGTGGGGAGGGGGAGGGGTGTGTGGTCCCTGAAAAAGACACCCATACTGAACTTGAAGGGTTGGGTTGAGACTAAAAGGCAGCGGGCCAAAAAAATATCTACCCAACATGGGTTCCCCTGGTAAATGAAGACATGGACGACTACCACCTGCGGTCCGATTCCTGGTGGTTTCATTTTGACCCACGCCCAACGCTCCCCGAAAGCCGAGCGGCTGGCGGAAAGGGAGCTGAATGTATCCGAGTCCGCTGGGGGGTAGCCAGCTTCGCCGATTTTTTCGGCCAGTTTTGACTGTTACCCAGGGGTCGTTTTAAGGGCACCCCTTGTGTTTTTTTGCGTGGTCTTAAAGTACACCAAAAGGAAAACCTTTTCTTTTTTTTGGGGGGGGGATTCCCCCAAAAAAGACATCCAACTAGCCTTTTCGCCCTTTTGCCCTTTCGGAGCTACCGGAAGCAGACGTGCTAGTTGACCTGGTAGTTTACCTTGCATGCGCGTCCCGCACAGGAAGCTCGCCAGATGCTGACAGAGTCCATCGACAGTCAGGCCTGGGGAAGATGGGGAGGGGAAGGCGTCTTCCCACCACGGCATGACACAGGGCTCCGAATACGTCTCTTGTTTTGGGCTGGTAATGCTGGGCTGGTATTATATACATCTCCTTTTCGGCCAGCGTTATTTCAGAGTTCCTTTTTGGGGGGACAACAAAAAAACCTGTTGCACAGTGAAGCGGACGGATGTCCAATTTTTCCCAGGGTCCAAAAATGCGCTTCTCATTTTTTGTCGGTGTGTTTTCAAGCTGACTCCCGGCCGCGCTCGCGTGTCGCAAGAAGTGTCGCAACGTGGCAGGTCTCGAATCTCGCCAGCCAGACAGAGAGACACTTCGACCAGCTGGAACACACTGTCGAGCACAAGGACGGCACATTTTTTCTCAAGGTTATGCGAAGCCCAAGAGAGCCGAAATTTAGGCTCGGGCGATGTCCTGAAGGTTTCTTTTGCACAGTTCCATCCTGAAGGCAAATGAAATCATTCAGGCGACTTCCGACAGTAAATACGGACCCCAAGCCCATCCACTTGCAGATAGCCCGGAATGTGTCGTTTTGGGTGTTCATGCTCCTCCGCGAGGAAAAACCTTGAGCGTTGATATGAAGCCTCTTGCTTTTAAAGTGAGTGCAAGCAGCGGTTGACTGAACCACTTTGGCATCACAGATGTTGGGTGGTCTTCCAAATCATGGTTCCGTGCCTTGTATTTGAGGATAATCGTGACCCTATGTTAAACCCAGCTTATTAATACGGGGGTGTTTGTGGGTTTAGTGGGGAACTATTACTTTTGGAGGAGAACACCCCCCCTATCAATAAACCGAGGTTGATTCTTAATAGGGGGTCAACATTACCCTTTTTCCTAGCACTGGAAGCTATGAGGCCTCTGCCCCCAAAGAGGCCTCTGCCAGCCATGTGCCAGGATGAAAAGCTTCACAAGCGCGTGGATGAGCTCACCGGCAAGAGCGAGGCCACATTCCAAAGCCTCGGGCCCAGTTAGCGCCGCGCGAAACGAAACCTGCGGCGAAAGCTCCCGGTTTGGCCGAGGTTTGGAGGAACCACTTTGGCCGTGGCTCAAAAAAAACGGAATTCCAAAATGGAAGCTTGGTAAGTGGGCCAAAACCCGCGGTTTGCCCCTGCTGTTTAATTTTGAGCCACGGCCATTTTACTTTCCCTGTCCCCCTTATTTATGGCTTGGATCGGTGGTTTGGGAATTTGAAGAAGGTCGCTGGGAAACTACCCCCTAACCAAGAAACCACCGGGCTCCGAACCTTGTTTTGGGTTGGCTTAACAACACCTTTTCAGTTCAAGGTGAGTTCGCTTTGGTGGCAGTATCTTGAAATGGTTTAGAGGGAAACCAGCGAAACCTTTCCCTTGTGGCAATGGATTTCTCTTGGAATGTGGCGAAAGGGGGGGGCCCCCCAAAAAAAATGACTTTGGTTTGCTTTTCGTGTTCCCAAATTGTCGCCAACCCGAAAACGCCTCACACCATTTCGGTTTTGCCCTAGGTTGACGTACCCAGTTTTCCCGTCACCCTGCCATTGCCAAGCTGTACCAACAACCACTTCAGCCTTGCCAAAGCAACAAGACTCGGCGTCCGCCTGCTTGAGGCATCGCCGAACGACTGGAAGCGATGGTGCAAGAGGAGCGGGCAAGGCGCTTTCAAGCCGGGCCTGGAGTGGTTGTTTCACCTATGCAAGCGATGTGCGTATGCATGCCATGTGTGTGTGTGTGCGCATTTGTTTAGGAGTTGGCGGGCCCTATGTGGGTTTGTTCTGCAGAAGCAAGAGGATACCTAACCCGTTTCGGGGTTGGTCTGAGCCCTGTCAGCTGGGAAGAATTCGTGCAAGCTTGGTTTAGGTGTTCATGGACAATTGTTTAAACAGGTCCATGTTGAAACCGGGGTTTGGCCCCACACTTCGGCTCAGGGTTTGTCAAACCTCGGTTCATGTTGAGCAGTGGAACTGATACCGGTCAACAATGAACGGCTTTGCTCTCAGAGAGCTTCGCTGCGCGATGCTTCTCCGTGCACCGGGCCGAACCGGGCCCCAAACCCCTGGGTCAAGCAAAACCAAGTGAAGCGATTGCATAGTGCTTGGCTGGCTTTTCCATATCCTTCTGGGAAAACGCACCATTTGGTCCGAGGCTCATGTGGCCTCCAAGTTTCTGGACCCCCGCCCAATGGGTGCCTGCCTTGTAGCTTCTCTAAATCCACACAAACGGGTACCCTTCCACCATCCCACCGGTCCCACTTGCATGGAGCGAAGATGCTCGATATTATTGGCCTGGATGAGGTTGAATGTGAATCGAGATACCAACTCCGAGAAGAGGAGCCACCCTGGCATCAGGGTGGGCTCCTTGAAAGCAAGCCAGCCACCGGGTAACTTCCAAAGAAGAAAAACAACACGCTGGAAGAGATCAGAACTGCCCGGCTGGGCCAAGCTGAGCTCAAACAAGGCGCCCTTGTAAAGAAATGGGTGTGGCTCAGAATTAAACAGGGGGGGTTACGCAGGTTTTGGTCCATGTTTCCACTTACCAGGGTTCCATTTTGGTACCAGCTTTTTTGAGCCACGGCCAAATGGAACTCTCCCCATCAGACTGGACTTGGAGGCTCGGGCAGCTGAACCAAGAGCTCTCAGAGAACATGGTCAAGGCCGGGTAGGGCCACGGAAATGTGGCCAAGGGAATCCTCGAAATGCGCAGATCTTTAGCCTACTTCTCCACTTAGGGTTCCATTGTGGGTGCCAATTTTGGACCCACAGCCAAATGACCTGTGCTCGGAGTATCACTGAAAGGGCCAGCCATTTTCCACAATCCAACAGAAATGGCCAGGGTTGTGGGAATGAGGGCTTGGTTCCCACTGAGCTCACGGCTGCAAAGCGGCCGCGTTGGCTGGGCTTTTCCAAGTCTTAGTCTTCCTCCAAACCTCTCCTTTGAATATGGGGTGCTGGCAAAAACATGGACAAATCTTGGGACCTGGCGTCGCCTTGTGCGGCCTTTTAAAGGGCTATAGCAACAACGGCCCCTATCACAAACCTTCGCCAAGGCCCGTGCGGACATGTACTCCGCCATCGAGCGGGCCCGGACCCCGGAAGCTCCAAATGGCCAGGCTTTCGAATGGACGCGGGTGGATGACCAACACCCCATGGAGACTTCATATTTTTTAATCGATATGGGGGGTGTCCCTGGTTTTAGTGGAGATGTATCACTTGAGGAGAACACCCCCATATTAATAAATAGGGCTTTACTAATCTGGGGTCAACATTGCAGTGTAGAGCCGTCCAAGGGCGGTCCATGTCTTCCTGAGGTGCCCTTATATGGGCCATTGTGGCTACCAATTCATAGCTGTGAATCTGGTGGGCATGGGTAGACCTTATATGGGCCATTTTGGTTGCAAAATTGATAGTTCTGGGAACTTGGAATCTATGACCGTGCGCGTAAACCTGGGCAGACAAGCTCATTTGTTCCTGAAGTGCCCGCATATGGGCCATTGTGGTTACCAATTCATAGCCCTTGAAATCTTTGAAGCGTGCTGGTAGACAGAACGGGTAAACAAGCATGGGTTTGAGACAGGGTCAGTGATCCAGTAGTGGTCCCGATCGGCGGCATGTTTTGTGCCGGACAAACTTTTGAACCTTTTGGAGGAAGCACGTTTTCGTTGTCTCGTTCAGCGGCGATCTATTCGCATGCAGTGTTTGAGACCAAGCCCTAAAGTGCCCTTTCATGGAACCTGGCAGAAGCCTCAGGATCTTGTAGGAACCTCGCCGTTTGTTAGGCAGGCTTACTGATTTCTCCACTTTCGGACAAAACAACACATGCATGGAATTAGCCGCTGAAGGTGCAGGTGTTGAACCCAAAGTGGTCAGCCCAAAGAATTGCAACAGGGCCAGTGGTGATTCGATTCCCCAACGCAAGTACCAAGAAACAAGCGGTTTCTTAGGTGGTGCCAAAATACCAACAAACAAGTGGTTTTGCCATGATTTCATGTTGGTTCGTGGTGTCACCATGGTTTCATGTTGGTTTCACCTGACATCCAAAATGGACATCGCCTCGTGACCCCCAGCGGGTCCCCCAGCCTGGAGGTCCGAAGTGACTACGAGCAAGATGCCGCAAGACTGGACTCGGCGCTCTCCTTAGCCCCCGCTTCTTCTGCCACGCGCGCAGCCCATTTTGGGGTAGGCGAATTCACCGCCCATTTTTAGTTTATTATACTGGGGATTGGGATGTTCACTGGGGGTACGGGCTTTTGACCCATGGCCAAATGGCATTCTTTAAACCACAGCCGCAGTCCCCAAGAGTTAAGGCAACTTTCGGTATTCTTGGTTTCCCATGGTTGCCTAGTATAGGGGTAACTGGAAGCACTATAGTATATCCCCCGTTTTTGCTTGGGGGTGGTGGTTTGGGGGCAGTAGAGACTATCTTAGAGAACAGCAATTGGACAAGCTATATGGACCAAGCAGAGCTGACAACACTAAACCATCCGAAACGATTTGCCACCACGTTTGCTTGGAGTTTGCAAGGTCATCAAAGCGTCAAGCAGGATTTGCAGAGCCAGCGCAGGTTTGTTTCTTATTTCCTATTGAAGGTACCAACCGAGGTATGATGGCGACCCCTAATACGTTGAACCAAGTGAGTGTGGTTCCTTTTTGAGGCACGGTAGTTTCAAAGAGAAACCTAAGATACACCAACCGGGGTTGCCCCAAAGTGTTCGGCATTAGTACCTTTCTGGGCACAACACCTGGTGAGGTGGGAAAATGGGCGGCGTGGCACCTGCAATCAAAAGGGAATCCAGCAGGAAGCCCACTTTTCAGCAGGGCTCTGCAATATCTCAGACACTATCCCTGACCGAGGCTTATTTCACTGTGTTTTTTGGGCTGGTTCGCTCAAACCATGATGGCACTAGTGCGCAACTAACTTGAATTTGGCCGTAGTCGTGTATCTTTACCATTTATTTCTGAAAAAAAACACTTCTATGGGGCCAAGGATGATGTTTCTCATGTCCGCAAGGAAGGCCCTGGGGGTCGATGCGCATCAGGACCTTTCGGATCTGCACATGAAGTATGATGTCACCAAGCAAGAGATCAACTTCTTCCAGTCCAAGCTGAAGGACTGTGCGCGCCCGCCGGGCCGTAAACCCTAAAGCGTCCCAAAGAAAGTTAAGCCGCAGAAAACCGAAACCGAGGCCGTTTTGGCCGTCGCTTTTAGGAGGTGCTGCCTGGGTTCAGAGTTGCGGTACGACCTAATAAGTACTCAAAAAAACTGCGATACCCAGTTGGACCAAATAGCTCCGTTTTGAACCTACACTTGGGTTCATGAGGGTGTGTCCTGTTTTTGGTTTTGGGGTACCCCATGGTTTCAAAGGACAACTAAAAGGAAAATCATAATGGTGCGGGGGTTCAACCTGCAAAAAAAGACACAACTGTGAACCTATAGTTGGATTTTGAACCAAATGTCACCGGTTTCGCTGGGAATCTTGGGCTTGTAGCCGAGAAAAGCTAAAAACCGCACCTTTCCGGGCTAAATGATACCCGAAGTGCCAACTAGAATAGGGATGTGTCGGGCAACTTCTCCCTTGGAATGTGGACGATGAAGTGAGGTGCACCTTTGGGTCAAAAAAGGCAAGGCCATTGGGTGAGGGTCCAGATCCTTAACACCATCTCTGTGTGCCAATTGAAAGTGAGTTTCCTCTAGGCGTGACGTGTTACAAATGTAAGGAGTCCCACGTTTTGAAGGGGTGATGGTTTTAGGTTGGTCATTTTGTTTGGCAGCGGCTTCTACAGCTTGGAAGTTCGGGAAAGTCAAGCGGTTTGCGTAGTGGATGCAAAGACTGAGGGGTTGAATTTGAAAGTGATGAACTCTTTCGCTCAGAGCAGCTCAGGGTCAACACATGTTCGAACGCCTGCAGAACATACGCCTCATCCCATTGATGGTATTGGCTACGCGACGTCAGAGGGGGCAAGGTAGACTTCTACTATGTGAAGGGATGGGTCTTCTTTGCACCACCACGTTCAAATGTCTATTTGAAGACGCTGGTAAAGAGCTCTGGCGATGTCCATGCATGTTATGTTGTTCCCTTCGCGTTCGGCAACTGTTGCTGAGCCTAATACACTGAAGACTTGTTGCTCTGCGACTCGATCGTTCCTCACCACAATTATGTGTTGTCTGCGTGCAGTCTGAGAACAACCAGAATGGCCAGGTGGTATGTTATGAAATCACAACTAGTTGGAGGCCTTTGCAGCAGAGACTCTGACGCAGCATCCAATACACCCTTTGTCCAAATGGCTGGTTCAAGGAAGAGCAAGCAGTGAGCGTTCCGTTCCAGAGGCAATCATAGAGCCAAGCATGATGCGTCATTCTTGTCAAGCAGAAGTTACACTCGCAAAATGCTGCCAATGTATGCCCATGACATTTCGCTCATGCAGCCTCCTACCCCTCCCTACGTTCGCAAGGTTGCAACGTTGGCCGACGGCACGCAACTGCCAACCCTTCTGACTGCTGTCAGGCCGACGTCAAACACTCAAGACTCTTGTGAAGAAGGCTTGCAGCATGATGAAGAAGAAGATGATGAGGAAGGCCAGGGCCCCAGCTTGGAGTACACATTCTGGGGCATCGATTTCAAACCTATTTTGCCAGCAGCCCTGGCATCGTCAACGATTGTGGGAGCCGTATGCATGATGACAGTGCAAGTTCCGATTCTCAGCCAAGTCACATTGATGTCGCCAGCTGTGCTTTCTACAGCTTTTGCTGTGCTGTATGTTGTCACACTGGTGTGCATGACGTACTGCGCTTTTGCGGATCCCGGTCAAGTCAAGCAGACGCGGAACGCACAGCTGGGAGTTGACGTTGAGAAGGGCATGCGTGGCATGCCAAGGCGAGCGCACAAGTCGTGGCAGTATCCCAGGCCCATCCGTCGATACGACCACTACTGCAAGTGGCTCAAGAATACGATCGGTCTTTTAAATCACCGAGAGTTTGTGACGATGCTGATGGGCTTGACCCTGATCGCTTTCGTGGGAATTGTGGTTGACTTGTGGGTCGCAGTCCTCGTTGCCAAGGAAGGTGCCTTGCAGAGCGAAGTCTTTGTTGCGCTGCATTTAGCCTATTCGATTTCCTTGCTGGCCATTGAGGGCCCGATGCTCACGATACATGCAGGATTAATATGCAGGAACGAGACGGCGCAGGAGTGGAAGAAGAAGCAGAACTATGTGGCAAACGACACCAGCCTCGGTGACGACGTGCCAGTGGAGCAGTTGGATGATGATGAGTACAACGACTTGTTTGACCAGGATGCCTTTGTGTATGATCGGACAAGGAATCCATTCGACAAAGGCATCCTGTCAAACTGCTTCAACTTTTGGTGCATGCCTCGCTGGCCAGCAGACGAGAACGGAGAGTGGTGACAGAGCTTAGAGAGCTCATGGAAGATGCTCGTAGCAGTACCAGTACGCAGCCTCGCGCTTTTGTCCAGGCTCGTTTCACTACGTCGTGATCAAGACGGTCGCACAGTTGTACTATATCCGCTGAAAGCACAGAGAAGCAGGAGGCCAATGAGCTGCCTGCAGACAGTTTGGATGCGAAAACATGGTTTAGATGCTGCTACGTTGTCCTTTCCTCTGCACTCTTCCAGTACTCCTTTTGTTCACCAATGGCGGATCCAGCCAACATTTTCCGCATCTCCAAACCGACAGGAGCCCAAACCGCCGCTTGGCGGTGTGGGCGCACTGAAGCCACGCACACGCAAGCGGCATGCCAACATACGGTGTTTGTCTTGTTTTCCAACCTGAAGGGAGTGCCCAAAGATGAATCTAAAACCACAGAGGTTGAGTTTCCTCCCCAAAACAGGGGGAACTGAACCCCAGGGCTTGCGCTTCCTCCCGCCCAAAAAACAATGGAATCTATCGTAGACCCACACAATGTACAGCGCTGGGGGGGTGGCCCCACCAGTTGGCGTGGGTTGGTCCCTTACCAACACACGCATCCTCCGTCTTTTTTCGGGCGCCGGGCTCCCCCTCCTCCCCTCCTCCCCCTCCTCCTTGTCCACCGGAGGGGTTGGTGCGCCAGTTGTGGGGGTTGGTGCCTTGAGGGTACCCAACCGCCCCTCCGTCTTTTTCGGGCTCTTTTCCTTGTCCCTCCTCCTCCGTATCTGGGTGTGGCTCAAAATGAAACAGCTGGGTTCACGCAAGTTTTGGTCTTTCCATACACCAAGCTTGCCATTCTAACTACCGTTTTCTTGAGCCACAGCCATCCCCTCCCCTCCTCCCCCCCTCCCCCCCCTCCCCCTCCCCTCTCCTCCGTATCCGTTTCTCCGTTTCTCCGGCTCCAGGACCAGCGGGAGTGGACGGAGCGGTGCCTGGCGGAGAGCTCCACCGCCACCCGCGCCGCGGCTCTGGACTCCCAGGCCCCCGAAAACGGGGGGCAGGGCATGCGGACCCGTTTTAGCGGTGGGTTACAAAGTTACCTACAACCATTGGGATCCCCATCATGGTACTGGGATGGTCTGGGACTAGTTGATGAACCGGGACTTGCAGCCATGGCTTTGGCGGTGAATCGAAAGGTGGACAGCTTGGACTTTGCCTCGCCAGGCTTCATGTTGTGTGGTTTAGTGGTTGAAATCCCCACTTCACTGCTAGAATTTGAATTGTTGCTCCCTTTCCAATGTCAACCAAGGTTGTGGACCATTTCAGTGGTAAATCAAACGTGTGGACGTTTCGCCGGTTCTCTGCGGGGAGCATCCCAACATGGAGCCGAACGGAAACAAGGACTAAAACCTGCGGCGCCCTGGCTTACTTTTGACCCCATACCCTTATAGCCATACTGTGGATGGACGCAATCCCTTCGCACCGGTATTTACAGGGCAGTCATGAGTGGTGCGAAATGGATTTCGTCCATCCACAGTAGTGCCAATCCCCAGGAGGCGTGGGTCCCTATGGCGTGAGTATCTTGCGGCCAGGAAGGCTTGGCTGCCACCACCAAGATGTTGCACGCACTTCGCGACGACGCTGTCTGGCACCCGGATGGGATCGGAGATAGAGCCAAGAACGTGAGCAGCGGAGATCGGTGTGTGTCCTAAGCCTTGTTCATGCTGGTCTGAAGAGAAACAAAACAGAACGCCACCATTGTTGGGGTGGCCCTACTCTGACACATATCCATATCTTACTCCAAATCCAATCTATGAAACCTTTAGGGGACTACTGCAGATGGAGGAGACTGGCAAATGTCACAGAATGGCACTGGTACACTCACCAAATTACCGTCATCGAGGAATGGGTGTTGCTGTCCAACTCCCATGTTGTTTGGGGGAGGGGACACAGCGTCTTGTCTTGCGAGCAGCGCCCAAAACCGATTCCTTCTTACCATCACAGCCTTAAGGGCTCATTAGGGAATGGGGATGTTGTGTTGGCCAAATCTTACACTTGATAATAATTTGGGAAAAACACATCAATAGAATAGCAGGCGGGCTCTGCGCATGTTAATCTGACGCCTTTTTCTTGTCTCCCACCCTCTGTTTTCTTCCCTGCTCAAGTTGCGCCGCACTCAAAACCGATTCGGGTCGATGAAGGTCAGAATTGGGGACCGTCTCAAACCATGCTAGGTGCAGCCAGAAGCTCTTTCACTTCAAAGCCATGGGTTTTAGTTCGCGCCGGGTACATAGTCACCCGCGCGTTTTTGCGCATGTGCTCGGAGCTCATGCGTGGGGTTGTGGGACATCCCGGTAACTAACTCACACTAGCTGAATCTCAGGTCACATGTGCAGGTTTGGACCAAATCACCACACATGGCACTTAGCGGATGTGCTTATCCTGTGCCAGCGTGCAGCTCTGACGTGATGCGCGTCATCGGGGGTGCTTATCATGCGCCAGCGTGCGAGATGCGCGTGAGCGGGGGTGCTTGTCATGCGCCAGCGTGCGTGCAGCTCTGACGTGACGCGCGGGAGAGGGTGTGCCTATCATGTGCCAGAGAGCGCAGATCTGATGTGCGAGTGAGTGGATGTGCCTATCATGCGCCAACTCGCGCGCAGCTCTGACGTTACGCGCGTCAGCGGCTGTGCTTATCATGCGCCGGCGTGCGTGCAGCTCCGCGTGTGAGCAGGTGTGCTTATCATATGCTAGAGTGCGTGCAGCTCTGACGTGACGCGTGAGCGGGTGTGCTTACCATGTGTCAACCAGCGCGAAGCTCTGACGTGATGCACGTGACAGGGTGTGCTGATCATGCGCCAGCCTGCGTGCAGCTCCGACGTGATGCACTTGAGCGGGTGTGCTTGTCATGCGTCAGCCAGCGCGCAGCTCTGACGTTATGTGCGTGACAGGAAGTGCTTATCATGTCCCAGCGTGCGTGCAGCTCTGATGTGATGCGCGTGACAGGGTGTGCTTATCATGCGCCAGCGTGATGCGATAACATGTGTTTTGCTGACGTGATGCGCGTGAGCGAGCAGGTGTGCAGGGGTGGAAGCCACTCGGACATGCGGGTGGGTAAATACCTGGTACCTTGTAGTTTGCCCAGTTTGGGTTTTCACTCAGTACAGGGCGGTGCCTGAGGTCAGCTTCCGAGAGAAGATGGCCAAGTACATCAGCATCTTGCAGCACTCGCCGCGGGCTCTGGTGTTGATGTGGTTTTTCAAAGGCGGCCTTTCCTGCCACGGCCTTGGCTTTTTTTGTTTTTTAAAAAATAAATACGGAATGTGAGCCAATTAAAACCCGGACGACAGGAGTGGGCAGTCCCAGCAAGAAAGAGGCGCGGCAAGTGTTCGCTTTGACTATGACTTGCTTGGACCCTTTCATGACTGTTCGCTGAGCTAAATTCGGGGACTCCATGGGCCCGGTTTTTCGCTTGAAACCCCCCAAGAAGAAAAGACGAGGTCTGACCAGCAAGGTGAGGCCATCAACTCAGTGCCGCTCTCAGCGATTCGGGCAGCGTGCCTTGTGACGGCCCTGACGGCTGGCCCAAGATCCAGAGGAAAGGGATGGTGTTTGGGAGACAAGGGGCGGCGAAGGCTTAGAAAAGCTGAGCAAAGAATATATATATATATGGTATATATGGTATATGTGTACCCACATGCTGGGGTTGTTTGCAAAGGATCCAAAGGGACAATACAAACATTGTTCGGGCTTCAACAAGTCGCCCAAAACAAGTCCCACGACGGCTCCCTCGCCGGCACTTGAGCTGCTGCCCAGTTGGAGATCAACCGCACCCGCATGCGGGCAGAGTTGGATGCCTTGGTCACCGACCACAAGGCGTGCCTGGTCGCAAGTAATGTTGACCCCATATGAATCAAACAACCTGTTTACTCATAGAGGGGGTCAAAAGTGTCTGATTCCAACCACTAAGCCCAGAAATGGACACCCCCCTTATCAACAAACAGGGGTTGACTAATATGGGGTCAACATTAGTCTCTGATCATTCATGACCTGGACCCCTTAGAAAGTGGGAAACTCGCAATTTTGTGGGTCCAACCACCAAACTAGCCACATCCATATGTGGGTTTGTCTGAAAATTTGGGGCCAATTCCTCCAGGTAGGTGGCGTTTCATTTTGGTTTTCCTTTACCATCCCAAACGGGGCCCCCTATTTTGAGAACCACCCACCTTCTCAAAAGACTTACTCCCCTGCAGTTTAAAATGGACCCAAGAGAAGCCTCGGGGTCCCCCAAAGGCGAGTTGTCTGGAAAGGATGGTTCTTGGGTAGTAAGTAGTTCTCTGGAAGTAGGTATACTTGTTTGCAACCATTGCAAGGTTCCCTTTTGTGGGAACCACGACCCATGTCCACACAAAGTGCTCCCTCATTGAGTAGCTGGTGTTTGCGCTATAGTCCCGGTGCTGCAGGTTTTGGATTGCACTGGTGCGGCGATTTTTGTTGAACCGTGGCCGCTTCACGTCAGGCGTACACCACTGACATGGACGACTGGGCTGATGACGTGCGTGTGAAGGCAGGGCTTCCAATCGCAAACCTCACTGAGCCTGGCCACGTGACATGTCAAGCTGATCTGCATGGGTAGACCTTCCCGCATGGATGGTGGCAGAAATCCAATGTCATAATGTCAACTTGATGTCCACCACAGGGTCCCCCCCAAGGAAAAAAAGCTCAGGTGATATCCCCAACAGCAAGCGGTGTTCGTTTTAGTGCTCGCACCACCCCGCAGCCCTCGCAGAACCTCGTGGAACCGTGGTAAAACCCTTGTGGAACCTTACCTCAGGGCCGCCCCGGACCACCCCGGAGCCTATCTGGGCTGAGACCCCACAGCTGTTGGGGAAAAATATTTAAGCGAAGAACGCAAAACAAACCTCAACATACAAGTAACAAAATATACTGTACTCACGTGTCAAGCTTGTTAGAAGCCAGTTTCAAGCGTATCGTTGGTAGTTTCCCCAAGATGCTGCCTGCTTTTGAGCAATGGAGGGCAAGCAGGTGTTTGTTTAGGATGAACATCGTCATGTCCTTGCCACTTCCATGATTGGACAGAGGGTAACAGTGATCCAACATGGACCCGCCAGAAGGTCCCTTCAGGAGAGCAACACGGTCTTCCATCAACCTCCGGGTAGGTTCTACGGCAACGTTGGTTGAGGGTAATGTTAACAGTGGATTAATAAACCTGTGGTTGATTTTGATGGGGGGTGTTCAATTCCTTTTAGTGGTTGGGTTCAGACCACTTTTGGAGGGGCTTTCACCCCCTAAGAATGGGACGAGTAGTCAACATTAGTGGGGAATCAGCCCACTTTTGGAGGGGAACACCCACCTATTGAAACAAAAACAACTAGGGTTGAATAATATGGGGTCAAGATTATCTCGCTTCCGGATTTCCTGGTCCCTCCTCTCTTGATCCCGAGCTTTCATCTGGGCCCCCCCCCCCCGAATCAATCCCACGCTCGCCCACGCGCTCGCCAGGTGGAGCGCATCTTCCGCGCCCTGGAGCCCACGAAGGCGCATTTTCGCTGGTTGAAGCGACCCCTGGTAGATCCAGTGCTTCCAAGCCACCCTACTGTGGATGGTTGCGAAAATCCATGCCGTGTCGCGAAACGGAAGCATGGTTGAGACCAGAACGTTTGTTGGTAGTTGCAAGGAAATCGAATCATTCCGGGGGTTGATGCATGAGTCCGTCCATGCGACAGTAGGTGCGGGAAGAGGCCTTGTACTTATTACTTGCCATACCCAGTGCTTCTAGGCATCCCTTGGATGACCTCTTGGCTTTTTTTTTTCATGGTTGGAGACCCCTGGTTACCTACTATAGTGGCTTGCCTGGAAGCACTGGGGGGACTTAAATCAACGCTCCTATGTCGAGGGGTCTGGGTTAAGATTCGTATCTAGGTCACCGCAACTCCTCCAGCGAGCTTGACGGCGGTTGGGAGAGGGATCCCCCCCGTTTCTGAAAGCACAAGGCTTGTGTAGGGGTCCCGTAATTTTTGGAAGCAGCAACTCCGCGTTTCAGGTGGAGTCGGCATAGATTTGTTTCCACTGGTGAAATGCGCTAGGGGGGGTTCACCCCGGAAAGAGTCCGCAAGGGATTGCCACAAGAATCGGAGAAACAGACCACACAGGGGAAAATTAGTTGGGGTGGACAGGCCTAGGCTCCCTTTGGAGTGGTTCGGAGCGGCTGTGGGCGTTTTGAGGTTCCAGTTTGACTCAGGACCCACTTAGGCGGCCTGAAGGACAAGGGGGAAGGACCCCCTCCCCCTGCAACCGCGAAACCAACAACCAAGGCCAAAAAGGACGGGCTTAATAAACCCGGGTAGATGAAGGGTAGCAAGGGCCAAACCATAGATAGCTGTGGCCGCCCTTTTGGTTCTTCGCCATAGGTTTTGGGCAGGTTGATTTCTTCCCAAAAAACATGTATGTGTCAAAATGCGGGCCCCCCAAACATGGAGGTGGTTCTTTTGGTTTCCCTTGAAATCAACCTGAAAAGGGCTCCCCCAACAAGAATACAGCCCCAAATGAGTGCACGTCTAGCTTGGAAATCTGGATCAGGTGGAATGGCGCATAGAGAAAGCGATGCAGAAGTCGAAGGCCGGGTTTGGGCATGGGCAAAAGTTGCAAAAACAACGACATGGCTTTGCGTGAGTGTCCGTGTGTGTGTGTGTGTGTGACCCCTTTTTTTGGTGTGGGTTAAAGCCAAAGCAGAAGGAATACGTCACAATTGTGTGAGTCCATCGTGATACCATTCTGGGATTCCCATCCAACAATGACTGGTCGACATAGGATTTCGTCACCGAAAGCGGCAGAACGACAGACATGAGCAAGGACCGCCAATTCAGAGGTTGAAGGGCCTCATCCCGGAAGCTTCCTTGGTTGACAATGGTCTAAGACGGTTTCAGCCCCCAAATCGATTCTGCCAGGACCCAGGTGTTTGTTCCTGCCCTGGGACCGATATACAGCCACTACCAAAATCCCACGATCTGGAGGCTAGAAACTCCTCGTTTTCCTTCCGAATCCCGGTCGTTCTTCGACTGGCCTGGCGAATGAATTTGATTTGGTAGCACCCAAATCAGAAATTCTAGCTCCACCCTCCCCATTCTCTTCAGGGATCGTTCTCTTCCAAAAACGGGCCAAACGCCTGGAATGATGGAAACCTGGGAGAAATAGCTCTTTTGGATTCAAATCCAATGGGTTTCTTCATTTATTTCATTTCCACGGGCCCTGTTCCGAGTTCACCTTGCTTGTCATTTCAAGGTGCCCGTTTCGAGAAACAACCTTCAGGTGTGCTTCTGGCTTCGAGTCTCGAGTGGTCCCCGTGTATTCGCACCAGGGAGCCCCAAAGAGGAGCCCCCCACCCCCAAATTTCAACGAGTTCACCTCTCCTTCCGCCTTAATTTTCCAAATAACTTCCTGTTGGTTTCCCCCTCAAGGGAATTGGACAAGGGGCCGATTGTTCAAACTCTCAGCAAATCTCCCTTTGAACCTTTCTAGTCACATCTTGAACACGTAATTTTTGCTGGTTGAAACACATGTTGCAAAGCCAACCCTCATTTCCCCCAAAGTCTCGGGGAAAAAACAAGAGCAAACAAAAACATCACCTTTATTCCAAAAACATCCACTTCAATCCAAACATTCTGGAAAAAAACAACTCACACACGTTGGTTCCACACTTTGCCCGCCCCAAACTAGACATCCAAAGATCGGCGGTGGGGCCGTTTCAGGGGGGCCGTGCCAGGAGCTGCGGAAGCCTCTGGCGGTGAAGTCTCCCACCTTCGGGGTGAGAGGTGCGGCGCTTGGATCGGCGGAGATGTCCTCTTTCGTGGGATGGTGCCCGTTGGGAGCCCAAGAAACTATGAGGGCCTTGACCCCCCCAACAGCCGCGACTTGTTCTTCTTTTGTTTGATGTCTTGGGCTCTGAAACGTTTTTTTTGTTTTGTTTTTACCCCGTTTCAAGGGAAGGTATTGCAGTTGGTTGGTCATGCTTGGTGGTCCCCAAAACCCCAAAACCCCAAAAAAAACCAAAACCCCAAAACCCCAAATGCAGATGGGAGTCATTTCTTATGTGCCTCGACGCTTAGAGTCGTGGGGCGCCTGTCAGGTCACAAGGGATGGTCACCACTCCCTCGGACAGTTTTGCTTGGGGTGGTTTTGAGGCTCGGCACTTTGTTTTAGGTTGGTTTCAAGGGGAACCAAAAGATTAAAAAAAGAAAAAAAAGAAATCAATATGTGTTTTTTTGTTTTTTCCTTTTTTTAATTAAGCGACGTCAGTGTTGGGCCTCACCTTAGTTTGCCCAGATGTGTTCAAGCAAGCAGACCCGTTCTGGCAAACTGTGACACCACAAGGAGAGTTAGTTGGCCCAACCTTTGGAAGTGGAGAAGTTGGTTTGGTCGGGAAAGATGTTGGGCGGAGAGGGGTCTGAAAATAAACAGGAAAGCGACCATTTTCGGGGGTCCAAGCCAATTTAAAAGACACATCAAACGTTTGGAGAATCCCATTTGGAGAAATGGAGACCAGTCTGTTGAGGCACTGAGTGAGTTGAAAACTCGCTTGAGGCATTCGAGAGGGCCACTTGGAGTTCTTTCCGGATGGCCACAACAACTCGCCGGATGGAAAGGCTGGCTGCCAGTGAGGTGTCTAGTGAAGTCCAGACTTGGGGCCGTTTTGGCGTGTTGTGTGTTTTTCTTGTTGGTTTGTGGGTTTGTTTGTTGTTGTTTTTTGGGGGCGGGGGGAAGGGTGAACGGGGAGCCCTACGTATGGTAGTGTAGATTCCCTCGTGGTGCGGACTTTCTTTGGTACCAGTTTGTCCTGTACTGATTCAGACCCGACACGCAGGGGTTTCGCCATGGCCGAAGTAGGTGACTAGTGACTTATAGTGGCTAGGGGACAGCAACCATGAAACGCCATAACCTTCCGGCCTCTTGGCTCGAAAATTCTCATATAGCCCCTTGGACTCCGAGCAAAGCTCAGGGGACGAATGGGATCATTTGTCGGCCAAGGCCGAGCCCATTCACAACCGACCCCTCTTTTGTTGAGGGTACCCTTTTTGGGCTTACTTTAGAGGAAAGCCAAAGGAAAGCCAGCATGTTTTTGGGCGTCCTTGATTTTGAGACACACCCATATGGTAGCAATTCATTTTGTTTGTGGTGTCCCACCTTGGATTGCGGGTTAGGATTGAGGAGAGTTCAACTTTGGAAACCAACAAAGCACAAACCGTATTTGGGGTCCCGCGTGTATGGGGGGGAAAAAGCGAATCACCCCATAAAGAATCAGCAAGGGGTCACCAAGAGAATTGACCGCCCCAAATGGCATGTTTTTGCCCCGAGCAAAAGCTTTGGGGTCCTTGCCCACACAGTCTTCGGATTGGTTCGCATCGGCTTTCCGACTTTCTGTTGGGGAAACCACCTGGTCTGAGTGAACCCCAGTGGATGCGGGCAAGCCTCTATAGTTGGTATGGCAAGCCTTCCATGGTAAAACCCAGCAGAAGACAGCCGCCGACCTACCAGAATGAGAACTGAAACTATATGAATGCTTAAAACAAAGTACCAACTGGTGCCAAAGAAGTTTTGCCCGTCCACTGTATTGTCCGTCCGACCTGTGCCAATCAAACCCATGTTGATATGAATTCTGATGGTTGGAACAGTCGAACACCATCGCATCAGCTGGTTTCCCTCTATGCCAACCAGAAAAAGCTACGTACGTGGAACCTGACGTTTGGGGGGGTCCTGAAAGGGACCACCTAGAGTCTCCATGACCCCTAGAAAAAGGGGTCATAACCCCTTAATTGTGGGTGACCCTATTTTTTAAAGGTCATGGAGACTCCAGGCATTTCTTGGTCCAGTTTCATGTTTTCATCGGTGGGAGGGTAGCTTTTGCCTCCACATCCTTCACAACGGCGCTTTCCCCTCGCGACCGTTGCCAGGCATGCCTGCGCCTCTTCGTCCCACCTCAGGCCGGTTTTTGCGCAGGATCACACCTCTTCGCCTCATGGAAGCTGGGACTGTTCGGGGAAAAATGGCCGCTGCCTCTTTTCGCACGGGTTCCTGGCAACTTTAGTGGAAAGGCCGGGAAGGTGCACCCGAAAATGATACCGAGAAGCAGTCTTGCAAAGCACGGGGGGAAAGAAAAAAAGCAGAGATTTCCGGGGATCCCGGCTCTCAGGGCAGCTGCCCAAGGCGGTTTTTTGGAGAGAGGCGCGGGTGTTTCAGGTCCTTGGTCCGAGTTCGAGCGCGCCAGGCGCACATCCGCTACCAGTGCTGGATCGGGAAAAGCTCCGAGGGCCCCCGGGAGTCAGCTTCTGAGCTTGGGGTCTTGGAGTTCTTCTGCCTGGAGTCTCCGGATCTGACCCGAAAAAAATGGTTGGTCAGAAAGCCCGAAAAATCAATTCGGGTCGAATTGACCCATTTTTGATATTTGATTTGGGTCAGATCCGGAGACTCCAGGTGCAGCAATCCGGGAGCAACATCCAGGTGCATCAGTCCCCTTCGATCCCAGCTATAGTAGGTAACCCTTCGTTCTTGTTGCGTTTGGTTTCTAAAGGCTGGCTCGCCCTTGGTTACCTATACGGGTAAACGGATCCACTGGGCATCGTGCACAGACCCTTTTGAAGAGAAGGCCCGCTAAAAAGGAAACGTCCGGCCGCCGGCGTTCCCTTGCCCACGGCAACCAGCGAGAGTTGGCAAAGCTCCAGGTTGACTCGTCTGAGCTTAGGCGCTTTCCGGGGGACACCATGTCCGTTGATATGTTCCTCTCCGACTGGGAGGACTGGACGCCGCTTTCGAAGTTCGATGGAAGTCGTTCAACGCGACGCCCAGGGACTCGAAAATCTGGCTTCTCTAAATCATTGAAGAGAGCCTGACACTCAAAACATCTGAGTCTCCCCCATTGCTGTGTGTGTGTGTCTGTGTGTCTGTGTCTCTGTGTGTCTGTGTCTCTGTGTCCCTGTGTCCCTGTGTCTCTGTGTCTCTGTGTCCCTGTGTCCCTGTGTCTCTGTGTCTCTGTGTCTCTGTGTCTCTGTGTCTCTGTGTCTCTGCGTCTCTGCGTCTCTGCGTCTCTGCGTCTCTGTGTCTCTGTGTCTCTGTGTCTCTGTGTCTCTGTGTCTCTGTGTCTCTGTGTCTCTGTGTCTCTGTGTCTCTGTGTCTCTGTGTCTCTGTGTCTCTGTGTCTCTGTGTCTCTGTGTCTCTGTGTCTCTGTGTCTCTGTGTCTCTGTGTCTCTGTGTGTGTGTGTGTGTGTGTGTGTGTGTGTGTGTGTGTGTGTGTGTGTGTGTGTGTGTGTGTGTGTGTGTGTGTGTGTGTGTGTGTGTGTGTGTGTGTGTGTGTGTGTGTGTGTGTGTGTGTGTGTGTGTGTGTGTGTGTGTGTGTGTGTGTGTCTGTGTGTGTGTCTGTGTGTGTCTGTGTGTCTGTGTGTGTGTGTCTGTGTGTGTCTGTGTGTGTGTCTGTCTGTGTGTGCGCATGTGTGATACTGCGGTTGGACTGATTCGATTCCCCTGTGAATACGGATTTTGTGAGCATCCGCAGTACTGTGGATGGTCAAAATCCTGCACCGCATTGAAACCATGGTTGAAGCCATTGTTTGTTGGTATTTTCAGGGTTCGGTCCATGCATAGTAGGTGCAGTAAGCCCTTGTACATTTTTTTTTGCCATGCCCAGTGCCTCTAGGTATTTTTTGGATTACCTCTTGTTTTTCCCCTGTGAATACGGATTTTGTGACGACGTGACCATCCACAGTAGGAGGGGGACCAATCCTCCTTGCGCAGGAGCAAATCAGCGACGACGGCGCTGTGCCAGTTGTCCTTGAGGCACGGTTCGATTTTGTTTTTCGGCGGGAGGAGGCCGCTGCTTCTTATGAAAAAGCGGGAGCCCTAAATATGGGCACGTCCTTTTTCGAGGGTACCCCTTTTTGGGTGGTTTAAATGGGACGCCAAAAAAGGACAATCACCATTTTTGGGGGCTCCAACCTTGAGAAAGACACCCGCATCTGCCAATGCCAGTGCTTCCAGGTACCACTATAGTAGGTAGCCAGGGTTTCTTACCTCCAGGTCTTGGAATTACTACAATATTAGGTAACCAGGGTTTCTATTTGTCTAGGTTTTACCATGGATGGTTTTCCTTGGTTACCTTCTTGACTCAAGTCACGGGCAACCGATTTCGACAACCATGGTAAGAGTGTAATTGAGTTCGTAGTGAGGGAACCATGACCCATGACCCACACGGGGGCACACTGCAAAATGATTGGTGGACATAAACCCCCATGTACATCACGTCCACCCAAGCGTCCCCAATCAAGCGTCATGGCCATATAGCCGCTTTGTGCAAACATTGGGTGGATGTACTCCTCACCTTTTCGGACATTTGAGAATGAGATCCCAATTGGTGAATTGTGGATGGATCAAAACCAATGGTACCATTTATGGGTAGGTGCACCACCCATTTTAGAACCTAGATGAGATTGGGATGTTCACTGGTACGATTTGGTTTTTTACCCATGGCCAATTCTTAAAGGCGCATAAGGTGTTTTTGTCAAACCGACCAGATTCTGCGGGATTTCAACAACGATGATGCGCGGCAGCCTCAGCGCCTCACTTCCTTTGGAAGCGTAGTCGCTTTTGGAGAGGATTCGTGAGCTGCTAGTAGCCCTGCTTGTACTTCATTTGCTCCTATAAGCCCCCCACTTGGATGTTGAACCGCATTGGAAAGTAGGTTATATAAGTTATAAGTAGGGGTGCAAGGGAAAGAACCTCAGCTATCCCAGTTGTGGTCATGGTCATAACCTACTTACTACTCGGGTTGAACATCCAAGCCAGAGGCAGGGTAACAAAGTAACCACTTACGAAGCAGCCAATCACCTCGCTAAGTTGTCTCGTGAGTGCATTGACTGAGGTCTCTATCTAGAGAGATCCGCATCAACAGTGCATGACATCCAGGCAAGCGACGTCATGAAACTGAGCCACAACTCAAAAGACCTGGGGTAGGGGACAAGCCCAACCACAAATATGTGCGGCAACCAGTTTGATTCTTTACCATTGGCTTGGAGTAGTTTGAAAGCGCCAGGCCTAAAAAGTTCTTGAGCTGTCCATGGGCGGACGGCCTCGTAGCAGAATCTTATTGCATGGTAGGGAGCTGTGCTAACGAAGCGCCGCTCACGCTGTGCCTGTTTGGCAGATCACCGGGTTTTCGCCAAGCTGCTAATGCTGGATGGCAGAACGTTTCACACCTCGGTGCTTGAACTGCAAATGCAACAAGCAGAAAGAGGCGAGATCTGAGTGCCGAAAAGGGACGCCGAAGGTGGACAGCCGGATGTAGTCAGGTAGCGACATTTTAGTTGGCACCTTTCCGAAAGCTGAATGGTGGGCAGAAGCCTCCATGCCAATGATGGTCCATCATGTTCAAGTTGACATTCACACGGCAGGCTTGTCTTAGCAAGCGGGAAGCCGCAAAATGGTCTGCTTCTCATTGGTTTCCTGGCAAAAGGAAGGGAGATAGCCATTCGGCCCTTGGTTTAAGCCTGTGTTCGGTTCCTGTCATCAAGCAAATGAAACCCTGCCCAAATTGTCCCAACCAAGAGGCTTAGCCCCAACAAGGTCCCTGAATGCAGGGGACCCACTCAGCTTCTGCAGTTGGGGACGGGAACCTGTCCTCTCGAAAGCGAGAGCTTTTCGCAGGCTCGAGCTGCGGAGCCAGTGGACCAGTTGGGTGCGATGTTGAGGCTGCACTTTTCAGGTTGGGTTTCTTAAGATCCTCAGGAAAGACACCTTTTTCTGGGGTCACGCTTTTTTTCACACCCCGTATATAGTTACATTTGGGGAGGACATGGGGGGGCCCTCTCACAAAGAAGACTGACCAATTTCCCACTGCATCCTTAAAGGATAGAGCTGCAACAACCGATGTCGGGAACAGACAAGATGGCCGTCGGTTCTTGTGCTTTATGTTCGGACTATCAGTTGTTCCTATTGCATTGCAAACAGCGAAACTGATAAGTAGCAACCCTGGATTGGACGATATCTTTACAGGCTAATTACGTGCACTGGCAATGCAGCTTGCGCTCACTGCGCATGCCACGCCGTGCGAGCCGCAAAAGCCAAAGCCTCGCGCGCCGATGTTTCAGCTGGCTGCGCAGGGACTGATGTGCGGATCTTTGGGAAAAGGCTTGACATGCTTTGCAGATAGGGGCAGGGTGCGCTCCGTCGCAAAGTATGCCAAGGGCAAAGGTAAAGGCGTGGCGACGGTGGCAAACTTGGCGCCAGACAAAGACCCACGGCTGGCCCAAGTGGAGGATGATCCGCGGCGCAGAAAGGGGGCACCACTGGGAAAGGCTCAAAGAGCAGCCTTGGGAGAGCATGGCCTGGATGGGCGCAACAGCGCATCGTTTGATCCTGGCTCCACGTTGGTTCGGCCCTCCATGCGGATTGCATTTGGCTCCTCAGAGCTGCCGGAGTACGACAAGGTCTTGCGTCACGATGACGTCGTGATAGTCCCGGAGTTTTTCTGCAAGGAGACTGACTGGCAGACCTACTACGACCTCGTGGAGGAAATGCGAAAGCTGCAAGAGGACGGCGTCAAGGATTCTGCCTGGACCTCCTGGCATGAGGGCGCACACCTCTTGAGTCCAAATCCAGAAGGGTCCCCAACCTACCAGCGAATCTTGGAGCGCATGTGCCAGTACTTCAGCGTCTCAGAAGGCACTCGAGGCACACGCTTCAATTGGTACCGCGATGGAAGTGACTGGAAGCCCTTTCATCATGACTCGGCGGCGTTCAACGCGAAGAGACTCAGTTGTTCAAATCGAATCGACCTTTTGACCTTTTGGTTTTCCTCCTGGTTCCCAGGTTGTGAACCTTTTATTCCCAGGTTCTTTGGGCAAGTGAGGAGAGCCAAGAATCAGAACTGCACCATTGGGATTTCCTTCGGGTCCTCGCGCGAGCTGGCCTTCAGACATGCTCAAAGTGGAGAGCTGATCTACTTTCCGCAAAGCAACGGGACACTCTACTTCTTTGGCCGTGACGTGAACATTCGATGGCAGCACGGGATCAACGCATTGCCTGCAGAAGAGCAAGATGGAAGAGGCAGGGGTTGGGATTTTCGTTCACGGGAGGCTTTAACCCAACAAAACAAGAGTGCACCAAGCCCCCTTTTAGGTCCGTTTTAGACGCCCTCACCGATTGTTCATGGGGGCGGAAGCAACAAATCGCTAACACTTCCCCGGCGATGAACTTTTGGACCTGTAGACAATTTGGAGTTTAGAGGGATGTATGACACATCGCACCAGCCTTTGAACGAGCCAACCACCAGGCCGACATGATATTTCCCTTCCTTCCAAGGCAGGATTTCCATCATCCTTTGGGGCAACGCGAGCAAGGCCGTGGACGAGTCCGGCTCTCCAGCGATGCTTGGTGATGATCGGCCAGGGAACTACTCCATGCGCACCTTTGTTGCTCTTTAGCCAGACCCGAACTGAATTCAACACCAAGTCCCAAGAACCCACGACCCTAATTGCGAGGGCCTTCACGCTCCAAAAGCCTTGAATAAGGTCTCGGGTTTAGGGAAGCGTCAATCATTGAGACCAGCTGCAGGAAATTATGTCTGGAAATTGTCCAACTACCCACCAAGAACAAGGGATTGTCCTACGTGGAATAGCCCTTTTTATCCGTGTGTCATCCCTTTTCGCGTGTTTGTTGGAATGGATCAGTTGTTTTGAAGAAGTTGTTTTGCTGTCAAACGGAAGCCAAAAGTAACATCACCACTTTGGTCCCCTGAAAAAAGACACCCGAATCAAAGATCTTTGCTCGGAGGTCCTTGCCAAGGCAAGAGTTCCAAGCCTTGCCGGGATTTCCTGCAGGGCAGCTGCAGGTTTGGGGATCGGTGCAGGTTTACGCATGGTGTAAGCACCGAGCGCGGGGAAAAAGAACGATGCAGGAGGGTTGTTTGGGTTTGAGACAGGTCTCCCAGTAGTGCCCTTTTACCAAAGGGCTCCCCTACTAAGATAGACAACAGGAGAAAAGGGTATCATTCTAACCTCTCAAATGTGGAGGAGCTAGGAGAGCAATTTGGTCCGGAGCTCACAGATCCAAGCTTTGATACCAGGTGTTTGAATCCAATCCTGCAGCTCAGGAACTTGAAGTGGGTGTCTCTTGGGGATTCTCTTTTGGTTCGGAAGGGACGCTGACGACCATACAAGGACAAGCAGTTTGGGGGGTCCAAGCGGTTTCGAGTCAGGAGCTCTTGGCTCACGAGTTAGCTGGTGGTAGGCAGACAAACAAGTAACGTCCATGACAAGCCGCATCCTATGAAAAGCAACAGGGGTCTCCTCCGAGACTACTATATACATACAGCACATAAGGGTAGGCTCAATATGAAGCAGAATCGAACCATGTTTACCTCAGTTGTGGGCCATGTAAACTAACATCCGCAAGTAGCACAAGCCTGGCGACGAAGGCGAGTCACTGATTTCAGGAATAACTTTGGGTGCACCTTCTGAACAAGCACTCAGGATTCGGAGAGGCCGCTAAACTAACATCCAGAATATAAGTAGAACGTGGTGCCTGACCGAAACGAAAGCCCACCTGATATTCGCGGGCAGATGAGCACAAGCGATATCACGGAGTTCATTGCATGCCATGGATGTGGTGAGCAGGGCTGCTGCGATCGTGAGGGGTAAGGAGGCAGGAGACTAGCCACAATGGCTGTGCCTGTGCGGGTGGGCGGGGTTTCTCGATGCGACGAAAAAGGGGGTCATGTGGGGTCATATGGGGCCATTTCGAAGGGGCCAAAAGTTTTGGCGGGTTCCCTTGGCCAACCGTTTGTTCTCTCGAAAGATTTTCAGATGGTACCACTTGGAACTGGTGACCAGCCATCTAAAACGCTTGCCCTGATTATAGTCGCTACCTCAAGACGCTCCTTATTTCTTTTTCTACTAACCACATGTATGGTTTCGTGGATTTTTCCGGATACCCTTGTCCAGACTGGTTTGAAGGGACACCAACACGACAACTACTGTACCATTTTGGGCACAGAAGCATTGAGTTTGAAAGTGATGAACTATTTCGCTCAGGGCATCTCGGGGTGAAAGAATGCCGAACACCTGCAGAAGATGCGCACGCTCAACCCATATTGATGGTACTTGCCACACGCCATAAGTTGGCACCGCAGAGACCGAGTCCATCAACCGCGTTGAAATGCCTTGTTTAGAGTCGCTGGTAAAGAGCTTTGGCCATGGCCGCGTATGTTTTGCGTCCGTCGAGAACTGTTGCTGAGCCTACTGAAGACTTGTCAGTGTTATGCGAATCGATCCTTCGTCACAATGCTGGATTTGTCTATGTGCAGTCTCAGAATAACCAGAACGGCCAGGTGGTATGTCATGAAACAACAACTATCAGTTGGAGGCCTTTGCAGAAGAGGCTCCGACGCAGCAACCAATACGCCCGATGTCCAAATGGCTGATTCAAGGAAGAGCAAGTAGTGAGCGTTTGCTGAAGGGTTGTTCATGCATTGCTGGCACAGGCTTGAACGCTCCAGCGGCAATCATAGAGCCAAGCATGATGCGTCATTCTTGGCAAGCACAAGTTAGACTTGCAAAATGCTGCCGATGTATGCCCATGGCCTTTCGCTCATGCAGCCTCCTACCCCTCAGTACGTGCGCAAGGTTGCAACGTTGACCGACGGCAGTCAACTGCCAACCCTTCTGACTGCTGTCAGGCCGGCGTCAAACACTCAAGAGTTTTGTGAAGAAGGCTTGCAGCATGATGAAGAATATGATGAGGAAGGCCAGGGCCCCAGCTTGGAGTACATATTCTGGGGTATCGATTTCAAACCTATTTTGCCGGGAATCCTTGCATTGTCAACGATTCTTGGAGCCGTATGCATGATGACAGTCCAAGTTCCGACTCTCAGCCGAGTCACATTGATGTCGCAAGCTGTGCTTTCTGCAGCTTGTTCTGTGCTGTATGTTGTCACACTAGGGTGCATGACGTACTGCGCTTTTGCGGATCCCGGTCAAGTTAAGCGGACGCGGAACGCGCAGCTGGGAGTGGACGTTGAGAAATGCATGGCATGCCAGAGCGCACAAGTCGTGGCAGTATCCCAGGCCCATCCGTCGATACGACCACTACTGCAAGTGGCTCAAGAATACGATCGGTCTTCTAAACCACCGAGAGTTTGTGACGATGCTGATCGGCTTGACCCTGATCTCTTTCGTGGGAATTGTGGTTGACTTGTGGGTTGCAGTCCTCGTTGCCAGGGAAGGTGTCTTGCAGAGCGAAGTCTTTGTTGCGCTGCATTTAGCCTATTCGATTTCCTTGCTGGCGATTGAGGGCCCGATGCTCACAATACATGCAGGATTAATATGCAGGAACGAGACGGCGCAGGAGTGGAAGAAGAAGCAGAACTATGTGGCGAACGACACCAGCCACGGTGACAACGTGCCAGTGGAGCAGTTGGATGATGATGAGTACAACGACTTGTTTGACCAGGATGCCTTTGTCTATGATCGGACAAGGAATCCATTTGACAAGAGCATCCCGTCAAACTGCTTCAACTTTTGGTGCATGCCTCGCTGGCCGGCAGACGAGAACGGAGAGTGGTGACAGAGCTTAGAGAGCTCATGGAAGATGCTCGTAGCAGTACCAGTACGCAGCCTCGCGCTTTTGTCCAGGCTCGTTTCACTACGTTGTGATCAAGACGGTCGCGCGATTGTACTATATCCGCTGCTCCAAGCACAGAAAAAAACACGAGACCAAGCCGTGAAGTCAAGAAATGTGAGGGATTACAGGAGAGACTGGACAACTTGTTCCAACTTATTCCCTGACCTCAAAAGGAAAGGGACAGGGCATGGTGGTGTTGTTGCTGGCAAACTCGATGAGGCTGCAGGAAGAGCATTGCATGAGTTTAATGATCTTTCATCGGTAGTGTTCATGTTTCAGATCATCCTTTTCAGCTTTCGGTGATTCCTTGTTGATGGACGGACGTGCGGAGGAGAGCCTTTCCGTTCAGATGTGTGCTGTGAACTGTTCCTTTCCCGCCTCCTGCAACAGATTTGACTGCGTGAAACGTACTAGAACGGTCTATTTAGATAGAATTGTGGGTACTCAAAGAACACCAATATAAAGTCGTGATGATAAGAGAATAATGTGCATAATTATTCAGCCCCTTGTATTAGTTGGTGTCTTCTTGGTTTCCCTTTAAAACCTCCCAAAAAAGGCACCCCACACAAGGGCACCCCCAGATCTTGCCGCGCGCAGGAGACCGAGCTCGTCAGCGTGCAGATCGACGAGTCTCAGCTTCAAAAGATCTTATCAGCACAGTTCTTTGGCGACGCAAATGGCTGTGGTTGTCCAAAAATAGGGGAACCCCAGAATGGAAGCCTGGTAAATGGAACCAATGACTAAAAGCTGCGGTCCCCAGGTGGCCAAATTTTGGCTCATACCCAAATAGACCAAAAGGGGAGCTGTGTTTGCAATGGCTCAAGTGTGTTTGGGAGCTGGTTGGATCAGTTTTGTGAATCAATACAGTGTACCCTCAGTCCAGTAGGGGCCAGTCCCAACTGTAAGTAGGTGTGGCAAAAGCCGGCCTCTTGATTTTTTACCATCGGTTTTTGCAAGACTCCTTGCTACCAAGCAGTAAGTCTGACTCACCCAGGTTTCCCTGCCTTTTGCCAACTGCTTTCGAGGATGCCGTTTTGGCTTCCAGATGCTCAGATCTGAGGGGCTGTTGGTGCTACAGGAACCATTTGGATCGCTTCGTGATAATCTTCGGAGCATGTCGAAGGCACGTTGGTAAGCTCATGGCTGCGCATACCATCCCTCAGGCTAACATGGAAGCTTCCAGGACCCTTCGGGAAGAGGGCACTTCTCTTAGTTGTTTTCTACCCAGTAAGTGTGATTGTCAAACCGATAGACAACCACGCCCTGCCAATCAGGCTGCAACACCGATAGACCACCCAAAACCGGTGTCCCTGAAGGGTTCTTACAACGTTCCTAGAAGGAGAGATAAACCACCTAGCAACTGGCGCAGGGTTTTGTCCATCCACAGTATTATCAGTTGGAACACACTAGAAAACATAAAGCATACATCCCCAAAAAATGTCCAAAGGGTCCATGTCCACCTAGAATTACATACCTGAAGAAATGTTATGTTTTGATTGGTCCCCACTTCGTGGGTAAGCTGAAACGGGCAAGGAAGTCTCACCGAGAAACGGCGGGAGGGGTTCGGGTCCGAGTGCGAGCCGATCCGGAGGCCTCGCAAGATGTACCGCTGGGGCTTCAGCTTTGCGAGGCCGGAGACGGGCAGATTTCTGCCCCAAAGCCCGAAAGTTGGGCGCTGCGCTTGGTGTCCCTGGCTGGAGAGAGATATTTTCCGGATATCCCTAGGTTGGAGAGCCCAAGATATCCCAACTTGGGGACAACAAACTGTCAAGGGGTCCCCTCAAAAAGAGGCACGCTGTCAATGGGTCCTTGTTTTGGAGGGTACAAATTTTGGGTTGCTTCAAAAGGGAACCAAGGGAAACCACTGGTTCGGGGGGTTCCCTATTTTCCGAAGCCGTTCATGCTGTATCTAGAGCTGGACCTCGCAGAGTTGGCCGACCCCAACTTGAAATCTGGGAGTTTTTTGGGGAGTTTGGCGCTAAATGGGGACCCCCTACAGCGGGGTGGTTTAATTTTTCCCTTAACACATACAGCTTCGCATCAAAAGACACACCCATGCGATGACACGGTTGTTCCTGGTTTCCCTTGGGCCAAACTGCCGGGGTCTAATTTGGAGCAAGCCTCAGTTCTTCTCCGAAAGGAGCCCTGGTTGATGTTGGCTCAAGGTCGAGAAAGGTCTCAGATAGAGTTTATGATATGTCTAGAGACAACACCTTGAAACCATGTTGAGCTCGGTTTTGATTACACCGCAATTTACAATGTTGAGTAACTAGGACCCGTGAGGTTCATTTGAGCAGCCCCCCTTCAGCCCCAGAACCCATGTTTAGTGGTTTCTTCTACCTGGTTGGAAAATAGATAGGCCTCTAGAAAACATTTTGGTAGAACTACCTGTCAATGGGTTTGGGGTTTGGGGGGGGGCATTGGCAAAGCCAAGCCAGAAATCCATCAAGTTGAGGGAACTGGTGGGTGTCGGAAACTTCGCAGGATGGCGTGACAGTAGCGGCCGTACTCGCCTCAGACCAGGTGTCCCTGTACGTTCCAAGGTTCTCTAACCCCGGATCTAAGTACCTGGAGTCTCCATGACCCTTAAACAATGAGGACATTACCCAAAATAATGGGGTCATTGACCAATTTTTAAAGGATCAGGTAGAGCCCCTGGTGGATTCATAAAGGGGTGTCCCTTTGATTTCGCGTGGATTCAGACCACTTCGGAGGGGAGTGGATTGATACTGTGGATGCTCGAAATCCATTTCGCACCACCTAAGAAACCCGACAATGATGATTCCCCTGCAAATACCAACGAACAATGGTTTCCAGTGTTTTCAAGTTGGTGCAGGATTGTGTCCATCCACAGTAGGGGGGTGTCCCCTTTTCATTCGCGGGGATTCAGACCACTTCTGGAGGGCAACCCCCCCATGAATAAGGTTTATTAACCTTGAAGAAAATATGATTTTCCAGAAGCCTTATGTCCGGCTCCATTGGTGGGTATCCAAAGGAAACCACCCGTTTGCGGTTCCCTAATTTTGGAGTTAAAGGGGAAGCACAAGGAAACCACCCATTTGCGGTTCCCTAATTTTTTGAGTTAAAGGAGAAGCAAAAGGAAGCCACTCAGTTGCGGTTCCCTAATTTTGGGGTTAAAGGGGCAACGAAACTAGGTCCTTCACTAGCGCCCTTTTACACTTCTTTGGGGGAAGGGTCCCCTACTAAAATAGACTGCAGAAAAAAGGGTACTCTGATTCCAAGCTCTCCACTGGAGGACCTAGCAAAGAAAGCCAACCAAATTTTGAGACGTCGTCTCGGCTCAGCTCGCTTCGCTTTGAGGTGGATGATCGCGGCCTGGTGGCGCAGTGGAACGCCGGCCATGGCCATGTCATCACTCCCGGGGCGGAAGTGCGGGCGGTGAACGGCCGGGCCCACCCTCTTCGCATGCTGGAGGCGTGTCTGGCTGTCGGGGGTTTCTGGAAGTGGGCCTTTTACACCAAAAAAGATGTGTGTTTTCCAGAAAACCGCCGAAAAACCTGGGGAACACCTTCCCCATTCGGGGTCTGGTTTCGGCTTCTCGAATTTCTAGGGGTACCTTCCATTTTCATTCTTTCCGGGGATCCTTCTTTGCAGAAAACCTCCAGAAACCCAGGGAAAACGGCTTATGTTTATTTATTTGTTAAGATGATTGAAAAGAATGGGGAATCCCTGGAGAATTGGGCAATTGGGGGTTATTCCGTTCTGGGGCCCTGAAGAAAGCCCAAAAGCTTTTGGTACCCAAGTAAGACACATCCAACTAGAGGACCCCCTTTTTACTATAGAGGGAAACCGATTATGGAAATCGACCAGGTCCGCATCGAATGCTGGCTTCAAGGGATTTCGGCCACCCGGAAAGGTCACTTTCAGTTGAGTTTCCTCGTATATATAGGGTGAAACATGCTTTGTGTGGATTTGGATCTTTGGACTTTAACTTGTTGGGAACCAGTGGCTTGTCCATTGGCCCCACAACAAAATAATCTTCTTGCAGAGGGGTCAACAGCAGCTAAGTATGGCCAGCCCTGTTTCTAGGCGTCCTGCAACACCAGATGACACCGGAAAACCAGTGGGGCCTAGCTGAAGTTAGTGCCATCTACGTTCATTTTAGCTTCAAGGACTCCTGCGGCTTGTTCTTTTCGCACCGCTGCGCGGCTTTTGGGGGATATCAAAGTCCAAGGCTTGGAAATGATATCCAACAACAGTTCGACTCGCTCGACTCGCTCCCCGAGTTCCTGGGCTTTGAACTTTTTTGGGTTTGGACCATTCTAGTGGTGAATAGCACGTTCCTGGGCTTTGATTGGACCATCCACTCGATCGGAAGTGAGTCTATTTCAAACTCGACTACCCATGTTTCTCTCAAGGGGACTGGCAGGAGCTGCAGCAATCGAAGATGCTGAAGTTGGAGGTGAAGCCTCGTGCTCCTTATCTCACCCAGTTGTGAAATCCATTTTGCACCACCTAAGAAACTCTGGAATGATTGTTCCCTGTAAATACCAACAAGCCATGGTTTCAGCCATGGTTCAATGTGGTGCGAAATGGATTTCGTCCATCCACAGCAGATAGCCGGGGATCCCTGTCTCTAGGTTTTAGATCATCATGTTGTTGTGCTGGTTATGGTTACCTGCTATGGTAACTGGAAGCACTGGGTGAAGGAATGAGCTTGGAGTTGTTCAAGCCTGATACCAGAGAACCACCCCCTTGCAGGGAGTTGACCTCAACATATAGGTTGACTTGAAAGGCATGCCGCGAAGCAATGGTATTGACGGTACTCTCTTCACCTCAATGAAAGGGAAAGCAAAAGAAGCGCCGCCATTCGTGGGATCACCCTATTTTGACACACCCGTGTGAACCTGCCATGTGGGTATGGGTCAAAATTAAAACCACCAGGGGACCACAGGTGTTGGTCCTTCTTTCCATTTACCAGGTGTCCATTCTGGGTACCCATTTTTGACCCACAGCCATGTATTGAGCTCAGGGTGAAAGAGCCAAACTGGACGGCCGCGAAGATCCTGTGCCTCTTGACGGCAGCTGTGGATGGACGAATTCCATTTCGCACCACCCAAGAAACCGAGGAAAAATTCCCCTACAAACAATGGCTTCCTATGGTTTCGATTTGGTGCTGGATGTTGTCCATCCGTATGAGCTGGCCGAGCGAAGCAGCTTTGGCTTTCCCGGCCTTTCAGACTAGGAACCTCCCTTTTGTTTTGTTGCTGGGAGGGGTGACCTGGAAACTTGACTAGGAACTGCCTTGGGGCTAGGGCCCTGTCTCTTGTTTCTGACAGTTTTTTCGGGGTTACTCAACTCTGTTGCCCAGTGGTGCCAATTTTCATCTTTTTTTGGGGGGAAGGCCTCAAACTCAACCAACAAACAAAGGGTGCCCTTTTTTGCCATGGCCACTGGGCATCTGAGTCAAAGCCAAGCGGTAGGGGGTCCCTGTAGACCACAACCCGATGACTTTCATAGATGGTTCATGGTGCCAGTCGTGTGCCATCAGCTTGACTTTGAGGCTTAATGACGGAGCGCAACGTCTCCTCAAAGTGGGGTTTGGCAACAACACCTACCCCAGGTTGGCTCCAGAACGGACACCCAAAACTAGTCTGCTGTTCCAGCCTGGCCACCTGATATTTTGTTGTTTCCCTCTAGTTGATGCTTTTAGGCTGGACATGTGGTTGAATCCTTGTCTTGCCGATTCTCAGGGAGTGCGGGAACGATCCTATCCCTGATTTCGTTTGAGGACCCCCAAAACCGGTTGGCTGTGGCTCAAAAATAGGTACCCAAAATGGCACCTTGGTAAATGGAACCAAAGACTAAAACCTGCGTAACCCTGGCTCTTAAATTTTGAGCCACACCCAGTTCATTCCCAAACAACTGATTCCTGAGAACCAGCCCCCTGGCCCAAGCGCCCCGAGAGCGCCCCGAGAGGAGCTTTCCGCGCGCGCGACTTTCGGCGATCGCCAGGTTTCAGCTGATCGACGCGGAGCGGCGCACGCGGGAGAGCGCTGTGGAGCAGCTCACGGCCTTTATGACGCAGGCCATCACCACGGTGTCCAACCGCATGGAAGCTGCTCGGAAAGAGAAGCTTTCACGGAGAAAACCGGGTGGATTAGGGGTGGCTGTGTCGTTTGTTTTAGTTTGGCCACCAAAAACCTCGGGATTTGAGGGAAATGAGGAGTGGGGGGCTTGGGGATCTGTCGATGGGGTAGCTGAGGGGTTGTTTTTTTGGGGTTCCCTTTAGAACCATCCAGAAAGGGCACCCGCAAAAGGACGCACGCCCTGTGGCTTATGGCTGGGTTCCGCCGTCATGGACCTAGTGGAACCCCATTTTTGCGTGTTTATTGGATATGGTTCCAAGCGTTTGCTGCGAGGCGGCAACTAAACCATGCTTACACCCAACCAAGCACCGACTTTATGCGCATGCAGTGCAGCAAACGTGTAGGGCCAGGAACATGGCGTGACATGATCAGAACCCAATACAACCCATATAGTATTTGTGTGCGTGTGTTTTTTGCCCTACAGCACAAACACAAACGCAAAACACACGACACACACAACACAACACAACACAACACAACACAACACAACACAACACAACACAACACAACACAACACAACACAACACAACACAACACAACACAACACAACACAACACAACACAACACAACACAACACACACACAACACAACACAACACAACACAACACAACACAACACAACACACACAACACACACACACACACACACACACACACACACACACACACACACACACACACACACACACACACACACACACACACAGACACAGACACACAGACACAGACACACAGACACAGACACACACACACAGACACACAGACACACAGACACAGACACACAGACACAGACACACAGACACAGACACACAGACACAGACACACAGACACACACACAGACACACACAGACACACACAGACACACACAGACACACACAGACACACACAGACACACACAGACACACACACACAGACACACACAGACACACACAGACACACACACAGACACAGACACAGACACAGACACACAGACACAGACACAGACACAGACACACAGACACACAGACACAGACACAGACACACACAGACACACACAGACACACACAGACACACACAGACACACACAGACACACACAGACACACACACAGACACACACTTTCAAGATGTTGGTTGGTGCATGCAACTGTGAAAGTCGTCCCTTTTGTTTGATTTTATAGCCATACAGGTGGGGAGGACTGATTTTGGAAGTCGTCTCTTCTCTTGACATGGGCATGTGGGTAAGCTTTTATGCGTCGGAGGAGGCTTCATTTGTTCGATGTGTATTCCATGGTCCGTCAAGATTTGCTTCACTCGTTGTACATTGTAGCTCCATTGGCCTGGCATTTTGTGTGCTGCCTTTGCTACTCCTGTTACTGTTTCTGTTGCTACGTTTTTGTTGTTTTGCTGCTGCTCTTGCTGTTGCCGCCGCCGCAGCAGCTGCTGCGGCTGGTGCTTTTGCTGCTGCTGTCGCCGCCGCCGCTGCTGCTATTGCTGCTGCTTTTCCTCTTGCCGCTGCTGTTGCTGGTGCTGCCGCTGTCGCTCTTGTTGTTGCTGTACGTTGCTGTTGCCGCTTCCGGGGTCGTTTTGGCTGTCCTTTCGTTACTCTGCGTGGCGCGCGCTTCTGCTAGGGATGGATGGCTTTAGAGCTGAACAAGGCCTCGGTTTAGGCTTCCACGATCTTGCAATTTCGTGGGGGGGGGGAATCACTGAAGAGATGGCCCTGCGCGCGCGAGTTGCCTTTGAGCTGTGCGGCGCATTATCTGCGTCCTTTGCGTGCACATGGCCCTAGTTTTGACCGTGCTGGCGTCCCCTTTTTGAGGATGGTGCCAAAGGGAAACTGAAGGGAAAACCCATAGAACCAATAGTTGTCAAAACCCGAGTAAAGAAGTCATGACCCGCCCTACTGTACCAGACCCAAATCGCCTTTGGTTTGAGGAACTCGCGTTGACTCATCTGAAGAGCCAAACGCAGCAGTCTTCAGGCATGCAGGACACGGGTTGGCAGCAACTTAGCTTGGGACTTTTTTTGGACCCCCGACCCGGTTTCCGACCCCAAAACCAAGAGGCGAACAGGATGTGCTAAAAACAGGTTGAGGGTTGAACAAAACAGTGTCCCCGACCCTGGATCCCTGAGACCGTTGAAACAAGATTGTCACTGGACGAAAATAAACGGAATGATTCGATTCTCCTACAAATACCAACACACGTCCAAAAAAAGTTTCAACATGGGGTCTCGGATTTCGTCCATCAGGTGTGTTGCGCCGTCGCAGGACTTGAAAGAGAAGCTTTCAGCACTGCAGGAGGCTCATGGCGCGCAGGTGTTTCGCGCAGATCGCCTGGAGGAGATCCAAAGTAGTACCGCTGAAGAGATCTCCCGGAACGCGGCTGAGACCAGGAGACTCATGGAGAGTCTCTTGGCTGCTCTGATCTTTCAGCTTTCCACAGGTTGGACACGAAGGATTTGCTGGTTTTTAAGCACAAAGTTCGGCTGGTTGGAGGGATCTGAAAGCCAAACCTCCCTTGCTTTGCCCTTAGCGGGTGGCTTTAAGTAATTTGAGGGGAGCTTAAAAGTTTAGCATGGGAACCTTTGGGACATGGCCCGGCCTCTCTAGTCTGTGGGTGTCACGCCATGGTGCGCGCAGGTTGGGCAAACCGTGGGCGGTGGGCTTTCATGTTTAAGGGGGTGGTGCCTTTGGTTACCTACAAAACCAAGTACATGGATCCACAGGGCTTTGGAAAATGACTGTTTCCTGACGAATTTAGTGTCAAACAGTTCAGCTGAGCTGGCCTTTGGATTTAGGGTTTTGACCTGTCCACCTTTGGCTTTGGGACAATGATTGTTGCCTAAAAGTGGCCATGATTTTTTATAGGGAACGATCTCAAAAGTGGGGTGGGGTGGGGTGGGGTGGGGTGGGGTGGGGTGGGGTGGGGTGGGGTGGGGTGGGGTGGGGTGGGGTGGGGTGGGGTGGGGTGGGGTGGGGTGGGGTGGGGTGGGGTGGGGTGGGGTGGGGTGGGGTGGGGTGGGGTGGGGTGGGGTGGGGTGGGGTGGGGTGGGGTGGGGTGGGGTGGGGTGGGGTGGGGTGGGGTGGGGTGGGGTGGGGTGGGTGGGGTGGGGTGGGGTGGGGTGGGGGGGTGGGTTTGCCTTCGGGTCTTCTTCGCTTCAGGTCTGGCGACCTTGTCGGAGCAGACCACGGGCCGTGCCGCTCAGCTCAACGAGGCACTGCGCGGCATCGCTGAGGATGTGGGGTCGCTGGAGCGGCTGTGCAAGAAGCCGAAGTCCGAGGACCCGTTTGTCGGGCTTCTGTCTTCAAGTCTTGGTTTCCCTTTAAAACACGCACCAAAATTGGGGGTATTGACAATACCCCGAATCTTGTTGGTCAATACCCCCCCCCATTTTGGTTGGTGCTTTAAAGGGAAATCAAGAGGAAGGCTTCCGGAAGCCATTTTGGGGACCTTCTTTCGTTCCCAGAGGCTCCTGAACCTTTCAATGGAGGACCCAACCCCTCCATTAGACACCCGCAGGTGGTTCGCGGTCTCAAAACCAGGCTGCTTGCAGGCCCTAAAGCAATCGGGAGCTGGGGTGTGCCCTGAAACAGACAGAGCCAGCTGGTTTCAGAGGAGTCCGGGCCGGGGTCGGGGTAGATACCGAGGGAAATGGTTTTGCAGCCAAGAAGCCGAACAAAAAAACATGCCCTAACCGTCGGGGGATTCTGCCCGTGGGATGGTTGCAAAATCCTGCACCACGGTATTCAACTCCCCGGCAAATACTGGGGTTTTCTGGGGATTCAACCTGTGGGATGGTTGAAATCGAAATCCAGCAATTTCGCACCACCGTTCAGACCCCCTGGATCTGGATGCAAATACCCAACAAACAATGGTTTCAACCATGGTTTCAAAGAGATCGCAAAAGTTTGTCCATTCATAGTGCATTCGACCCGTGGACAAGGCAAATGGTTTTTCAGCCAAGAAACCTAGCAAGATCCAATACCCTAGCTAGCGCTAGCGACTATAGAAAGTAAGCATGGGAAACCATGATGTATAACCTAGAGGTACGAACAGGTAAGATAAACTCTAAGTGTCCACCAGGTGGGGGGATTGAGTCCTATTGAACATGCTCCTCGTGGTCCTTCAAAGGGCAGGGTATTTCAGGGCTCCTTAACAAAGATCTCCATTTTGCCCATGTGAAACATGGCTTTTTGCAGCAAGATAAAGGGAAACCACCATTTACAAGGCAATGTTCAGGCGTATAATGTAAGGATCCCTGTATGTTTGTTTTTGCTTCTGCCCCATGTTGTGAGGATGACACCAGCACGGCACCCACACGGACGGCCTCTGGGGAGGGGCAGAGCTTTTTCAGCCAAACGGCTGAAAGGCACAGCCGCGCCAGCACTGGCAGCACGGAGCCAAAGGACCTCTCCGGCTCCAGGACCTATGGCTCGGCATTTCCGACTCGGACCCGAGCGGTTCTGTCAAACTCCCAGTCTGCATATGTGCCTCTGCCCAGTGGGTTGCCAAAGCTTTTGTCCACTTGTTTGGGGGGAAGGTTTTCCCCTTAAAACTCAACCAACAAAAAAGGGTGCCCTTTTTTTCCCATGGCCAGTGGGCATCTGAGGTGCTAACTGATGTGCCGATGGAGAAGGCTGTGTCGGATGGATTTCAAGGCCGGTTTCAAGCAATTCCAGAGCGACAACTCCGAGCAGAGAGTCCGCACATCTACTCCCCGCGCTGGGCGCCAATGACCTGGGCGCAGCCACACCCAGTACTTGTGCCGATGGTTTCCCCCATCTCTTCACCTCGGCCGAGCTCCCCGGGCCGAGTGACGAGCTCCCGGCCCTTGAGCCCGCTGACGCGCGTGACGCGAGTGCCGCCGGCGCCGGCGCCGCCGGCGCCGCTGAGCCGAACGCCCAACGTGCCGAGTTTGGCCGCGCCTGGGCGCCCCATCGTCATTTCTGCAGGCGGGCGAGCGCTCGAACTCTTTTTTCGAGCCGCAAAAGTTCGGGGGGTTCCAGATTCTCAGAATAGTTGTTTGTTTGTTTGTTTTCGCCTGTTGGTTTTAGAGGACTATGCAAATATGGTTATTCTTCCATTGGGCTTAAGCAACTGGACGAATTCGCCTTCAAGAACTCCTCAAAGGAGCGCTCAGGGCACCATTTGATGGCAAGGTGCTGGTTGTAACCCAAAACTTTCCAGGCCCTGTTGAAGTTTCCCCCCTGGTTTCTTGGGGCAAAAGAAGCGACTCGACCCAGAGGCACGCCCTACTCGTACGAAGCCCCGAAGAATGACACGGAGAAGACCTCGAAAGTTGAAGCGAGTCTTCCTGCCACTGAGAGATCCCGCCGAGTTGTTTCACCCCACCGGGCCAGGTGAAGCGTTTCTCGCTTCTAGAGCCAATGATCATCACTTCACGTATGGCTTTTGGAGGTTTACGGTCTTTTTTTGGAATGTACCCCGTTTGGGTTGGAGAAGGCACATCATGTAAATGGGCTAAATGGGTCCCGCGATTCTGAGACCAACCCGTGCAAGTTTGCCCAGTGGTAGGCACTGGTACCTCCAAAACCCAGGCTAAAATCATTGAAACGACGTGTGACTACAAGATCGCGGCGTTCAAAGTAAAAGTGAGCTGTGAGACTCGTGTGAAGCCACTTTCTCTTGAGAGCTCTGCATTACACGACATTGGGGAGCACTTATCTGTTTGACTCGGTACACATTTTCGGGGTTGGTTCAAGGGGAAACCGACAGGGGAACCACAATTTTGCAGGTCCCCCTATTTAATTTTGACACATTTCAACGTCGCCGCGCAGCACCTTTTCAGGGCAGAGTCAGCACTGCCTCGAGGGCGCATGTTGGCCATATTTGCTGGCTTCTGGTGAGGTGGCATGTCTCAAACGGATGCCTTTGAAAGGAAGCCACAAAGCAAGCTGGGCCTGGGATTGTTGGCTTTTGATGGCAAACCATAAACTACAAGGGGGTCCCAATAATTGAAATTGGCAGCCGTTTAAGTCGATGAGGGATGAGCACAGAGATTGCAACTGGGAAGCCTCTAAGAGGACACCCGCCAGCAGGGTTGGGTAGAGTTTGGATCAAAAATTCAGGTGGTTTGAACAATGCGTGTTTCGCCATGTAACAACAAGGGGGTGGCCCGCCTCCCTACTTGTGACAGGGCCATAGGACACCCGTGTGAAAAGAAAAATGGATGCCTGATGTATGGCCAGGACTGTGCGCCGTGCGAGGGCTGGGGTTTGCTGGCAAACACACATGGGTTGCATAACCTATGGCGATCCCATTTTGGGCTGGATGAACATCCATTTTTGCCACCTATTTGGATGTTCACCAGCGGTACAGGGTTTTGACTCACAGCCACTTGTTGCAGCCAATCGAAAGCGATTCGGGAGGAAGGGTAAGGGACGCCAGAAATATTTCTGCAGCCCTTGAGTTCTCTACAGGCTTGTGCGCATTTTGGGCGGCCTTTGCTTTGGGCATCCACGGAGTTTGAACGAATCTCAGATGGGATTGCCACCGATGGTCATGAATCCGTTGACACAGGATTTTGGACCGTGACAAGCGGGTTCGTCTCAGGAACTGCCAAAATGCTTGTTTTTCTTTTAGTTCCTTCCAACATCCAGAAGGGGTACCCTCAAAACCATCAGAATACAGCAGAAGGCAGGCCCAGAGCGATCCTGGCCCTTTTCGTGCCCACGAAATGGCCAACCATCCCGAAGGGATTGAGGGGATTTTCACTTTTGTACTACTACCCAGTGCTACCAGTTACGACTTGGTAGGTAGCCAGCGCAAAATGGTGTAAAACCCAGAGGTAGCTGTACATGGTTCCCTGCTATAGTGGCAACTGGAAGCACCGGGCTAGGGAAGTGAAGAATGAATTATGCAGGCCATAGCGCCATCAGAATTAGAAAGGCAATTTCCCACGAGTTTTCATACCCGCTCAAAGACACGTCGGGCGTTCTGTGCGCAGGACCTGCTCGTCAAGCAAAGCACTGATGATCTACCGCTCCGCCACACCAGGTACCTTGTCGTGTCAGGATCAGGCTTCAGGCATGCGGTTTCATGTGGCCTGAAGTTCGCTGCGTGCGTCTTTTTGTAGGCACCCTTCTTGCCGCGTTACCCATCTTGCAGCAATCCATCCCTGACTGAGAGTCTTGACACACGTCGCTGGAGGTATGGTCTCGGCGTGCCCTCGCCCCAGATACACGCAGAAGATTAGCATGGAACCCAAGAAATGACAGTTTCCAGAGGGATCTGTTTTTGCGACACCATGATTGGGGCATCTGACCACATGGCCCTGGTGACTGAAGCACCCAGGCTCCAGCAAGGCCACAACAAGTTTCACCCATTGAACATGATGCCACGCCAGAATTCCATCCCTGACCTAAATTGAGGCCACAAGAGAGGCACACAATGTGTGAAGCCGCGTGAGGTCCCGCCGCAAATTCCAGGGCCTATGGAGAACTCACTGATTTCCCACAACCAGGGTCTTAAACTCTTTTTTGCCCGCAGAATAGGACCATGGCTCACCAGCAAGTGGGTATGTGTCCTGAAATGGGGGGAGTGGCTTTCCATTTCACGTGTTTTCCAAGGAACAAAACGACCTTCAACGGGGCACCCTTCAGCTCAGAAAGCGCAGCACCAAATCACCTTGCTGGTGCTCAGTAGGGAATGAGGGAATGAACCCGGGGGTCTTACTGGAAACCATAAGGGGGATGATTATAGGGGTCATTTCCTCATTTTTTGCTGAGCTCGAAAAGGCGCCAAAATCAAATGGAGGTACAATGGCAACCTCGGGGTGGATGGTTTATCTCGGGGTCAGACTCCATTTATCTCATTCTCTGCCGATCGCACGTCACGGCAGTTCCGGGCACAAAGAACTGCTGAGGTCATGGGACCCTGGCGCCCGACCCGTCGACCTTGACTTGCAGGACTGATCCGAAGAACCGGGGCCCAGATCCCAGTGACCGAAATAGTAGGTAAAACCAGCTTCCGAAATCGTCGACCAGGTCGGGCTGCGGGCGAATTCCCTGCCCCCCAGATCCCAGGCAAACCCATAGTAGGTAACCCTTCGCTATTTTCCTTTGGGTTTTTAAAGGGTGTGGCTTCCTTGGTTACTTACCTGTACCGGGTAAATGGATCAGCTGGGTAAAGTTTAGGCAGAAGTCTCCGTGACTTGAATCAAGCATGGCGCCATGGAAAATGACGGTCATGGAGACTCCAGGTACAACAAACTTGCAGGTTCTCAGAGGGAATGGCCCCGAACTGAACCATCCCGCAAGTGCGGTTTACTTCAAGGGATCCACTTGGATGTTCAACCCACCCGGCAGGTTCCATCCAAGTTTCAGGAGATACCTAGGGTTTGAAGACGCTAGTCGCTAGATGCAGGCGGTGGTGGTGGACGACAAGGGGTGCATCATTGATGCTGTGTACTACAATAACATGAAGGCCGGTGCTTCTGGCAGCTTCGCTTGTACTGAGTCCCCCAAAGTGGTTGCATGTTGCCCTTTGACGTGAGAAAGTAATCCCTTTCCCCCAATGCTAAACCGCCCCTCTAATACAAAGTGGGTCCCCGGGGAAAAACGGTTTTAGCATGAGAGGCTCCTCGGTTTGTTTTCGGAGAACCGTACTCCCGGAGCTCCGGCTCGAAAGTCGCAACTTTGTAGTGCAGCCGTAGTCTGGAAACGTACTCCCGGGTCGTCCCCCTAATAGGACTGGATTGGCCACGAACAGGAAACAGGAAACACGAATTGGTTTAGTATTGGCCATATTCTACAAGTAGTATTCCCGGATTTGGGATTTTCAAAAGTCGGTTTTAGGGGGTACTTTTAGCATCAGGGAGAAGGGACTAATCCACGTGACTCAGCCACGGCTCAAAGCGGCGGGTGAGGCATGGTCCAGAACTTCCATCAGTCTATGGCTGGATGGTGGACTTACAAAATTTCTCAAACATCAATCCACGGATTTCGGGAGGGACGTGCGTGGCCCTCATGGGGTGGGTGTCCCAAGTGAGCCCAGAGCGCTGTTCAAGCGGGCCCGAGGCTTGGGCCGGAAAGCGCCGAAGTCTGCGGTGCCATTTTTGGATGACCCGGGATGCTTCACCCGTGTCCAAAGTAGCAAGGTGGGTGTGGCTCAAAATGAAACAGGGGCAAACCGCAGGTGTTGGTCCAAGTTTGCCACTTACCAGGGTTCCATTTTGGAATTCCGGTTTTTGGAGCCACGGCCAGGTGTTGTCAGAAAACATGGCGAGCTTCAGGCGTCCCAGGCCTTTAGGCTGTTGAAACTGGGAAAGAGGGGACCACCAGCGCCAAGACGACAAGACAAGGGCTGAGCAGCGGTCAATATGTTCCGTCCACTGAGGGAATGACATTGGCAACACTCACGAAGTTGGGGATAGATACTCTGCTGTTCAAAGGCAATCCTGGATCCTGAGCTTGGTTTTCGATCGGGGTCCTGTTTGTAGTTGCTTTCCAAGAAGGATCACCCTTCCACCAATTAACATGGAACCTGACAGGGGGGTCATGGAAGACCTTTTTCCTTTTCAAGGGACCCCCTGTCAGGTTCCATAGTTGTGTGAGGGTACGGATTAGGATTGGCCAACACTCCATTGCGACCGCGGCTCACTCGCTGTCGCTGCGCTTGCTGAATCGCTCGTCGAGGCTCTTCGGGGGTGCGTCACACACTCCGGGGATGAGCAGACAGGACGCAAGGCCAGTCTGTGCCACATGCCATGTGCCCTGGTCAAGCCAGGGTCCCCATACTTCCTTCTGGTATACAGCGAATGCGTGCTCGCTTGCTGCTGGCATGAGATCTTAAATTGTACTCGGACTCGAGTGCAAACATGAGAGCGTGTGCCGAAAGACTCCAAGACCCCATCCGTGCCATGTAAACTCTCACTCTGGCCGTCATCCACAAATGGTCGAAATCCCTCGGGCGATGACCATCCAACTCCAAAGAATAGTATCTTTTGCGATAGGTTCCCCATGTGTCCTTTGAAAACACCCCACGTACCAAGTGGACTTACCTTAGATGGGCCGGGCTGGGGCAAAGGAAGTGTTGGAAACACAAGGGAAGTATAGGGACAAGCCACCATCCACTTCGTACATTGAGAGGCTGCCCTGGACGAAATGATTTGGGTGAACTTGCCCAAGCTGCCAGACAATGTGAGGCACGGAGAGTGTGATTCGAGCGTATTCGACCCGCAAAACCTACTGTAGTTGCCTGCCACAAAAGAACGAGTGGCAGAATGGAAAACATATCTTTTAGCCTCTTGGGCATAGGTGTCCTTTTGGTTGTTTTGGTCTAAAAATAGATGGACCTGGTTTACCTGGTGGTTTAATCATCTACCAGGGCCATCTATTTGCCCCAAAAGGAGACCTATGCTCTTGGGTTTCGTGTCAAGATCTGAACTTACAGCCCCAACGCCTTTGGAGCAAGGGGCTGGCAGGGACCCCTGGCACGACGAGACGCTTCAACATCGGGGAGCAATCCCAGTTTGGGATTTCTCCTGAAGGCTTTGGACGCAGTTTGCATCCGATCCATCCGATCCATCCGATCCAAGATCCGATCCCGGAATATCTTTTCTGGGTGAAGCAGGACATTTGTGCAACAACTTGTAGGGCCTGGCAACGTTTTCAACTCCACTTTCAGACTTGGGATTGCTGGAAAGGAGTCGCGTGTCGGTTTCTCTGAAAATCCAGGCTAGACTTTGGGATTCCGCGGTTGACCTGCGGATTTTGTTGTGCGCACCCCCTTTTTTTTGTGTGAGTTGCTTTTTTCGGGTGCTTTGGCATTTTACGGGTGGAAAACACGAAAAAAACAAGAACAATAAAACAACAAGAAAACAAAAACGACCTCCCCCTCCCCCTACGCCCGCGACCCCCAGCGGGGCGAGGCTCCTCATCTTTGTGGTGGCGGCCTTCAGCGGCGGCAGCCTACGGGATGCCTGGCGCTCACCAAAAAACAAGCGGCACCCCCCCTACCTAGGTCCCCCAGTAGTGCCCTTTTACCTCAACTTGTTTTTTTGGGGGGGGGTTCCACTAAAATAGACTACAGAAAAAAAAGGGTACCCTGATTCTCACCTCTCTACTGGAGGACCTAGCTACTATCCAGGTGCCTATTTTGGATGGTGTTATTTTTAAAGACAACTTTACCAAGGTACCTAGAAGAACAATTGTCTGTGTGTGTGTGTGTCTTCTTTTAGGGGATCACCCAAAGTGGTTGGTTTCCTTTTGTTTCCCGTTCAACCAGCCCCAGAAGATGGTTGGCATCTTTTTGAATCCGGTTCAATGAGCCCACAAAGGGTACCCCCCCAAAGCTTGTTGCTATCCAAGCACCTGAATTCAAGAATCGGAACAAATGGAACCCTGGCAAATGAAAACATCGACTACAATCTGCGGTCCCCTGGTTGCTTAATTTTTTTTGAGCCATAGCCAATTTTGTTGCGTGCTTTTTGGTGTGGCCGAATTGTCTTGCTCGCAATTGGGCAATGACGTTTAATAAAGAACCACCATCCACAAGCGGTTGGTGGACATAAATCGCCCCAGCGAACTTTGTTATCCGCTGGGTTGCTAACTAAACCTCATACACCTCTGGTTGGATCTTTGACAAAAAAGTTTTTGGCAAATGATGAGTTCGCGAACCGAACCAGAACAAGTTGACCTTTGCGGGCACGGGGCAACAGCTACCAAGTTATGTTCACTGTGCCTGGGGGTTGTGAAAATCAGCAGTTCCCTTCAAATCTTCTACTTGCAGAGTGACTTTATTTTGATGGTAGCATGATGACGCCACAGTAGAGTGAAGCAAAGGGATGATACAGAGGGAAACCAACATGGGGAATAAGCGCATATGTGCGAGGAATGTCCGTAGCCTATGAATCGTACCGTTATTTCAAACATGGAAGCTGGCAGGAGGGTTTTGGAAGTCTACTTTTGAGAAAGCCCCTGTCCACTTTGTCCGTCGCAACAAGGTGGTCTGTTATTTCTGCGGGGGCAACTTCTTTTCACCGTGACTCATGTCAGTTGGGCAAGTGAGTTGCTCGTAAAGCCGCTCCTCCCTCAAATAGGTAACCCTAAAGAGGCTGCAAAGTCCTTTTGGGGGACCCTAAAAGTTGGGAGACGCTAAGAATGGTTCAACCGTCCTGTTGGTTTCTTTGAAGCCAAGGTGAAAACCACAACCCAATAACACGCTCATCCAACTCGGTCGCTCAGTTGTAGCACTGGCCATCAGTCCAAACGTCGCGACTTGCTGAGGCCCAAAATGGGCGGCTGCACGTTCTGGAGGAGAGCGCCAGCAATGAGGCCGTCTTGGAGTGTTTCGCGGGCCAACATGTTTTTAAAGTATCCGGCTGTCAACGTGGTTTATCCCAGAATTTCTAGGTTGCTTCCGTTGGTTGCTCGAAGCATCACACACTTGCAAAAAAATAGGTGAACTTCTTTTTGCTAGGGTGCGGGTTTCAGGTTAGACAAAATGGTTTTCGGGAAGGACCCCTTTTCTGGCCCATGATTTTGCCATCAAGGTCACCCCCTAAGGCCCGAAGGTGCAGGTTAAAGGGAAGCAACCAAATCCTTTTTCTCACTTTGAGAGCCCCCAGGAGCAGTCAAGATAATGTTGCCGAAGCTATACGGCGGGGTTGGGACAGTGTGTTTTGATTTTTCCTTGAAGAGGATCGCAAGGCAGGGCCGCTTTTTGATTCTGAGCCGCGGTCTCATTTTTATCAACTTGTGAACCTATTGAAGGTTCGATTCCCTGCCCTTCTCCAACCCCACGTGCAAGGGCCTGTCTTGTTTTTTGGGGAACTTGGTTTCAAAGGAAAACCAAAAGGAAACCAACCCATTTTGCGGGGTCCCCCTATTTGGGGACAGACCGACAAGGGTGTTTTGACAGGGCTCCCTGTTGGGGGGGCTAACGACTGACGGCAGATCATTGGGACGTCAGGTAGGCAGCTATCAGCTGGAGCAGAGCGCTTACGAAGTGGATGCCGTGGCTGTAATGCAGCGATGTGACTGGCGCTCAGGTGCCTGCAAGCGCCAGGGAGAAGGGCTTTTCATGTACCCTCTACAATAAGGATGCCATGCTAGGGACTGACAAGATGTCATGGTGAATTGGATTGATGGCTTGAAGGTTTCGGGGTCGTTCCCCATTTACCCTCCGCAAGAACTAAAGGTTATAATCTGCAAACCCCTCAAATCACCCATCAAAACCGCTGGTGGGTTCCATGACTTCGCCATTTTGGGTCACTGATGATATCTTTGCTGGTCTAACATCGGTTTGGACATGGGGACAACCTGGTTGCCCCACAAAACCAGGAGGACCCCAATTTTCTCTGTTTGCTTCTCCCGTCATGTTGTTGGACCCCCAAGGTAGACTTATATTCTGGTCTGATGGATGTCCTTCAAATGGGAGCAAATTCGGTTCCAAGCATGCAATACATCCCTGCCCAGGAATTCTGCGGTTGTTTGTTGTTTTTAGGAGATGGATTTTTACCCTTTGGTTGCTGGCAGGGAGGCATCAGTCCCATTGAGGCGGCCATATTCTTTGCCTCGTGTGCAGATGCTGCTTCCTGGGATGAATTCCAATAACAGCTAGGCCATTTCAATGGGGACAAACAGATTGTTCTTTGCAATGAAGTAAAGTTAGCCCACCCATGAGGAAGCTTCCTTGATTCAGGTTGGTGAACTGTACTGGATGCAGATACCAGCGTGTTTGGACACTTTGGGAGGGTCCAAAGCCTTATTAAGATGAGAAGAGAACCCTATATTCAAATGTTCATAGATCAATCTTTATGGATGCCTTAGTTCAGGTTGTTGAAACACAACAATTCGTGCGGATACTGGATGTTTGTGTTCAGTCGTCCTTTCTCGTGAGATCGTCCTGTTCGGGTGTCCCCATGCAGCTTGTTACTAAACGCATCTTCCAGCACTTTGGGGTAGAGGCATGTTACGCTGGATGGACGAAATCCTGCACCACCGAAAAATCCCTGGAGTGATAATTCCCCCTGTAAATACCAACAAAGAATGGCCATGGCTTTTAAAGTGGTGCGGGGTTTCGTCCACCCACAGCAGGACCATTTTGTTGGGGTCGCAAGTAGACAGTGCTGTCTGAGGACACAGGTTGGCGGCTCCGAATCATCGAAGAGCCTGCGCGGGAAGGCAGGCCAATCGACCGGATCGCCCGATCGCACGCAAGGGAAAGGACGCTTGTGGCGATGGAGGGCCCGAGCCCAAAGTGTATTCCCTGAAAACCAGGCAGCATTGCCACATTCAGGGTATATACGGGATAATTACGCTTTGAAAGAGCACCTCTGCCCTTTCCCCGAGGCGCCATTTGCGTTGAAACCTGGATTTGATGTTCTTCCAAAGCCATGGGCAGGGTGACATGCCCCCGTTGTAGTGTTCATTTCAGATTATTCCAGAGCACCATACCATACTAGCCAAAGGAATCCCCTGAAATGCTTTGCTGCCTGACTAAAACTGCCTCTGACTACCACGGTCCTCCGGATTAATCCGAGACTCACAGTACAAAGGGTGCCCTTCACGCACCAAAGGTCGACATTTCATTGACATCCTCGAGCCGGTGCTGGGGACACTTCTATGCACTTTAGCCAAGTCTTCGCTCCGAAGATGCGTGTGGGTCGGTGTTTTGAGGGAGCCCGTTTTGCCATCCTTTTGATATAATTTCAAGGGAAACCGAGAGGAAGCTACTCTTGTTTTTCTGTTGTGGGGGTCATCAAACAAAATGTGTGTTTGTTGTTCGGTGGGGAACCCGCAAAAGAAGGGCCCCTCTTTACTTGTACAAACAAACCCAACACGGGCACCATGGAAGAGCGATACATGGGTGTGGTCCCTCAAATATGGGATGCCCATTAGGGAACCCACCAAAAATATGACTTTCATCACTAAACTGCAAAAGTTACGCATGGTCAAAACTCGGGCCCCAAACGGAATATTGATCCACCCCCATTTGCCATTATATCCACACATCCATTCACGGAATCTGACAGGGGGGGAAGACCATTTTCCTTTTCGAGGGAGCATTTCCCTGTCAGGTTCCATGTGAAAAGGGTGGGAGGGTCTTCAGGACTAAGACGTCGCCTTCCATTTGCTTAAGAATATTTGTATTTCTCTGGACATATTACTTTTTTTTCCAGGGGGTAAAGAGGCAAATGGAAGTCGCTGGGTTTTGGATGCGCCGAACTTTTGCTCCGAGGAACATCATCCGCGCTGCGATCCCCGGTGCCCCGAAACGGCAGAAGGCGCGGATCGAAGGGCGGAGCGGGGGGGAGGCGTTTTCCGCATGGTTTCCGGGGTTCCGATGTGGCTGCGGTTGTCAAAACCAATGGGATCCCATTTTGGGGTAGGTGAATTCACCACCCATTTTAGAACCTATTTTACTGGGGATTGGGATGTTCACTGGGGGTACGGGATTTTGACCCATGGCCATATTTATGCCATATTTCCATTTTCGTGGTTGTGAACATCACCTTTTGGGCCAAGTGAAAGTGAGCATTTGGGTGGGATGTTCAAAGGGGAAATATTAGGAGCCCTGTTTTTGGCTGTTTTGTTTAACACAACTTGGGAAAGCATGGTAACCACGAAAGCCAAAATTGGAGGAGATGTGCATTGCACTGAGCCACTAGCTCGGGTAGAAGGATAAATTGATGGAAATGTCCGCTCTTTTGATTCTTTGCTTGGCTTCTGGGTAGACCCGACCTTTGCATGTCTGAACTCTCAGCAGGCCAACTTCCCGAACAGGACAATCCCAAGCCTTTAAAATCCTGTGACACACTCAAAATCTCTTCGAGCTCAGCGGCGAGCTCATTTACGCTAGAGAGATAGATTAATGATCCGGGACAAGAACCGGACATTGGGACCCTTTTTTGCCAGGTAGGGGACAAGAAAGACCAGCCATGGGCGACAGTCCTAGGTTCTCTTGTAAAAAGGAACACGGTATTTAGTTTAGGCGTTGAGTGCACTGCTGGATGGGTTGCCGCTTTGCACTCGGGGATAGCAACCACGGGCATGTGGGTGTGGTTCCATTTTTGAAGTCGGTACTCATTTGGGTTTGGGGCAACAAAAGGGAAACCAAGGCGCGTCTTGGGGTGCCGCATTCGATTCCCCGCTAGGTTCCCCCCCCCAAGGGTTTCAAAGGCACACCTGATGGAAATCAATCTTTCTAGGGGTACCTTCCCCATTCCTTCCAAGTATCCTTCTTTTCAGGAAACCATCAAAAACCCAGGGGAACCGGATCCGGAATTTTTGAAGAGAACCATGGTTGAATCGGTTGGACCAGGAATCCACCCCTAGAATTTTGAAGCACGTCCCGGTCCAAGGAACCCACGAGAATTTTGAACATGACGATGGGAGGGTCTTCCAATTGGCCAGTCCATGGAAGATGAGTGTCTCTTAAGATGGGACCCATCAAGTTGATGGATCCTTTTGGTGTCCAACGAAAAGGGAGCGGGAACGTCCTCGATTCGAGGTATCGATTCGAGGATTTCTGGTCTCAGGTGTTGGTTCTTTGCGCGACAAAAGTGCAGATTCTGCTGGTGGACAAAATCCTGCACCAGTGGGTAAGTGGTTTATCCCAGTATTTGTATGGAGCGAATGTCTTAAGACGCCTCTCGGTTTTTTTTTACCTCATCCTTGTGATTTGTTTTCTCGGGATCCGATCAGTCCCAACTCGCTTGAATATTCCCAACACTGGGCTTGGGTCAAGACATTTGGCAAAAAACAAAGAACAGAACGGTGTTCCTTTCGGGTTCCCTTTGGATGCCAACCTCAAAACGGGTTCTTTTAAAGGCAAACCAAAACTTGGTGGCTCCTGGCTTCTTGTTGGTTTCGTGCTTGGAGGTTAACCACGAAAAGTTAGTCACCTTTAGCAAGGATCTGAGGGCAGCCCAGAAAAGGAAACACCGTGTATTTTTTGGGCAGGTCCCCCTGCAGGTCATTGTTTACCCCATTCTTGGAGTTCTTTTTTTGGGCAAACCAACAGGAAAAGCCACGGATTTGGGCAGGTTCCAAAGCAATCCACCAGGGGACCGCAGGTTTTAGTCCATGTTTCCATTTACAAGGGCCCCATTTTGGGGTTACCAACTATTTTTGACCACCACAGCCATGTCATTTTTGGGCAAACCAACAGGAAAAGCCGTGCCCCTGAAAAACCTGACCGCTAGGTGGCCTTCGCCATGGAGAAGGCTTCGGTGCTGGATCTGCCGCTTGGTCAAAGCTGATTGGCGGGGCCGTGCATGCGATCGGCTGAAGTCGATTCGTCTAGCGATTGGTGCCCTTGGACCGTTTTTCTGTTTTGGGGGAGATTCGGTTCCCCTACTAAAATAGACTACAGACAAAAGGGTACCAACTTATTCTAACCTTTCTATTGGAGGACCTAGAAGTGGTGAGCAATGCTCTAGGGTTTGCTTCCCCGTTCTTTTCAACCATGGTTCTCTTCAAAAACCACCTAGGTTTTTGGTGGTTTCCTGAAAAGAAGGATTCCCGGAAAGAATAGAGAAGCTTCCCCTAGAAATGCCGGTTATTACCCATGTGCCATGTACCCCTGTGATACTTCTCCTGCTAAGTGGGTGTTAACTTGCGGGTTCTGAGGGAATGCAATCCGTTCGCACCACCTAAGAAATTGATTCCCCTGCAAATATTAACAACCAATGGTTTTGCGAACGGATTTTGTCCATCCACAGTAGGTCAGCTCTGAGGCACTACATCTGGATCTTTAACCATTTTAGTACACTTTTGTGTGGAAGCTGCTAGCAGCTTGAATTGAGATAGTATAGCCTAAAGCGTTGCAACCATGCACCAAAAGGCAATCGGTGAAGTGGCCAGCAGTGCACCAACAGAAACCCACCTGGAACAGGGTTGCTTGGACCCTCAAAACAATGACTTAACACCACGAGGTGGATTCCAATTGGACCTGCACTTGGGAACCTCAGATGCATGGGGATTGTCCACCAAGCATGGGGGATGCAACCAACCCTGCAAGTTTCACAGCCTTCCTGATGCGGGCCTGCGTTTTGAACGGCCAAAGGCTTTGTAGGTGCTCTGAAGGGAAATCCAGACACCGAAGCTGGTATCAACAATTGGAGGAATCGGAAGGAACGCCTGGAGCAGGTCACGATTTTCGAGAGGGCGAAAGGCCAGCTTTTGCCTGTCTGCCTGCGGGATGCCTTTTGGAGACTTCCGGGCTTTAAATGGGCAAGACCTGTGAGACGACTTGTTTGGCAGCAAACGACAGCCTCCTTTCCTTTGGTGTGGGTGGATTTGTTGGTTGATTTTGTCAGTTGCTCGCTTTTGGAATACTGCTTGGGTAGACAAAACAGCATGGCTGGTTGAGCCTCCCCTCCCAAAGGATTGGGACCCAAATTCCTGGGTTGAAGTCTATGTGGACAACAACCAAGGGAAACCACGTACACCAAGGGAAGAAATGTTCATCTATAGCGCCCACCCCCCGATCAAGAAGACTGGGTTTGATTCTTATGTGGCTATGGGTTTTGATCATGAACCACCAACCACAAGTGACTGGTGGACATGAATCCCCAACTAAATGATGTCCACCAAAGGGTCCCAATGAAATTCACACTCATATGGGTGTGGCTCAAAATTAAGCAGGAGGGGCAAACCGCGGGTTTTGGTCCATGTTTCCACTTACCAACCCATTTTGGAATTCCGGTTTTTTGAGCCACGCCTGATATGGGGTCAACAAAAAGAGACCTGCCGGGTTGCCCACAAAGTTGCTGCAAGCAGCAAGGGGCGCTGAGGCCACAAGCCCACTCCATGGGCAAGGTCTGTGCTGGCTTGGGCCACGCCCCGAATTCCCGAAGTCGAGTTCGTGAGCGGAACGGACTGGGGAGATGTGGGTGGTCCGTTTTGTTTTTTGACCCCGTGGTTTCTCTTTCCAGCAACCCCAAACAAGGGTTCCCGCAATCAAAAACAGGCCCATGTGGGTGTGTTTACATTGGCGACCTCCAAAAGTGGAGGGGGGGGGGGTTCCCTTTAACCCTTTGGTTGAACAAGGGGTACCCTCAAAACGAACACACGCGCAGCTACCATGCGTTTGGTTGCAGGCCATAGGTGTCCTTTTTGGTTGTTTACCTGGTGGTTCAATAATCTACCAGGGCCATCTATTTCCCCTAAAAGGACACCCATGACTACCATGCATTTGGTTGCAGGCTGGGACGTGTCACCCAGGGTTGGCGTGGACGTTGACCTGGACGCCAGACGCCAAGAGATTTGACCCAGCAAGAGATGCAGCGGGCGAATGGCGCGTGGGTTTTCCTTTTGGGTTTCCTTGGGTTTTCCTTTGGTTCCCTCTGGCTTTCTTTTTGTAGGTTCTCTTTGGTTCCCCCTTTAAAAGGTTCCCTTTGGTTCCCCCTTTAAAAGGTTCCTTTGGCTTTCCTTTGGCTTTCCTTTGGTTTCCTTTGGTTCCCCCTTTAAAAGGCTTTGTTTCCCTTTAAAAACAATGAGGGTGTTGTCCTTTGGTTCCCTCTCTCAAAAGCATGGGGGGAGCAGCTCACAAAAAGGCGAGGGTGTTCGTGTTAGGTTCCCTTTGGTTCCGGTGGTTTCCCTTTGGTGGACGAGCCACCCATTTGGATCTGATCCCGTTCGGAGCATCAAGAGTGCCAAGTTTCACCCTAGAAGGCTTGCACCACTATGAAAAGGTGCGGATCCATGCTCGTTTGATTCGTTTCTTTCTTTTGGGTCGACCGATCATTAGGAGCCCAAGACCTCCTTGTTCTGCAGGGCTCCTGGGGGGGTCAAGGCCCTCAAGACTTCGGGGGCTCGGGGCGAGGGAATGATCGAACACCAGATCCAGGTTTCTGCAGTGCTGCTTGACGCGGGCGCGGAGGCCCCGGTGGTTTCAAGGGAAACCAAATCCAGTGGATCCAGGGAAACCCATAGAGTAGGTAACCCTTGGCGATTTTTATTTTAGTTCTTAGAGGGTGGTTCCCCTGGTTACCTCTACAGGTAAACGGATCCACGGAGATCCACTAAAAAGGGAAAGGGAAGCTACGAGTTGAGGGTTCCATATCCCAGCCTTTGTTCCTTTTGAAAAAGGCAAGCTCTTCGGGAGGATTTGGTTTGTGTTGTTTTCATGTTTTTTGAGGGGAGCGAACTCAAGAATGGGTTGGTTGACATGAATGATGCCTGAAGAGCCGTTTCACGAAAGCTAGCCGCAAGGAGGCTAGCTTGAGTTTGCCCTTGAGTTAGCAAGGCTGCTAGCTGAAGGGGGGGCTGGGGGTCGGCCCGGTCGCAAAACCAATGACATATTCCCTTTCTGTGGACTGCCATGGGGGGGTCTACGGCCTGGAACATACATGCCAATCAAAGCTTGCACAACTTTAAGTGTCGGGTGAGAGCATTGACGGTGGAGCATCAGCCTAGATCATGACTCGAGTGCAAGATACTTGCGTGTCACCGACAACTGTCCAACTGTTTCCGAGCCTTTCAACCGCCATTGCTCAAACATTGATTTCCCGACACCCGTACCCCTCAGTTTCCTTACGGTGTTCAACATGCAAGTAGGTCACTACAGGTGTAAGAGGACTAGCCCTTACGAGACCCCACTTCAGTTTGAAGCCTACTAAGTAGGACTAGGTTGCTTCGTTTCAGTAACCCTACCAGCTTGCTCCACTTGGTTATAGCTTACCCAGTACCACTATAGCAGGAATCCAGGGTTAGCTAAGTAGAAATTGGGCTGAGCAACCAAGTTTCGTTTGGCGGTTCTCACCAGATATCATTTCCGCAGGCCCTTGGTGCGGTCTTCTTTGGGCAGTTGGAGGCAGGAATACAGACGGAGCACCCAAGCGCTTGGGTGTTCCTTTGCTAGGCTAAGGGTGGTTGAAAAGGACAAAGGAAACGGGTATGTGTTTCTCAAAATAGGAATTGGTCCCCTAGAATGGTCAGGGTCCTTTTGGTTTCCCTTTCACCATTAAGAAAACGAGGCCCACCATTTGGGTGTGTGTTAAAATAGGGGACCCCCGCAAATGGCGTTGTTTTCTTTTGGCTTCCCTTCAAACAAGAGTTTCTCCCCTTTCAGCCAGTATGTCGAAAAGGATTCCGCTCAGAGTGGGACGAGTCATGATGCCTGTAAAGTTCTGGGTGGGCACTGCTGCTGTCGGCGATTGATCAAATCGCTGTGTCTTTTTTTCGAGGCTACCCCGTTTTTTGGTGGTTTTAAGGGGAACCATGGGAATCCAAAGGGACAAGTACCCAGTTGTGGGGACCAAATGAGCTGCTTGCAGTACTTCAGTACTTCAAGCTGGGTTGCGATTTTGGACTTCTATTCCCTGGTGTCCTTTCGAGTGAGGTCCAAATCAATTCGTGTTTTGTTGTTTGCTGAATTCGCCATGTCAGACATCGCGAGAGAGCTTAAGCATCAAGCAATTGCGTAATGGAGAGGTTTGTGCAGGTTTGCAGTTTGCTCACTTCCAGCTTTCCCATGATAGTTGAAAAACCATCATGTAAGAACCTTGGGGAACTAGACTTTTTAAACTTTGGTTGCCTAGAGTCAGTGGACACTTTGTTCCGGTTCTAATTCTTTGTTTGTTTAGAAGCCAAAAGGAGCCCATTTGGGTGTGGCTGAAAAATTAACTGGGAGGGGTTACACGGGTTTTGGTGCATGTTTCCACTTCCCAGGGCAACCCATTTTGGAATTCCGGTTTTTCGAGCCATAGCCATTTCTGCGCCATTGTAACGGGTCACATGTCGCTCTGACTGGACTGCCAGGGCTGGGCCTTCAAGCACAGTGGGGACAACCTCACCGGGGAGGCGCGGCGAGAAACAAGTTCACGTGGATGGCCGCGCGGGAAATTTTGTTGTAAGCCTACAAGGCTCATGGCATGTATCAGTTTTTCAGCCCTTTTTCGGGGGTAGAGGCATAGCTGAGCAGATGATTGTTGGGGTTTCTTTCTGCAAACATAATTTTATTGAAGCAGGAATGTTTGGATTCCGGATGATTGCAGTGAGCTGTATCCTATGGGATGCATTGCCAGGGCGCAGGAGATGATGAGGTCCGAAGCTTAGATCATCTTGACCCTTCTCTGGCAAAGATTCTCCCAGGGACGGGGTTGCTCTGAGGTCATCGAAGTCAACCTCGTCGACATACCCGCACACCTGCCCTGTGCTTCCCGAACTGTCGCCCATTGCCCGCGAGATTCGGGTATCCAAAGCACGAGGCCACTGGGTATGGGTCAAAATTGAACCACCAGCGGACCGGAGGCAGTCCTTTCCATTTACCGATCGGGCAACCCATTTTGGGGTGACCAACTATTTTTGACCACCACACCCAAATTGCGATTCTCCGGTTGGTTTCCCTTAAAAACCAGATTCTCCGCATACGTGACCGGTCAGGCGCAGGTGGAGCAAGCCTTCTTCGTGGTGAACGCCGCCAACCCAGACGTTGTTCTTTCTCCGTTTGGGGGTTGATCAACAGGTCCTTTACATGGGATCGCCATTGGTTGGAAAACCACCAAGAAGACATGATACTTCAACCACATGGGAAAAGTTTTACCCATGGTCCAAACTGGGGGCCCGAACAGAATAGTGATCAACCCATCTTTTGGGGAGCAAACACCTGAAAGCAGGGTTGTGGGATCAAGCGGTTTCTCCCCACTTCTGTGATACAAGGGAATCCCCCTTTCAATTGACAAAATAGTCTTTGGGAAGCCCTTTCTGTTGTATCACAGTGGTCATTCCCCACAGCCCTGCCTGAAACGTCTTCTGAAACCGGGGCGCCCGGTGCCTTGATTCCCGTGACCCAGAAGCTTTGACCTAAATTGTGCGCAAGGGATCGGCACCTGCGACGCAGAGTTTCCCGTGTCCTTTGGGGTGGCCGCATTTTTGTTTGAACAGAGAAATGGTTGGTTTTAGGTTCTGGTGATGTACAGGGGATTTCATTGAGAAAAGAGTGGTTGGTTTCTGTGATACCCTTGAATATGTCCTGACAAAAGTTCGTCCATGGCAATATGGCCCGTTTTGCTATGACTGAAAGGGTGATTTGCCGCAACCATGCCAGTTGATCCCAGTTACCGCTATAGTAGGTAACCAACTATTTTCCTGTTGGTTTCTACTGGGTGGTTCGCTTGGTTACCTACCATAGAGGTAAATGGATCTTCTGGGCATGGCAGATCCTCCGATCTCCTGGGCATGTAGGTGTACACACGTGGCGTGACCTTCGAGCAGATCGACCGCGCATACTGCCGGCAGCTAAGGCACCGCCCGTTGCTTCCCGAGAGGTTTTGCTGGGTTCCAAAAGCCTGAAGTGAGGTCTTGGGCTAGGGCAGATGAATCCTTATGCCTCGTCACAGATGGTAGTGGTTCCCTTGTTGTGGTGCCACGCTACAGATTAGGATTAGGATCCCCGCAGCATATGATGTTCTCTGATCAACGGATGACCTCATTTCAAGCATGTCAGATGGTATATACATACATATATATATATACATATATTATCATATGAAATCAAACAGTAGCTTCACCGACAACCAACAACCAATTTGTCACCACATGCGGAGATGCCAAACTACTCCATGTGCAGTGTCTTTGGCTGTTTTCTGTTGAAGTGGGGACTCCCATTTTGGGAGTTGTTTAACAGGGAAACCGGGAAACCGAAGCAGTCCTTTCGTTTTTTGGGGCGTCCATATGGGTCGCCAAAAGAAGAAGATCATCACAAACCCCCCAAATGATGGTGTTCCTCCTCGTTTCCCTCTAAAGCGATGTGAGAAAGATACCCTTAACAAAACAGACACCTATAAGGTTGACCCCGGATTCATGAACCCCTGTTTATTTATAAGGGGTTTCCCTGGTTTTAGTGGGATTCACTTTTGGAGGAGAACACCCCCAGGTCGAATCTTTGACAGCTCTGGAGAAGAGCTGGCTCGCTTTGTGCTGGCCTGAGTCACTTTTCGCCATCGGAAGGCTGCGGCCATTTTCCTGACGGCGGAATATGAGTGTCTCTTCAACCGGAGACCCCGCAAATGGCTTCCTTTTGGTTTCCCCTTCAAAGCTACAAAAATAGGGTACCCTCAAAAAGACATCAATTTAAATGATGAATACCCTCCGACATCGTTGGACGGAAATGACCAACGATGTTTATCATAGGGCCAGTCAAGATTCACACCCCATATGGGTCAAATGTAACCTTAATTTGGGTTCAAAGGGAAAAGAAAGGGGGACAGCGAATTCTGCGAATCCTACCCTACACGAGACAGCGAATTACGCTTATGCATGCCGTTTTCCCACTGAGGTGTTGCAAGATGGGCGCGGCGAGTGCGGGCTTATCATTGGTCGGCTGTTCCGGGAGTGGGGCTGCCCAGTGACGCAGGGCGGTCGGCTCCAAGAGAGTTCTGTCGAAATGAGTCTGCAGGGCAGTAGTTACCCTGGTTGCAAGTTACCACCAATTTACCCGTGCTTCGAGTTACAGTTACCAGCTACTTTTTAGGACTGAAGTACGATGTAAAACTAGGGCCAGGGGTTGACATCGCCCTGAATGTCAGGGTTTTGTTTTCCTGGAGCATCCATCCAAACATGTGGGGTGTGGATGATTTTTCTGAGGGCACCATTGTCGGATATTTTCGGAACTGAATAAGGCAACCAAACGGTAACCACACATACTGTGCATGGACAAAATGCTGCACCACTTTGAAACCATGGAAAACCATTGATTGTTGGTATTTACAGGCGAAACATCATTCCAGGGTTTCTTAGGTAGTACGAAATGGTTTCGTCCTTCCACAGTATTTCGAGTATTTGGGGTTCCGTATCTTTAGGCCAACCCATAAGAAACGAAAGCAATCGGATTCGCCTTTTTGTACGCGCCAGGTTTGCCGGTGATGCTGCTCGCTGGGGCTTTCAGGCGCCGAGTTTTTGGGGTGTTGTTGCCCTGACGGTGCCATGGAACCTGGCGGTTTTTTTTTTTTGTTGTTTTTTGCCTTGACCTTCCATTCGCGTTTGAGAATACGTGCAATTTTCTCCTGTTGGTTCTAGAGGGAGTCTATTCCCTACTGGAAACCTCTTTGTTTTCCCAGGGATTTCCCCCTGTTGGTTTTAATGAAAGGGAACCTATCACTACTGGAAAGTGTTTTTTTTTTTTTCCAGGGGGGCGAAGATGCCACTGGAAGCTCCCGTCTGGTTGACCGGCAACGGAGGCGTCCTGTGGTACTGAGGGCCAGGGCATCCGAAGCACATGGCCTTCCTGGGGTTGAAATGTTGGTTCGGAGGGTCTGGCACGGGTCAGCGTTTGCCAACATCTCACATGGTTTTTCGCGACTAAAAGGAACATGAACGCCCATGTTTGTCTGAAAGGGTGCTTTTCTCGACTAAAAGGAACATGAACCAGTTCTTGACTGGACCTGAACGCCCATGTTCGTCTGAAATGGGCCTTTTTGAGGGGGTGCCATGTTGGTGGAAGGGTAGGTTATTCTGATCAACGTTCGGGAACATCGCAAGCCTCGTTTCCCAGAACAATGCTGGGATGTCGTAGCCACAGGGGATTTGCTAGAAGGTTCTGCTGACAATTCACTTGTTGTTGGAAGAAGGTTGGAATACCGTGAGGCACTCTACACTCATAAGAAAAGGGTTGATGTATACGCCTGACCTGCAAAGTATCAACTTAGGTTTTTCCACATACCACATTAATGGCTTGTGTTTTTCATGTTGCGTGATTTTCTCCGGGTGTGATGAAACACCCAAGCGATGTTCAACCCTACCCTAACTTCAATCATTTCCACCATCATTTGAGTCTCGAACAAGGGCCACTTCCTGCGATACCAATTCAGGCAATCCCCTTCAAAGTGATGGCGTAGTACTAGATCTGTGGCACAATTTGGATTTCGACCTCCATCGATGGTGGTGTTCTTGATGACTACGCCAACGTTTCAAAGAGCAGTCTCCAACAAAAACACAAGCCTTATGACAGGGCTCCTTAAAAGATACATTTTGCCCATTTGAAACATCGCTTTTTCCACCAAAATAAAGGGACACCACCATTTACAAGGCAATGTTCAGGTGTATAATGTAAGGATCCTTGTATGAATATCCCTTATTGGCACCTGCCAAATGTTGGTGCTCCTTTTGATTTCCCTTTAAAAACCAAGCGAAAAAGGGGGCCCCCTACAAACAGCCACAGCCACAAGCCGCTTCTGGGGACTGCCATGTGAGCCACAATCAAAACCCGGACAATCCCCTTGCCATAAATAGCTGCGGATATGCGCCTTCGGAAAATTATTTACATGGCTCTGGGTCGACCATTTAAATTATGACTATGTTTTGAATATCATGTATAAGAAGTCTGTTTAAATATGTGTTGATTATATCCATGGCTAATCTTTAACGGGTTTGGTTCTGCACCGCCGGGTTCCACTTTCAGCAAGGCTCTAGGCAGCTTCTGCAAGGGCCAGACATGGAAGGACTCTGCCGGACGCCTCAGAATCGAGCAGACTCGACGCTCGCGCGTTTGAACTGAAAAACACGGGGGGGCGGGGGGGGGGGGGGGGGGAGGGGAGGGAGGGCGCTTCAAAAGCAGATGTTCTTTATATGGGGGGCTGGGGGGGAAGGAGGGGAAGGGGGGGAGTGCTACGCTCTCACCAATTAACATGGTAGCCTCACAGGGAAATGGTCCCTTTAAAAGGAGGTCTTCCAGGACGTTGTGGCTCTTTGGCAACGGATCTTTGGACTTTAGCTTCTTGGGAAAAAGCGGATTTTCCATTGGACCCACAAGTTAAACTTGTTGCAGAGGGGTCAGACAAACCAAGGCATGGGGTGTTAAACCAAATGGCTAATTTTGAGAGTTGGACCCACCCCAGAAAGTGGTGGGTCCACAAAAGGGTCCGGGACCCGTTAGAATTCACTCCTGAATAGCCTCATGTTTGCAGGAGTGCCATGCTTGTAGTTGTTCAGGCCATGTTACGCCCGGAAAACGACGAGACCTGAACTGGGGATCCCCCAACTTGGTTTGGGCTGTTTATTGTTTGGTGCATTGGAGAAAAAAGGCGACAAGTCACAGCTTCCCTGAATTTGTTTGACCTCTGTCGGGAGACCTTCTTGGGATGAGATCGTGAGCGTGTTTTCTTGGGTTCTTGCCGCTTTTCGCCACATCCTAGAAAACATGGAGCCTGTCAGTGAAGCTCAGGAAGGAACCCACAATGATCATAGATTTCGAGTTATGTCCCACGAGGACTTTTACTTCCTCACACCTGGTAGTGGATTCTTTTTGGAGGTGCATTTCGGTGGAACCAATGTTGTTGTTTTTTGCCACCCTACTGACACAGTCAGGCTGGTGTTTGGTGTGTTTGTCTCTTGGCCTTGGGGTTTTCCCCGTGCTTCGGCAAAAGGACTTGTTTGACCCTCCCCCCCCAGCCCAGCCCAGCCCAGCTTGTGGTCTTGTCGCTAACAGGTGGCGGCCATCAAAGCTCTTGCAAGGAGGAGCCCAAAAGAGCGGGGATCTCGAGGTGTCCCGGGACAAAGACCTGCGCGGCAACTCTTCCGTGTTGCTTCTTCTTCTGGGGATCTTGGATTCCAGAAAGCCACCAAGTCCCATGGAAAACAAATTGCTGCAAACCACGGCTGCCCTGAATGTGTTTTTTTATGGACGGGACCCAAAAGGGGAGAAGGACCTTTTGCCACACGCGAGTCCGCCGGAAAAGCCGGCCATGTTTTTGAGCAGCAAGCCAAGAGAAGGAATCCGGAAACCTGGTCTCCAAACCCGCGAGACAAGGAGGGGCCTTTAAAAAATGGATGGCCTAGATGGTCCTACCTCACATTTGCTTGCGCATTTTAGGAATCTGTAACTGACAAATTGCCTGGAACCAAGAACCCAAACCCAAAGGTATTCGGTACTTGGACCCTCCGGGTGGGTTTGGGGTTTCATGTGAAGCTGCAGGAGAGTACTCCCAGGGTCTTTGAGTCTTGGACAGTCAGCAGTTGTCATGCTGTGCTTGTCAGAGGAAGTCATGTTTTTGTTGGGAAGACCAGGCTCATTTCCACTGACATGGCTGTGGGGCAAACATATGGTAACCCCAAAATGGGTTGCCCTGGTAAGTGGAAACATGGACCAAAACCTGCGGTCCAATTCCTGGTGGTTTAATTTTGACCCACACCCACATGAGTCCTATTCCACATTGCATTCTCAGCATGGATGCTGCTCCAAAAGCATTTGGGCCGCGGCCTCTGTACTCCGCTTTACCCTGGAGAGATTGGTTTGCGGGTGGACACTACCCCCAAACTCAACACCCGTTACCCTTTACTACTCTAGGAGGTATTTACACCGGAAAACCAGGTTCTCCTAAGAATACCTTACAAAAAGAGGGCATTTGAGCAAAAAAAGAGGACGCGTGAATTTTAGAGCTTGTCCAAACCTCATATCCTATTTGGAGACCGAATTATTCCCTTTGCTCGCTTTCGCCCCAGGTTGCAGACGCGTAGCGGCACCATGAGCTTTCCGCCTAAGCCTCAGGTTGCTCCACCCCAAGGAAGGATGCGAATGACCCGGAAGCATGGAGTTGGCGACCCCCCACGCTTCCCCCAGGCGGCCCCAAGATAGGAATGTTGAGTCAGAAGAAGGTGTGCTCATTACAGCAAGGCGTGGCGCCTGAATTTCCCTATGAAATTGCAACCCTAGCTGCCCAGAGGGAATCGAGCGGGTCTGACCTTTTCGTTTTCCTGGTTTGGTCCATTTGTCAAGGCCCAAAAGCTGAGCCTTTCATTTCTGGGTCAGCGAGGAACAACTCAGCAACTTTTGAAGATCTTGTGCCACGAGGCCCAAGGCATCCCGCAAAGACCGCGGTTTGAGAGGGGCATCTCCCTGTGGGGGGCTCCCCTTTTTCGGGGTTTGCAGGGGAGTGGCTATTCGGGCAACCCTTGATTAGTACGTGGTTCTGATTGCCGATTTGAACCTTTTGATTTGCGGTTCTTGCAATGAAACACCACCCCCCAAAACAAACCACTAACAAGGTGGTTTCCATGAAAAGGTTTGGTTTCCCCTTGGTGAACCCACCCCAAAAACGCTCCAAAAAAGACACGGGGTTCCTCCCAACATGCTATGCCATCTTCTTCCAAGGGAAAGAAGGTCACTTAGGGTCGAAAATTGATTGCTATGCCAGCTTCTTCCCAATTTTCTCAAGTTTCCCTTGTAAAATTCGTACCCAAACAGAACATCCAACAAAAAGACACACCCCTAACACGCGCCTCCATGGCTTCTTTCCCCCAAGTTCCCACAGAAGGTCGCGAGGTCCCGAGCGCAGCCGGGTCGCGAGGTCCCGAGCGGAGCCGGCCGCGCCGGCGCCAGTGCCCGCGCCCGCGCCTGCCGAGGCGTGGGGGACAAACGCGGCTTGAGGGTCGTGTGTGTCAGAACCGGGGACCCCAAAAGCGATTTCGGTGCTCTTTTGGTTTTGAAAAAAGCAACCCCCAAAGGGGTACCCCCAAAAAAATCAGTGGACCAAAAGGCGTCCTCTGCTGGAAAGGAACGTGGAACTGAAAAGAATCGACGCTTGAAGAGAACTTCTCCCTTTTGGGGGATGATTCACTCAAAGAGGAGCCTATTCTTGCCGGACGCCTTGCGTGGTTCCGGATTTTAATGCGCAGGGGACTGTGGTTTGGCCTTTGGCTCCCTGTTTCCCCCCCCACCAGTTGAACATGGGAGATGAAAAGCAGTCCGATATGAGGCAATGGAGAAATAGGAGAGAAACCGTGGTGCGAGATGAAGCAATCGAATCATACAGTGGATGGGCAAGATCTATTTCGGCACCAGGGATGGCTGAACCTGCAGTGGGAGAAACCACCTGGTGCCCAACTGGATTCTTGTCCATCCATCGAAAACGGGGTGCAGCACGCCAGTAGAAGAATCAACTGGTTCGCCGAAGGAAGAACCCTTCAGAGCGCTCAGGCTCACGAAGCTTTATATTAGATAAGGCAGAAAAAACAAGAAGAAAACGTTGGCCTCACGCCTCACCAGAACGTCCCCAACTTTCCGAAAAGCAGTTTGGGGGGGGGGGGGGTGCTGGCCCCAGCAATGGTTTTCAGAAGCCTTCAACGAGAATGGGGGTCCTTGGCTTTTCCCCTCCTGGGCCGGGAAAATGAGATCCGGTGTCCGCCTCCAAACGACACTGGAAATGTACAGTTTGTTTGTTCCTTCCTTTACCAAGCAAAACGCTCCGTTGCGGCGGTCGGATGCCAGGTAAACATACTTTTAAATGAGCCTGGAACGTACCAGCCCCCCACCTCCCTTGAACGACTGCTTTTTGGACGTACATGTTTTCCAAGGAATTGTTTGGCAGCGTCTGGTTCCTTAGATGTTTAGACTTTTAGGGTTTGGACGTTTCGATTTAACCCACGAGTTAAACAACTTTTAGCGGGGAATTTGAGGGCAAGACGCGTCGGTCTCGACGAGAGCATCTCAGGCACCGAAATCCAGCGCCTGTGCAGTCAAGCTCTCGGTGCAGTTTTTGTTCCACCTTCTGAGGGGCTGGGTGCATCAGTGGTGAGTAACCATGCCACCTCCAAATCCCCCTCTCTGTTTGCAGGCAACGTTTTGGGCCTCCTTTTTTAGTCGGAGGAACACATGATCGCCACAAAGTTGTGGGTATTCGGAGTAGGAGATGGTTATCCCAGTGGCCATGGGCTCTAAGCCACCTAGCCTGAGGCTTACTGACCACTTGCCATGCATCCATCCATTTAGCACATTCCTTGGGGCTTACAGATTTTCCTTTGTGGAGGTAGGTGAGTTTCCTTTTGGCTTCATGTTGTTAGGTTGGACATATGAGTCGAAGCCGGGCAAGTGGAGGTTGAGCAGTCCCAGCCATAGGCGTGGCAAAAGCCGCCCTTTGAATTCTTTGCAAACCAGGTTTCGATTGCGACTCATATGCTAAAGCCCGTTGCACTTCACTCCACATACTTTTGCCCACCGGCCCTAAGGTCATGTAGTCCAGCGAATCGACGCGAATCGATTATTTTTTTTGCCAGCCGAAGGCTGGGCGTAGGACTCGTAGTGGCCCAAAGCAAGGCCGAAAGCATTCAGTGCTCCGCAGACCTTCATGACATAGAACCTTTTTCTGGAGGTGTCACCAAAGGAGACCCTCCACAAATGATGGTCATGTCAATAAGGGAGTATTTCTTCAATCCATCAACCAGCAAGATCAAAGTGGCATGTACACACTGCGAAGGCGCACGACATGCACTTGGTTGCTTGATTTCTCTCGCATGTGGATTGCCGTTGTGCTGTGGCTCAAGGAAAGTGCCTCCAGTGGGGGGTTCATGCAATTCCGCGTCGCGAGAGCTCTGGCGCAAAGAGGAGCACGCTTCAGGGGTTCCGAGCAAACAAACACCTCCACCCAAAAAAGCACCTGCCGAAAGGCGTTTTGTTGTTTTGTTTACCTCTTTGAGAAAACCAGATCCTGCACCAAAGTAAGGCACCCTTATGTTGGTTATCCATCCAAAGGGGGGGTCACGACCTCTCCTAGGAAGAACCTTTCGGGGCAAAAGCTGCCTGGAGCCAGGACCACACGAGTCCCCGCGGCGGTGAGGCCCGGTGGCCTCCCCCACAGACAGACCCCGCGTGGGGGGTTGGCCCCGAAGAGGCGGAAGGTGCGAGTGGCTCCCACAAGGCCCCTGGCCCCCGAAGCTGCTTTGCATGTCATCGAAGTGAGCGCCACCGGGGCCTCCTTTAAAGGGACCCATGCATGACATCCTCGGCACTTGGGATGAAAGCTGATTTGAGGCTGAACAACCATCCAAGTGGTGCGAGTTTGTCCATCCAGTGTTTTCAGAATCTCTCTTTCGAGAGTGGCCTTGTTTAGCCAAATTTGCAGGAGAGCCAAAGCGCAAACCAGCCATTGGTGGTCTGTCGCCCAATTTGGAGAGAACCCCACAAGTGAAGCATTGTCTCAGCTGAGGCATCGGTCATGAACTTGTGCCATGTACTGTATGATAGCTTCTTCATCCCTGAAGCTCATGCTCAAGTTCCCGTGTCATGACTCGGAAGCACTGCATGCGCAAAACACTGGGAGTGAATCAACAGCTACAGCTCAGGCTAGTTAGGATGCCTGTTCTTTTGGTTGCTGGCCTGCAGCACATGCCTGTCGTTTCTGCTGATCGTTCGGCGGCATTTGACTTTAAACCTTTCCGTGGCCTCAACTCCATGGTTATGAAGCAAAATAACATGCATGAACCGTTCATGCTGCCCCAGCAGGATTGACTGATTGATTGGTTCAACTATATGAAGGGTCTGCCAATCGTGCTTTGCTTCTCTTTTCTGCTTTAGTTCTTGTTGCCTCCCTTGCTGCCTTCGGTCCTGTTTGCTTCCCTTCCTTTCTCATTAGGTAAGAAACTCCATGAAGAGCCAATGCCCAGCTGCGTGCCCAACCTTTTGGGCGGTTTTAAACGTCAGCTTTGTGGGCCTTCTGAAAGGCGCTGCTGTGCCTTGGTGCTGCCTTAAGGGGAGATAACTCGGGAGCCCTGTACCTGAAGTCTCCGGATCTGACCCAAATCAAAAATGGGTGAATGACCACCCATGATTTTGGGTAATGACCAACCATTTTTTAAGGGTCAGAAGGAGACTCCAGGTAGATCTTTACAACCATGCTGGTCGGCTTTGGGCCGAGAGCCCAGCTCACCTTTCTAGATGCGTAACCGTTAACCTGCGGGGCTCGAGCGCATGGGTTGTGCCTTGCCGCCGGTCTTTCGATCGAGGCACCCAGGTGGTTCTCGTGATCGTGCCAAAGGCCTGAGAGACACATGACGTCCGCGTGCCCCGGTCGGAGTGCTTTGGATCTTCATTGCTTTCATACTTCTTTGCTCTAGATTGAGCATACTACAATTCACATTCCGGGCTTGCAAATAGCAGGCGCCAGGAATTTTCAAGAACACCCTAAATACTGAATGGTTGGCGGACATACAGGTAAATCACAATTCCACCCACAAATCCATGTGGGTCGAAAAAGAAACCCCGCGCCTTTTGGTTCTGTAAGGGCACGTCCCGTAACTTTCTTTGCAGGCCCGGAACACTGCAAACCGATGCGGGGAAAAGAACGATACCCGAAGCGCGTAAAAGCCAAGAAGACACATATCAGGTCCAACGTGTTGTCGCAAGATTGCGAAATCAGAAGTTTGCAGGTCCCCAACCGATACCCGATACCCAACTAAAAATGCCGCCATGCCGGGTCCAACCAGCTGCCGAGCTGCCAACAAGTACTTTGTGTACTACATTGGTACTGAAAAGTTGCGACTTTCAAGGTGGAGTACTTTGTACACTGCACTATGGCACACTTGTACTGAAAAGTTGCGACTTTCCAGCTGGAGCTGCCAGAGTGTATATGCCGTACACTGCACTTGTACGGAAAAGTCACGTTTTCGAGCAAAAGCTGCCAAAACATGCAAACCGATACGAACCGATACCAGGGTAGAAGGTTACAAGGGAAGTCCACGTTTTTTTTTCTCTACAGCCCACGTCCAAGTATCTATTTCACACCATGCGACGAGGGTGGCACCTTTTCGTTTGGGTGTTGTTTTCCCATTTCGATCGGTCCCTTGCCAAATGGCTGTGGGTCAAAACCAATGGGAGGCATTTTAGTCTATTTTAGCGGCGATTGGGATGTTTACTGGGGTACGATTTGGCTTTTGACCCATGGATCCAAATCACAGAGATCGAGTCTTTTGAGCGCAGGTACTCAAAGATAGATTATGAGAGTCTAGCTCCGCGGAGCAACATGAGAGGTGCGGATCGGTCGTTGTCGGTCGAACGCTTTGGTGGAAGTGGACAGGGAGGATTTTCCGATTCCGGAAAGTCCTATCCAAAATCTGACACATTTTTTTGATCATTGGGAGTCTGTGTGTGTGGTTGCATTTTGGTTGGACCCCCAACATGGTGGGTGCCATTTGGTGTTCCTGTAAAACCACCCAAAAAGGGGATACCTCAAAAAAGGACACGGGTTGCGGTTGCCACTTTCTGTACCAAGGGAATCTGCTTCGGAGCCTGGATGGGAAGCATCACAAGGGGGCCCATTTCTGGCCGATGGTCAACTGGGGTACAGTTCCGAGGCCTGGCTGGGGCCATTGTCTTCTCCGGCTGGCGGATGGGTTTCTTTTGTTTTTGGGGGCGAGGGTCGACCAAAAGGTCAACAGGGCTGTCAGCTGTTTGCTTCCTGGGTAGTCCGTTGAACTGGACTCTGCCAAAGACAGGCCTGCCCTCTACTCAGCGCTTGTAGCAAGTAACCAGTTTCTTACCTCTGGGGGGGTACCATCGTTGGGGTCGGTTTAGAGAGGTTTTGAAGATGCAAAACGGGCATTTTTGGTGTTCCCTCAGTTTAAGCTCTTGGCAGGAGCATGCTTTAAGCTTTTCGCCATCCGAAGTGGCCGATCCCGGCCAGGTGTCGAAATGCCAGATGTGCCTGCGCGACGACTGTACGAAATTTGCATGGCCGTCCCGGCGATTTGCAGAGGGAGGTTGCAAGAGCCACACCATGTGTTGGGTGTTTGTCAAAATTGAGAATCCCATCCAGGTGGTTGGCGTTGTGCTGGTTTTGTTTTGGGCACCATTCACAAAGCGTTCCTTTTTGGGAAACACCCATTTTTTGCAAAGGCAACAGGCAGTGCATTGCCTTGCTTTCGCTTGCGATCAATCAGTGCCTGAGTTGTTCCGGTGGCTCACAAGGTCTTCCAGTACAAGACTTCGAAACGCGTGAGGCAGGACGGAGTGTCAGTCAGAGTTGAATGAGCTGTGAGTTGATACCAATTGATCAACCCCAGTTTATCAATAGGGGGGTGTCCCTGGGTTTAGTGGTTGGAATCAGACCACTTTTGGAGGGGGGTGTTCCCCCCTATGAATAAACTGGGGTGGATTAATGTGGGGTCAACATGAACGGTGTGGCCGTTGGCCAATAGCCAGGGCTCTTGATGGACCGTGTACTTCTAGAAACCAGTTTGGATGCGATTTTTGTGGATTTCACCTGTTCTTTCCTCTGTAGGTTCTTTTTTAGTATTGATTTGGTACTCTTATATCCTACATGGGTGGATCCACAGATTCGCCACATCCAAACCGTTTCCTAGAGTACTTGCCCCAGCGCGACACCAAGCTTCTGTTAAATATGACATGAGGATACCTGTGTTTTTGTTTGTCGCAGCAAGGTCATACCATGGACGCTTCACGTGTGAGCCAGGTTTGAGGAGAATAACGAGAGCGAGTTCTACAACGTCAGGGTTGTCCCGAGCTGTTTCAGCTTTTGATTCGCAGCTTTGTTTCAAGCGAGCTGGCAGCAAGGCAAGATGCCAGTTGGAGTTCGTATGCCGCCAGGCTCTGGAAAACCCAACGGAGGCTGAGAAATCCAAGATGCAGGCGAGTGATTTCAGAACACGACTAGTGGTTGGTTCGGTTCCTTTTGTGGGCAAACAGCAATGTTTTCTGCTGAAGTCGCAGAGTTGCACTTGCGGACCGAGACTTTATGTGTGGCCACTGCTTCCAGTTGCCACTATATTAGGTACCCAGGGCTTCATACCTTGTTAAAATTTACATTGTGTTTTCCCCTGGTTACCCACTAAAAGCTGCTGGAAGCACTGGGTTGGCTTATTCACGTTCTATCATGGCCAAAGTGGTTTGCTGTCACTTTGCTGACTGACCGAAGACAGAGGGGGTGGGGTGCGGTTGATTCTGAACATATTGCGAGGGAACTTCCAATATTTAGGGCATCCGTGATGCACGGTGACATCGCGCTTCCGCCTGCGGTCAAACAGCTATGGCACGAATGCAGTGGATGGGGACACGACCCTTGCTGACATGCGTGCATGAAGCCGAAAGCGAATGTGTCCCAACTGACGCCAAGCTACATTCAATGAGATGCTTGCGGATATCCTGCAAAAAACAGCACAAACAACGACAAAACATGGGAATCTGATGAGGACAGCCACTACTTGCGCCGTTTGCGAAAGTATGTGCCTCCATAACACTGCTTGCCCGAGCAGCCGGTTTCTCAGATGCGTTGACGCGTCATTTTAGTCCTATTCCAGCAGAAGTCCATTTGCATTTGCATGAAACAACCAGACTCATCACCTAATTATGGGAGAGGTGATGGGAGGGTCTCCAGATAAGACCCTTTGAGCCCCTTTCCGTGAGTATGTTTGACAGGCGTCCCAAAAGGGAACACTTGACCTCAGATGAAACCCTGCGAGGTGCCTCATGGATTCCCTATCCCAGTGGATCCATTTACCTGTATAGTAGGTAACCAAGGGCTTGCCACTTGTTACAAGCCAAGTTCAGCATTGCTGGTTGCCTATGCTGGTTGGCCGGGGATCCGCTAGATAATGGCATAGCCGCTAAACCAGTTCCTAATCCTAGCTTTCCATGAAGTTAAGGTTCGCTCTCCCTGCCAGCCTCCGAACTGGACGTGCACCTTGGGACCCTTGCCAAGGAGATGAGTCTGTGCAAAGAAAACTAAACAACGCCGCATGCGCAACGGGGGTTGCGACGTCGCCCAAAGTGAGGGTGCAACGCTTTTTTTGGGTCGTTTAGTTTCCGCTGGTGAAGTCAGGTAAATGGGAAGCTAGCCCGGATCCAAACCACCACACCAAATCACTCAGGGGGAAGCTGATGAAGTACTTGATGTAACCAGAATGCAACCAGTCCAGCGAGGTCCCATGTTTTTTCTTGCCTGGCTTCTTCTTCCCAAGGTCCTGAGCCAGCCGGCTTCGGAGGCCGATTGGGTTCGAGGGTTGAACACTCTGGAAGGGACAGTTGTCTCCCTTTCAAGGCCTGGCCTTCCAGATTCCAGCCTTCCATTGGTAGAGCCCGCCAGCCCCCCCCCCCCCCCGCAAAAAAGGGAAGGGGGTTGTAGTCCTTTCCAAAACCATTGATAGAAGTCAAGGAAGAGTTTGTGCGCCAACTGAACATGGCCTTTCAGAAGCATCTAACTTTAAGGAACACGAGCCGCAATCAAGCCTGGACAGATACTCTCATGCCAGCTTTTGGGTACTACTCACGCGATTCTTGATCTCGCCGCTCGGGGCGCTGCTCGACATGCTCCATTCCTCTGGCACCAGACTTGAGGTCTTACCGCGGAGATTTGTCCTTTGACTCTGCGCTGAGTGGCCGTTTGCCTTTCCTCAGCTGTTGGGAGGAGAACCCATTTGTTTTGCTCCCATGTGGCACTCGAGGTGAGCCTTCAAAGCCGACACGCTCCAAATGTAAAGATGCGCTTCCCAACAGTACCAGTCTGGGCATTTCGCCCGTCTCAGTATACTGGTTTCGCGTTGGTTTGCCTTGAAAGCAGTGTCTCAAAGTTAGGGGCATCCCATAAAAATGGTGCAAGCTTGTTTTTCCTTCTGGAAAAGGGTGGTTTCACAAAAACAACCCCCAAACGGGGCATGGCCTGAACTCCAAAGGATTGATGACGTGGGAATGACTCAGGTAACGGGAACACACATGAATGTCAAGAATCCTTCAGCAGACGTGGGGCTTCGGTCTGGAGGCGGAAGCGCTGTATGCAGCAGCCCACGCCGGAGCTATGGGACAAGGTGCCCGGATACTCCTCAGATGATGAGGAGCGGAGCAGCTTTGATGTCCCTGTCACGAGGGTTTCATGTTTTGATTCCCCCCCAGGTAGACGGAAACCCAGGACTCGGTTTCTGTTTTAGGGGAAATTAACCGCTAAATTTAAGGCTACCTGGGTAATCATGCGGACGGATTGAATCCGCTGTGCACGGCGAAGCAGTGCAGCAGCGAAAGTTCATGGTCCGCGGTGTGTTACCGCTATCTTCGCGCAAAAGGCCGGGCGAGGTCCCCGGCCTTGGAAGCTGTTCGGCTGCTATTGAACAGCCGCAGCATGTGATCCACCTTGTCTAAAGTGCAAGGGGATAGTCCTAAAACTACTCCATGCAAGGGCATCCCAAAGCCTAATGAGAGGCGATTGAGGCCATGAACAAATTCGAAGCCGATGCCAAGCTCACGGGCGAGGGCCTTCACCAAAGAGGACACAAAGCGAACACGAACAGCAACCGTGAGAATGGAACCATCATGACCTCTACCCTGAGATGCATCGACCCACGGATCACTGCCGACCGCAGGAAGTGGGTGCGACAAGTCGCTCAAAAAGAGGGCGGCAGCAAGTTCAACCCAGGCAACACAATGCTGTACGAGTGCCCCTGTTTGCTGCTCTCTAAGCCAGTTGAGAAACTGGAGAGGAAAAGTTTGCCCAAAACGGGTGGCACAAGCGCTGGCGTTCCAGACATGACTTAAACTGTCTGGCAGTGAGACCGGGCGCGCGTTCAGAAGTGGAATCCGAGGGGCTTCGCAATCTTCATCTGGGTCCAGGTGCTCTTCCCCATGAGCACCTTCAGAGAGTAGCCGCTTTCTTGTGGCTGCCAGATCAAGATGAAAGGCCCGCAAGTAGTCCACTTCCTGACGCTGTCGCCGGGTGGCTTGCTCGTAGCGGTCCCAAAGGGTTCGGAATGGGCTGGTTCGCATAGTGTGGGCGTGGCCCGCTGCGGCATCGGCTTGTCGGTTCCAGAAGATGATCCAGTCGGTCAAGGGGTCTGGGCTGTCACTTTCGGCTTGGTGGCTGCTAACATGTACCACTGAGAGTTGCCCTGGATACATCATTTCCAGGAATTGGCTGGTCTGTTCCCACAGGTCCTCGTGCGAGTGGACGTTGGCGTTGGTCGGGTCGTGAGCATTCTGGTTGAGGGTCTGGGCAACGTAGGAGTTGTCGATCCACAGGGTGCCTTTGACCCCTGTCCGCGCAAGCCAGGATACCGCCGCCAAGGCTGCGGTCAGTTCGGCTCGATCAATGGACTGGTGTGGTCCACACAGTGGTCCTTTGGCGAGGACAGACTGGTGCGAGGCCGAGACCGCGGCCCATGCGGCCAAAGAGCGGTCGGGGTCGTTGGGGTTCCAGCAGGAGCCGTCCGTGAAGATGTCCACTACTGAATGGTCACCAGGTTGAAGATGATGGTCGAGAGTCCTGTCCTGGAGCTCAGCGAGGGCGTGCTTGATCTCCCGGAAGTGGGCATTCCTGCTGGGGAGCAGGTGGATCCGTAGACTACATGGCCAGGTATCCCAACGTTCCATGACCCACTGGTGCCTTTCTCGCAAAGGGGTGAGTGGAAGGCATTCACGACATCGGTGCTCCATGGAGTCTGGCAGGTGGCAAAGGTCGCAGTTGTAGCCATGCGCAAGGTCAAACTTCCCCTGGATGTTCCGCGTCATAAAGGATCCGTCTCGTAATGCGTTGATGGTGGCCATTTCAAGTGCGCCCATAGCTTTTTCAGTTCGGCTGGGAGGCCATTGCAGGCCCACAAGGTCCGCAAATTCGGTCCGTGGCTGGATGAAGCGCGCAACCCGCTGATACCAGGCGTCCTGCAAGAGCTTGTAGAGCCAATCCTGGGGGATGCTGAGAATGTCGATGCAGAGTCCATCGTGATCAAGGAGGAGTGGTGGGTTCAGCACCGTCCATTGGACGAGTGATGCCTGCTCCAGTAGCTTGCCGTAGGGGCCCGAGAAGCTCTGGCCATCATAATTCCGCATGAAGCGTTGCCATAGGTGAAGAAGGTGTGGCTCCTTGATGAGGATGCGCTTGAAGTCCATGAAGGTGGTGAGCAGCTGGTAGAAGCCGGGGTCGAGACAGGGATGGTCTCCTCCAAGACTGAGTCTGATCATTGGCTGAGATCCCGCAGCTTTCCACCCGAGAGCGCGAACCGCTTGAGTCCGCAGCTTGCCAATGTGGTCTTCCGCCATGGGTGTGATTGCAATGGCGTGCAGGGCGGCTGGCCAAAGGGCTTGTCGGATAATCTTCTGCTTGGTGTGCAAGTCCATGGGGAGGCGTCGGAGCCGTGCCCAGCAGGGTTCAATGGCCTTGAAGCGCTCAAGTTGTCCTTGAACAGAACGAGCACGGGAGAAGGTGAGTGCCCCACCAAGGTCAACTGCCGTGGTCTTAACTCGAAGGCCAAGGCGGCGAAAATGGCTTCTGTCCTGTGAGGAGGTTGCCCATGTAAATGTCTTGGGCTCGTCAAGCTGGAGTTGCCAGAGATCCATGTAGGTCTGCATGACCGCGTAGCCGTGGAGTAGTTCGTACGCGTTCGTGGCCATGAGTTCGTAGTTGTCCACAAAGGACTTAGGTATGACCGCCGGCGCAAAACGACTCATGTAGAGGTCGAAGACCCAATCAATGACGCACATGCCCATGACGGCCAGAGAGTCACCTTCTGGTAGGCCTGAGGTGGATGTGAGTGGCTCGCTGATTTGTCCATTGTGGACAAAGCGTCGTTGAAAATTGCTCAGGAAGTGGTCCCATGGTCGGAGGACTCGTGCAGGTACCCCGAGGTGGTGACATGTGGCCATCAGGGGTCGTCGTGGGATGGATTCAAAGGCCTTGCTGACGTCCGTAGTGAGGCCGGCGAGGCCTTGGCCACCTTGGAGTGCAAGTTCCACTGAGGCCTGTATGTAGAGCCAAATCTGGCCGGCTTCTCGTCCAGGAAGGAATCCTAGGGCGTTTGGCCCAACAAACTTCTCAAGGAAGTGGATGAGGACCTTGGCACGGAGGCTTGACCAGCTTCTGTAGACAGTGGAGAGCACAATGATGGGCCTGAACTTGTTGATTGTGTCGGCCGCGGTCTCCTTAGGAACTGGAATTCCAAAGCCTTGTAACAGCTGCTGTGGCCATTGAGCGGTATCCTCAACATGGTTGAGGAGTTGCACCATTCTTTCTTTGAGGACGATGGGCATCCGGAGGAGGTCTTGTTTGTCGAAACCGTCGGGACCCCTTGCCGCGTGTTCATTGTATCGAGCGTTGACTTTATCCCATGCACTGACTGTGATGGCCGGCACCTGCATCTCCAGTTGTGGAACATGGGCCTGGACAAAGCCAAGGATGCGGTCCCATTGGCCAACAGGGACGTCGCGATGTCGTAGCCATCGTGGTTGCCAGAATTTCTGCAGCTCCTCCAGGATTTCCGTGGAGTCGGTGTAGAACACCCTGTGTTCCAGCACCTGGCCGGGGCAGAGCAAGAGGTCGGTGTGGACCTGGTAGGCGTTGGGTCCGGTTTTCCGGGTTTGTGCCGGTTCGTCGTCGACAAACCAGAGGCCATTGGTCGCCTCTGGGAGCACGTGGTCAACCAGGACTTCAGAGGTCTGGGCGTCGACATGAAGGATGTCCGCGTAATGGTAGCTGACCAAGTGGTCCATGCTGTGGAACTCCTTGCCCTTGACCGCTTGAAAGGCTTTCTTCGCTTGTTCACGGTACTCGACTCGAAGTGCTCGTTGCCGTTGACGAAGGTGCCAGGCTTCCAGGTTCCGGTAGTTGGTACGGAAGTCCTCAAAGATCTCCTCAATGACGTTGGCAGCTGGTATATCTTCAGGAAGGTATCCTGGTGCGCTTTGGCGTTGATGGGGTCGTTGCAGCCACCAGTAGTCGAAGGGCCCATCGAAGCCTTTGGCGGCTTTGATAGCTTGCCATAGGTAGAGCCGATACTCTATTGCAGCAGCGTGTTGACCCGCAGCGTGGATGTTGTGCTTGAGGGATTGGATTCTCCGCAGTTGTTTGAACCAGCGTTGGAGCTGACGGTTGATGAAGCTGGATGCCGGAGCCTCCTCACCTTCTCTAGAGGCACGAAGTGCTGGCATCTGAGGAGGTCGGAGACGTGGTTTTAATGCTTGTGCTCGGCCGCGATGGTGTGGGGGAAGGCGCTGTTGTCCTCGCAGGTACACGGTGGCGCTGTCCTCGTATTCTGCACCAAGGTTCTTGTAGAACTCAGTCTCGTGGCCAGGTCGGATGTCACCCGGGGGTTCCTCGGACTCGTAGTGGGCCCAATCCTGGATGCAGATGTCGTCCCATGGGAGGGCCCCTGGAAGTGGCCAACTGAGAACCATTTGGTTGACCTCCGGGATGCGGAAGCTTGCCGTCAGAGCTTCATGATCTGCGAATCCGCTCTGTACCATAGTTTGTTGGAACAGTAGGGCAAGTTCCGGAGAGACGTAGATGCGGTCCGGCCGTGAAACTCCCTTGCAGGTCATCCTGGGAGGTTCCCCGGTTCGAAGTCGGTGGAGATCCTGTACTTCACACCACCCCGCTTGTTCCCAAAGATGGAAAGCAGGTAGGGTGTTGGGGCAACCGTTGAAGTCGCCGCTGATGTATCTGGCTCCGGAGGATCCAAAGACCAGCTGCTCGGTGAGGTGCTGGAGCAAGTCCTGGGTGTGCTGGTGTGCTCGCGGCCAGGTAGGTCCAGGGCTCCAGCCGTAGACCGTCACGCCCAGGATGTTGAGGCTCGGCCAACAGAAGCGGGATGCCATGACCCGACCAGCGGTGTGTTCCCCGCTCGGCCATGGGAGCACAAAGGGGTGTGCTGGCAGGTCGGTGATCTGAGCAACGCCACTCCAGGTGCCGGTGGTGGAACTGCGTGGTCGTAGGGGTAGAGGTGAGCCAGGAAGGAATCGTATGTTTCGTTGGTCCTTTGCGGCCAGTGAGCGCAGAGTTCTGCGAGAAGCTGAGATGCCCTCCTTGGACAGGTGGGTTTCTGCCACATTGATGATGCCTCGTGGGAGTCCAAGAAGTAGACCTTCTTTTCCACGAAGTCCTGTTGGGTTGACTTGAGTGAGGTGAAGCAGGGGGCCAGGGTTGGTTGCTTCACCGACTCGGCATGGGACCAGTGTCCCTGGTGGTAGTTGGTCACCAAATGGTAGTTGAGGTGAAGTGGGCATGTGCCCCAGCGCTTCATGGTGTGTTGTCATCATGGTACGGTGGATGGTAGAGGCCTCCGTGCCGCCGAGGAGGTAGTAGACAAGGAGGAGTGGCCACCAAAGCGCAAGACCGCGATGAGGCCAGTTGCTGGTTGAACCAAAAGGCTTAGGCCGCTGCTCGCCAGCACGGACAGCGCCATTGTGCCGTAGTCAGGAGGAGCGGGGCCTTTTCTCAAGCAGGGCCTCCAGCCTGGAGAACCCGGCTCCCATTTCGGTCTGCATATCGGTTCGGACTTGTCGAAGTGCATCGCCGACTGAATTGGAGTGGCCCGCAAAGTCGCTCCTGATGTTGCCAAGCTCGGAGGAGTGTGTGTGGACAACCGTCTGCAACTCATGGATGTTGAGTTGGAGCTGCTGGTTGGCATCCGCCGAGTCTTTGAACCATTGCTGGAAATTCTGGTTGTGAGCTTTGAGTTCAAGCATGTCTTGTTCCAGGGTTTGGATGCGCTGGACTGTGCTGTCCGCAAAGTGATGATCAATGCCGGAGGCCGAGTCGACCTGCATGGAGGTTTCTTCAAGCTCTTTGCGCAGGGTTGATCGGACTCCATCACGGAGTCGAGCTTCCATTTGTTGGTACTTGTCCTGCGGGGTGATGTGGCTGTTGGAGGTCCTCTGTGACCACGGGTCCGGGCCCAGGACCCATGGGTCATCCGAAGTGGAGGTGGTTGCAGGTTGTCCGGCTTTGTGGAGTTGTAGCCGCGTGCTTGATGTGGCCAGGATGGGCGGTGGCGTGGGGTCCTTGACAAGGTGTCGCCCAAGGGTGACGATGACATCGCCCTCCGCCGTCTGCATGAGTTCAGCCGGAGGTGTTACCGCGGCTGCAACCTCCCAGGTGTTGCCCGCAACTCCGCCGCCAATGGGTTGTAGCACTCGGGCTTGCCATCCCCATTTCGTGATGGCCTTTTGTAGGCTGTGTCGCTGCATGCCGAAGGGTAGCGGAAAGAGCCGGTAGATCGAGGTTGCCTTCGTGTTGATGAAGGGCTCCTCCGGTCGGAGTTTTTTGAACGTCTCCTCGGCATCGGCGTCGAGCACACGCACGCCATACTTCTGGTGTAGCCGACCCACTGCGATCGCCGTGGGCGTGGTTCTGCATTTGTGCATAGCAGCGCCAACGGAAATGTTTCCAAGCCAGACCATTGCATATGCCGGGTCGGGTTCCTTGCCCCCCGATGTGCGGGGTTCGACATAGAGTCCTGCGGTGGCTGAGAGCCCCTGTAGGCTGTGCTGTGCGAATTTTGGCACTCGGGCTAGGACAGTCCAGTAGGCAGCATTCTCGGGCTTGCAGAACTTGCCTTCGGCGGACAGCCATGTTCGGCTCCAGAGGTCCATGATGACATTGTCGACGGCCTCGTCCACAGGGGGATGGTAGAAGGGGCATGAGTCCCCGCAGCTCTCTTCTTTGCACAAGCGCAGGATAGGGAACTTCTGAATGAGTTCCCGCACGGGCTTCTGCAGAAAGAGGTCCCAGGTTCCAGTCCATTGGTCCTTATAGACGGAGAAGCGCAGTGTTTGGGTAGCCATGATCTCGATGCTGGGGCCACCGGAGTGATCAGCACGATCAATGGAGCCCTGGCCCAGGAGAATCAGGCTTCCCGCAATGAGCAACGGCTCTCCCGTAGGCATGTAAAGAGCGGGGTATCGGAGATGGCGGACTGGTAGTAAACCACATCGCTCAGCTGGTACTGGAGTTGTGGTGAGCACCCCGACTGCGGTGTTGTTGATGGGCTTGCCCTCCTTGAGGTAGGGTAGAACGTCGGCGACCGAGCCGAACGCGATGCCGTTGGTGGCGGTGCTGAGGGCCCCAAGGTCAATCTGTGTGACGGGCTGGTTCTGGTGCACAAATGTGTTCGGTGCTAGTTGTAGTAGGTGAGGCTCAACCTGTAGTGGAGGAGGCGGTGCATCTTTGCTTGTTCGGGCAGTTTTGCGCTTGCTGGACTGGATCTTGAACTTGTCCTCTGCCTTCTCCCGGATCTGGGCTTGGAGTTCATCATGAGCAACCCACATAAAGTTGATGCTGGGTCGGCTAGCGACGGACTTCATGGCCGGCCACGGGTTCTTGAGCTGGACAACTTGTTGAAGCTCTTGGAGTCCGATCTTTTTGAGGGCAGCTTGCGCTCGTTCTCGCACCCGGGTGGTTGGTACGCCTTTCTGAAGAAGAATAGTCTCGATGGCGCGGAGTACGCCAGACTCCTCGGCGGGTCCGCAGCCAATGTGTTGCTGGTGGATCTGTGGGAAGGCTTGCAAAATACCGGCATGTAGTTCTTCGTCTTGGTCGGTGGGCCAGAGGTGATGGATCTGCAGGGCCTGTGCAAGGTTGCCCAGGAGAACCGTGCCACACGTAGCCGGATGGGCTTGATCACGTCCTCCCTTGTTGTTGTTGAGGATGATCTTGATGCGGAGCGACTTTTCAAGATCCAAGAGCAGGTGTTGAAGTTGCTGGGCGCTCGAGTGTACCGTATGTGCATTGTAAAGCTTGGCTACGCCAACTGGTGCAAGAGCTGGTGGTGCATGAAGTTCAAGTAGCAGCCAGTGGCCCTGATGTAGCACCAGCCACAACTGCCAGCCAGTGATGCTTGATGCGGCAGGGTGCTGGTGGAGCATGAGTGGTTGCGCGGCGGATGGCTCGATCAGGCATCCGAGAAGGGGTCCAGAGGCAGATGCGTGGTGGTGGTAGTTGATGAGGTTCAGGGCAAGTGGCCATAACGTGTGTGCGGTCATGCCTTGGTTGGCCGCATCTCCGCCGCCTGTGGCGATGTGAAAGGAAGCGGTGTTCCACACTCGGAGGTCCTGTGCTACTCGTTGGCCGTGGTCAGTGAAGATCTTGGCGTTCTCATCGATGTGGTACTCCCGCAGGACCTCAAAGATGAAGGACCCCGCATCCTTGTAGGTGACGATCTCCTCATCATTGGCTCGGATGGTGATGGCTACCAGCCCGGAGGGTTGCAGTCGCCTTTGTTTCTTGAGCGCATAGATGAGCCGGTAGGGGCCGAACATACCAGCCGTTTGCATCCATGCTCCATGTGGTACTGCTTGATGTCCATCAAGGAGTAGTGGCTGCGAGCCCCAGGGTTGGCTGCCCTGTTCTGCATTCAGGATCTGCTCAACTGTGACGTTGCCAGTGAATTTGATGTCGAGGTAGGAGTCGTCAGCATCAATGACCCATGCTCGGCAGGTTTGGGCAGGGTGGTGCTTGGCCCAGAAGTGAAACTGCCGCTGCATAAGGTAGTGCTTGTAGTCCTCAATGGCCTGAAGTGGGGAAATGTCACTGATGCTCCTGTCTTGTAGATGGACTGCTCGAAGGAGGTGCGCATATATCCACAGGGCTTGGAGAGGTGCGGCAGATTGTCCCAAGAGGCACAAAGCCGTTTTGAGGTCCACCCCGAGATGCAGCACCGGGTCAAACAAAAAAAGGAAGCCCAGCTCATTCGGGTGCAAGTAGCGGAACTGGTTGGTGAGCTGGGACCGGATGTAGAAACCACGTACTCCTCCTTGGCGGAGTCGAGCTGGGTTGAACGGTCCACGGCACTTGCAGGGACAGGGTCCCGTCACAGATCCATAGCTGTGCAACGCAACCGGGCATGGCTTGTTGAGGTCCAGTACCCTCTGATCATCCCCGTAAAGTGGGTTGGTGTACATCTGAAGCTCCTCCTCGGTGAGGCTGAGGTTGCGCTCGTCCTGCAAGTTCCAGTAGGGCCAGTTCTTGATGTAGTTCCCCACCGTTGGCGTCTCCTTCGAGGGGGGCCAGCACGCAAGAGGAACATGTGGCAGGCTGGTAGGTGACAACAGACACCACCACCGTGTTCGTCGCGCAGGCCATTGCAGGTGCAGTGGAAGGACAACAGGTTGTATCCGCCATTGCATGAGCTCCGCAAACTCAACCAAGGCTTGTTGGAGTCGGGGGTGTTGGCCAGCCTGGGGTACACATTCGAGTAGCAAACAGGCTGCTCTTGTCATCCATGCCGTGCGGAGTGTGGCCCAGAAGCCACCGATGCGCTCATCGTAGAATGTCTTCTGGTCTCCCTGGGCCGAGAAGGGCTGGCAGGGAAATCCTGAGGTGGTAGTAGCCGGTGTGGTGCCACCCGCCATGTGCAGTGCGTAGATGGTGTGGTCACATGTGATGTCTCCGCTGATGACAGTGCCATGGAGGCTGGAGTGCAATTGGGTGGATGCAGCCGCATTGCGGTCAACCGAGGCGCAAACCACAGCGCCCAGTTGTTGGCATCCCTTACCAATTCCACCCAAGCCAGCACAGAGTTCTTTGACGCGTGTCCAGGAGGCCGAGGTGGGTGCCACATGTGGGATCACCTTGGTGGTGGTGGTCGCCCTCATGGTGAGCAGCTCCAAGTCAACGACCTCAAGGAAGTACACCGTGGCCGTCACAAAGTCCGGTGTGATGCCGCCCACCAGCACGTCGAGGTCCAACCCAGGGAGGTGGCCGATGAAGGTGTCCCCCTCGATCTTCTTGAAGACCTCCACGATGCCCGACCAAGGGTTCCCCATCGCAGGGGGTCGGAGCACTTGCACGCGATCCATGTGGGACACAAACCCAAAGTCAGCCGCCCCAGCTCAACCGTTGGGGGGTCTTGGGCCAGAGCTAGGCTACCTGGGTAATCAAAAAATGGAACCCTGAAATAAAAAAACCTTCGGCATCCCTGTTTTTCAGGCCATCTTTGGGGGAAACCAGAAAGAGTGGAAGGGGTGTCTGTATCTGGCCGTGCTTCTTCTGGCGTGCTATGAGGTTTGGTCAATGCAACATCCGGTCCAGTAGTCTAAAAAACCACTCGGGAGACCCCTCAAGAATTGGCGAGTCGTGATTCCCAGGGATCCTGACATTGGGTTTGGGGCACAATTCGACCATCAGGAAATGGACCGGTTTCTGTCTTGTCCATTTACCCTATTTTTGACCCACACCCATATGGCTAGGCTATGAGAGCCTTCTCGCAAATGGCTGGTGGACAGAATGCCCCATGTAATTATTTGATGTCCAAACACAACATGCAATTGTCTGCAATTGTCTTTTGGTTCACAGGTCTTACCGCTTCTTTTACACAAAGCCAAAGGAAGATGAAGCCAAAGGAAGAAAGGTTTGTCATCTTTTCTTTCGGCAGTTTCATCTTCCTGTCAGGTGCAGTCGGATCGCTTTTCCGAGGACTCGTTTTCGAGTCCGGAGCCCATGAAGCACCAGCTGGAGAGTCGGCTGACCGAGGCTCGCGGGGGCTGACGGAGCCGAAGCAACGACGGGCGTCCGGCGGGGCGCTTTTTTCTCCGCGGGTGTCAGCTCCATTTTGGGTATGTGTTCAAAACAAAGCAGGGGGTTGTAGTCTTTTCCATGTACCGGGATTCCATTTTGGGGTTACCCTTTTTTTGACCCACACCCATTTCCCCGGGTGGATCCTCCAAAGGTGGCAGTAACTCAATGGAAACCACCAGTAAACCAGGGGAAATACAGTGTTCCCTGTGTGTGTTTGTGTTCCCATGGTTGCCAAAGCCTCCCCCCTCCACCACAAGGTGATTTCGTTTGCGCTGCGTTGTAGGGTTGCTTCAAGAACTGGTGCCATGAACCCAGTGTGCACCAATTGCTTCAAACCATATTGGATCATTTGGGGGCAACCACTTTGAGGTGGTTTCTTACTCTTTGTTTGTTTGTTTAAAGATATCATAGCCATATATCATATATCACATACATATATATATATATATACTGCAACTACAATTAGCTTAAGGTAGCTCATGGTCAAAGGCGTGGTATGGCTCCCGCATGGATTCGGGTACAACCCTCTACACCACATTTGGCCCTTGATCATCGGGCCTTGAGGGGACCTTGACAACCTCTAGCGCACCGATCTGAGGCAACCCGAGCTGAATCGAATTGCAGGATTTGCAGATCAGTCCACTCCCCTACAGATAAACATGTAGTCCAAAACCTGAGCTTTGGCAGGAAGGGGTTCTCCTTTTGGGATTTCATGCTAGCGAGCTGTTCTTCTCACAGAAAAAAAAAACCCTGCACCGTTTCAACCTACCTAAGAGAGCTGAGCGAAGAGGCCGTTTGAGGAGCCATCGACCGGAATTGTTTCATCCATCTTTCCTTTGTAGTTGGGAGACTTGGGTGCCCACCCGCGTCCATCTCTACTCGTTGACTGGAAAATCAGTTCTTCAATCTGAAGACTAGAACATGGAATTGGGTATACCTCCATCATGCTATGGGGATTTTGCTTGACCGCTCGCACGGGAAGGGTCCAACAGAGTTTGGCCGAGACCGTTGGTTCCTCAGCCAGCCATCTTTTGTTCGGACCATTTAAGTAGATATGTTCATTCCGGATGCGTTGAATGGCCCATGTAGTCAGTGTCCCTCTTTCAGGACACCGAAAGGGGAGGACACTCAAAGAGGATGTTGAGTGTCTTATTTTTCCAGCTCCCCCCCCCAGTTAGCACTCGGTACTGTCACACACATCATTTGTTTTATTGCCACAGCCGAGGCAATCACCCACTTGTCACCATGACTCTGTGTGTCAAAGGGGGGAAAGGGGTCCCACCCCTTTCGCACAACTCGGTATTGTCACACCCATCATTTGTTTGTGGGGCCATAGCCGAAGCAAGCACCCAGAACTCGACAGGTCACTTGTTAACATGACTGTGTGTGTCAAAGGGGTCCCACCCCTTCACACAACTCGGTATCGTCACACCCATCATTTGTTTGTGGGGCAACAGCCGAAGCAATCACCAGAACTCGACAGGTCACTTGTCAACATGACTGTGTGTGTCAAAGGGGTCCCACCCCTTTCACACGACTCAGTATTGTCACACCCATCATTTGTATGTGGGGCCACAGCTGAAGCAATCACCCAGAACTCGACAGGTCACTTGTCAGATGATTTTTCATGGCTGGAGCACCCTGAGCACCCCGGGTAGAGCACCCTGGGGGTTACACAAATGAAGCCATGTATAAGATATCCACATTAAGAAGTGGAGCGAGGTCCAAATGGCTTCCTTCCCCAAAACCCTGTCCGTGAGAACCAACCTATGTTCCCCGCCAAAGTATCAGACAAGAGCCACGGAAAGGGTAGTGCTTCTTGGCCCTCAAGCAGAAACAAACACCCGTCCACCCCACCCCATCCCACCCCGACCCAACCCAAACCCCTCCCCGAAAAAAGAAGAACAAAACTGAAACTCCCACAAGTGCTGCTTGGCCCTCAAACAGAAACAAACACCCGTCCACACTTTACCCCACCCCACCCCACCCCACCCCACCCCACCCCATCCCAACCCAACCCAACCCAACCCAACCCACCACCCCCCACCCCACCCCACCAAAACCCCCAAGCACCCAAAACTCCAACTCCCACCAAAAACCCCACTTGCCCTCCGCTTCCTTCGTAGGTTCTCTCATGCCTGAGCAGCCGCTGCATGGAAAGCCCCACCATCCAGCCGAAGGTCTCAGCGAGAGCCGAGCAAAAGCGAGAAAATGGCCATGGTTCACAACCAAGACTACCATTTGGTTGGTAGGTGAATTCACCCCCCCATTTTAGAACCTATTTTAGTGGTTGGATTGAATCGGATGTTCACTGGGGGCTAACCGATTTGGATTTTGACCCATGGCCAAATGACTCTGAGCTTCGGAGGTAGGAGCCTAAAATGAGCATCTGCAGAAGCCTTGGAGCCCAAAATGCACGCAACAGCCATGTTTAATTTGAGCTGAATGTGCGGAAGCCTAGGGATAGATGCCGGCATGGCATGGATAGAAAGATATATACACATATGCACAGAGAGATCCACCATTTTTAATCATTCACTGTTTCATACACGTGTGTGTGTGGGTGTGTGTGTGGGTGTTTTTGTTGAGGGTAGCCCTTTTCTTGTGGTGTTTAGATGGACAAACCAAAGGAATTGCGCCATTTTGGGGCTCCAACTCCTCAAAAAGGACGAGTCACTTACGTCCCACGCGACGGTTCGCGCTGAGGTTCCAGCCTGTGCCGCTGCAAGGCAGCAAGGCAGCGCCACTCGACGAGAGACGAGCTTTCCATGGCAAAGTCAAAGCCCTGCAGTTCTCTTCCTCCATTTGCTCAAGTCTACTTAAAGGGGCACGGTACTTAGTAAGTGGGTAATAACCATGGTTATAACCCACTTACCGGGGTTATAAGTCTTCTGAGTGGGGAAACCAGGCTTACTAATCACTTACCAAGTACCCTGCCCCTGTAAGCATTAAGTCCCCAAGGGAAAATAAACATATTTCCAGTAGTGATAGATTCCCTTCAAAACCATAAGCAATGGAAGTATTTGGTATCCCTTGTCTCACCATGCGATTTCAGTGATAAAATATCAAGGCATGTGTGAAAATTTGGGATTTGGACCCCCAAAAAAATGGCGCGACAGAATTCCCTTTCCCTTTAAACCATGTTTAAAAGAGTACCCTTCGCGCAAAGAAACAAAAAACAAAACAAACCCAAATGGCAACAGTCTCCTTGGGCTTCCCTTCAAAACCTGAAAGTGCCCCCCCCCCCCAAAAAAAAAAAAGAAGGCCATGTCTTTGTTTGGAAGCGAGGTACGCTTTTTTGGCTGATTGCTCTGAAAGGAAACCAAAGGGAAACACCCGGTGTGAGGATTCCCCTGAAGATAAGCCCAAATCAAGCTCACCCTGGAGCGAGTTTTGGCGTTACATGTTTGGTCCTGAAACCCGGCTGGTCATATTTGCACTTGGCATGATTAAAAAACAACTCATCTCTTTCGTGGCCTTTTGGAAAACCACGGGCTTGAGGCCCTGCGGATATTGATTCGTCTATGACATGGCCATCCCTTCAATCATGGAACTGGGGTACAAAAAAAACCGGACCTGATGAGTCCATTTTGCATTTGCTGGAAACCTCGAAGACAAACATGGCGGTGGTGGTCAAACATCGGGTTTAACCCCAAGATGGATTGCCCTGGTAAACGGAAACATGGACTGACACTTGGACCCATACCGATATGAAATTGGAGGGCATCCACCCAGTCCCTTCGGCTCAAGGGTCGATGTGAGCAAACAACTTTGGTGGTCTCATATGTTGCCTTACTGTTACCTTGAAGAGGACATACTGTGGATGGTCATTCGCCTAGTGAGGTTCTGCAATAACCGTTTGATCAAGTTTCCTTGGTTCATTCGGGACATGGGAGAACTCACGAACAAGTTCAAACACAAAGCGCATAAATGATATACATATATACATGCTGTCTAACAAACGATGGAATTTCCCCTGCAAATACATACCAACCAGCGTTATGGTTTCAACCATTGTTCCAAGTGGTGCGAAATGGATTTCGTCCATTCGCATGTCCCTGGGACACTCTTTGACTGGGGCTGAGGTCAAAGAAGGCATCCGGATCTTCCTGTCCTCCGCCGGCCTTTTTGCTGAATGCGGAGGCCCCAATTCTGCAGGAGACTTGGTTCCTGTGTGCGACCGAACCCACCTATGCTTTTGGAAGAACAACCATCCAGTATATTCCAGAAAGCTGTTGGGTTGGTTCGTTAACCTTTAACTTTGTGCGAGAATCAGCACTCCCCCACTAACCTGCAAAGTTGAAATGCGAGGTGCTGGCCATCGACAAGTATAACCTCACAGTACCGTAGGATGGCAATTTTCCAGCCACTCACCAACCAAAAGTGAGTAACCCTCCGAGTGACATGGAAGCTGACGAAATGAGTCCCTCTTGACAGGACCATTTGTCAGCTTCCACGTGAGTGGAAGCCATGGCTTTAGCTTTCTCCAGTACGGTACGAAAGCAATTGTCCAAGCACTCAGCAACAAGTCTTCGAATCACCTGCATAGAACAGCCACAATCAAAACCGATTCGGGTAGATGAAGGTTAGTAAGGGGCAATCCCAGCCAGAAATAGTTGCGGCCGCCTTCTTAATTAGTTGCGGCCGCCTTCTTAATTCTTTGCATGGTTCTGGGTAGACCATCTTAATACAAAGGGTTTTGAGCAAGTGACTCAGGAGACCTTCCAGCACAACGGAATGATTCCGACTCTTTGCAGCGACTACGTGATCCAGTGGTCGGGCCCAAATATTCGGGATGCCGTGTATCAGAGCATGATGGAGTGGCAAAGAATCAACCACTTCCCAGGCGCGATGGGCAATGCAACTCGCTAAAGGAGGGCTTTCTATATGGCTTTGGGTCAAAGCCAATGGTACCATTTTGCAATAAATCCACCACCCAGTTAGTCTATTTTAATGGGGATGGGGATGTTCACTGGGGGTAATGACGGGCTTTTGACCCGCAGCCATATGATAAGAGTTGGCCATCAAGAGCAGAATCCTGTTTGCCAGGCCAGCGAGAAACCACCATGTAAGGAACATGTTCAGGATTGTATAAGACCCCCTGTCTAGACAGCCTCCCTTTAGTTGCCCCGTTCAGGGGCCGAAACGTTTCTGGTTTCAACTTTTGCCCAAACCTGCGAGGCTCTACGGAGCTGACACGGAAAGACCGGTTGTGGATGCACTTTGCGCAGATGGCAAAGAGTTACGGCAAGGCGAAGGGTCCGAATTTGTTGCACCCAGTGGGAGTTGCTCAAAATGGATTTGGGACCGCAGGCATGTCAAGGGGTATTCCAAAAGGACACCGGCCATTTTAGGGGACCCAAACCGCGGGTCAGAGTTGGGCATGCTCAAGTAGTCTTTGGCAAGCACTGCTTCAAAATGGTGTTTAGAATTGGTTTAGTATCGGGGTGGTTTTTCCTGTGTGCTGGCTCGTAGTCTTGAACATTGGTTTCGTATTGGGTTTCAATATTGCTTTGGGCTGGCCCAGTTCTGTTTCGAATTGGTTTAGTAGTGGTTTAGCATTCCTTTGTGCTGTGCCAGAGATGTTTGTTGCCTTGTTTTCCTACCCCGGTGGCTCCCAGTTACTCATAGACATAGTAGGTGACCAGCTATTGTCCTTTGATTTTAATGGGTGGTTCCCTCGGTTACCTACAAAACCAAGTATGTGGATCCACTGGATACCCTTAAACTTTTTCTTGCCCTTTCTGCTTCCCTGCACCCATCTGCTTGCACATGTTGTTTGGGAAGCTGTTTAGAAAAGCGGCACGTTGTGAAGAACTTGGTTGTTTGGGGCCTCAGTCGGTTTTGTTTGCTTGGCATTGGCTCAGCATTGGCATTGGTTTGCGAGTTAGTCGAGCATGGGTTTCGCATTGTTCTAGTATTGCCATGGATGGGGATCAGGTATTTTCCGAACCCCTGGACGGGCAGCCATATATTTCCGCTGAAAGACACGTGTTGTATTCCCTACCCTTTCTTGTTTTCAGAAAAGGCTATCCAACCTGTGGCGAGGGGTGCTTCGACTTTGTCCCGGAGACGTACGTTCTCCCGGACCAGTTCGACTCCTTCTTGACTTGCTATCAGCGATCAAGGTGCACTTGGATCCATTGCCAGACTTAACACTCTTGTGTGTTTCACTTTTTGCCTTTTTAGTTTTCCTTGATCCTCCGTCTTGGTCACATCAAAGGAGCTGTCTTGGTGTAGGTGACTTTGGGGTAATTTTCCTTCTTGTTTCTTCTGCTGTGGGTCGTCCTTTGCAAGGCAAAAGGCGAACTGTTGCCAGAGCTGGCACATTTGGTGTGTTCCCCCCTGTTTCGACCGAACAGCTGTCCCTCATCAGGGCTCCTTAAACGATACATTTTGCCCATTTGAACCATGTTTTTGTTTCACCAAAACAACGGGAAACCACCATGTACAAGGCAATGTTCATGCCCCCTCCCAAATCAACCATTGACTACTCGATGTGCTGATTAAACTGGGGCAGAGGTGGAGGTGCACTTAGCACCTTTTTTAAATCCAGCTCAGTGGATTTGAGCCTTCTTTCTCTCATTTTTTTCGCCAGGGTCTCTCGCTCTCTCGCAGGATCGTGAAGCCCAACGCCTCCTCCCGGGGCAGAGGCATCTTCTTGCTGAGCGACCTCTCCGAGCTCCCGCTGGACGAGACGGTGGCTGCTCCATCGGTTTTACGGGTTTTTTGTACGTTCCGAGTCAGGTGGGAAGCCGTACAGGGGGAAGCCGTACCTGGTACGTTCCAGGTACTAGTTTCAAACTATTTCCTACTTTTTGTTTCTATCAATCGAACCCACTCCACGTAGCATAAGCTTACTTGTGGTTATAATCTATTCCCATGGAACCTGACGTGGACCATTTTTCTGGGAGGGTAGCCGTTCAGCTTTTTCTGGAGAATGGTGTGTTCCTCACTTGGCAAACACCTTCGCCTATCAGCTTTTTGGATAGTGACTGTTTCCAAGCACTCACCGGCAGAATCCACTTGTTTGGTTTTAATCCGCTATATATTTTTGCTTTGTTTCCGAGCACTCACCGGTGGTGCCTGGTACCAAGGTTGTGTCCCGGTACATTGACGACCCACTTCTCATTCAGGGCTTCAAGTTTGACCTCCGGGTCTATGTCTTGGTGACGTCCTACGACCCCTTGAAGGCGCGCACGGCCCTGCTGAGCTGTTCGGTCCAACCTTTTTTCAGGGCACCCGCCGTGGGAAATGGTTGGCCAATGGAATACCCTAAAGTGATGAACACGTCATGGGAACCATCCGTTGGTATCAGTTCTCAGTGGGAAGGCACCCTTCCCACCCTTTGGAGGCCCCTTTAAACATTGCTCCAACTGATTCTTTAGGGAAAACCGAAGCTCCATATGGTCACCTGCTTGCGGCATAGTCTGATCAAGCCTTTCGTTGCGTTGGGAACGTGTGCACCCCCCCCGTGCCACGGGCTTCGTCAGCACTGAGGCCTACATCTACCGGGAGGGTTTGACTAGGTTCGCCTCAGCGCCCTACAGCACCAAGGGCGAACACATCCAGGCGGCAAACAAAAAAAGGGGAGGGGGCCTTCAGAAGTAGAAAACTATGGCGCAAAGAAGCGAGTCATCACATGAGTATAGTTCATATAGAAGATGTTATATTTTGTACGCCATATAACTTGACTGCTATTGGGTTGGATCTTTACACTTTAGCTTTAACGATATGTTTTTTGCAGACGATCTCCAACAGATGGGATCCAGGATGCCTTCCGACACCTCACGAACTACTCCATCAACAAGAACTCCGAGTCCTTCGTCGAGAACAGCGACATGCGAGCAGACAACGTGGGCCACAAATGGAGCCCAGCACTCAGGTTATGTGATTGAGGGCTTTTCTGCTGTGCCAAGAAGAGTGGGGGGTGGAATGAGTTTCCAGGGAATGTGAGACCCAGCATCTTTCCGAGCCTTACTTGGAGTCCGGCCGAGTTTTTTTTCCCCACCGGTGTCTGGTGTACCCCTTTTTTAGAGTCTTGGAGCTGGCCTTTTTGTTTTTTCCCCACTGGTGGTCTGGTGTGCCCCCCTTTTCTTTTCTTTTTTTCTCCAGCTCGGTGGCTTAGGTCTCTCAGCCCTGAACAAGCACTTGCGCTGCGTGGGGGTGGATGTGAATTTGATGTGGGCCCGGATCAACGACCTGATCGTGAAGACCCTGCTCTCCGTGGAGCCCTCCATTAGCAGCCGGACTCGGCAAGTCACAGGCGGGACCAGTCGCGGGAAAGCGGGGCTTTGGAAGGAATCAACGGGTCGGGTTTTCCGGGTGGGTATAGGTCCCTAAAAAGGTGCAAGCAAAAAGGGAGGGAAAAGGTCGTTTGGAGTGGTGGTTCTTATCTGAACATTCCTCCCTCAAAAACCTGGTTCACATGTACAGAAGGCTGGTTTCTCCCTCTTCGTTTGGAGGTTGTCTTCACAAAAACCTGTGAACATGTACAGAAGCCTGGCCGAAAGCCGCCGCCGCCGCCGAAGCCGACAGCTTCTCGAGTTCCTTCGATTCGATTCTGGAGGCAGCCGGGAGAACTGCTTCGAGCTCTACGGCTTCGATGTCTTGGTGGACAACGACTTGAAGCCTTGGCTGCTGGAGGTGAACTTGAGCCCCAGCATGCAAGCTGAGTCGCCCTTGGACTGGCAGATCAAGAGCTCCTTGTGGCTTCCCCAGAAAATTAGATAGAACTCCGCGTTGTTTTTTTTCTTCTTCTTGTTTCTGCTTTTTTTTGGGGGGGGTCCCTTTGTTTTCCACCAAGCAGGCAATAAAGAGAGCTTTTTGCTGGGGTCCTGATTCCAGCCTAGGTTGGCGGATACCTTCAACATCGTGGGAGTTTGCTCCAATGAGCGGCCTGCGCCAAAGCCGAACGACCGGATGCGGGCCTCTTACTCCCAGCCCTGGAAGGCAGCAGCGAGCCCCAAGCAACTTTGCCAGACTTCACTACATTTCACTACCCGTTTTTCTTTCTGCTCGATTCATGCATGCGTGTCCTTCATTTCCTCCCATTCCACCATCAAACCGTGACCGCCTTTTCAGGTCTAAGTCATACTTGGAAGTCTGGCCCAGGAAAGAGGATTTCCCGGTGGATGAGACTCACGCGCCTTTGGTGCTGAACGTTCTCTCGGACGCCAATCTCAAGATGCTGGCGAAGGCGGTCGGCGAGCGCAGCAGGCAAGTTGAGTGCCAAAATTGAACCCCTCCTAATTTGTAAAATTATGAGCGGGCGCGCCAAGGCCCTCCCCCAAATGAGAGAAGCTAGCTGGGGAAAGAAAGACATGTTTAAGCTTTTCTTAATACAACAAGCCCTCTTTGAGAGAAGCTAAAAGCAGGTTGTTGAAACAAGGGTGGTTTGCACATGTTTTCACAGAAGCCAGAGACTGCATCCTAGGTGCAGAAACTTTGTGCCCCTGTACCCGACCCGAGCGGCTGTCAAGCGCTACGGCATCATTACAGAGGCAGGGCTCGCTCCATGTCCCTGTTTTGAACCGCCAAAAGCGACGTTTGTTTGCTTGAACTCCCCCGTCAGCTGCAACTTTTGCCAGCGCCTTTTACACGGGCTGTTGCCCGTGTTCCTAAAACCCCAAGTGTTCCTAAAATCCCAAGTGTCCAAAGAGCATCCCTCAACGGCTTGGAGCTGGGAAACGAAACGAGGTGTTGGAGTGGAGGGGAAATCCCAGGCCCGAGCGCAGCAACTGGCGGTGCCGCGCATGGGCCCGCTGACAGGGGCCAATCGCTGTGTCTCGCAGTCCCAGATGCTGGCCTCGATGCTCTACGGGCCCTTTCCACGAAGGTCAGGTTACAGAAACGAGTGCCTGTGGGTCAAAAACGTGTACCCAATGGAACCACGGTAAATGGAACCAAGGACTAACACCTGCGGTCCAATTCCTGGTTTACTTTGGACCCACACCCAGATGGAAAAAACCGCCTTATGGCCCCCTTTTAAAGGCAGAAGGTTGTAAAGGCGGCCAGGGGGCTCGGGAATGTTCAGAACCGTGTGCATAAGAGGAGTAATTCCCCCCCGCTGATCGCCAAGGTTCTACCCTAAGGTTCAACACAAAAGTGTTGGACACTGGTTTGCACCACCTGGTGGTTGTTTCGGCGGTCCTAGTGCTTGCGGTTAGTGGGCAACCCACGAACACCATGTGAAACCGAGTGGTGAGAAGATTGACGGGTTACCCAGGGCTTTCCAACTGGGAATCCCTGGTTTAGCCCAAGGATTGAAGGGGTTGAAATGCAACCCCCTGGAGGTCAGCCATTGAGGTCCGGAATGTGGGTGCGCCTTTGGAGGTTTCCAGCCAGATCCATTGCCTGACTCAGACGTTTTGTTTGTTTGCCCTTTTGTGTGTCCTTCATCGTCCCTTTTCTTCAGCCAAGTTTCTACTTTTTGCAGGAGGTCCATTGAAAGGTGAGCTTTTCGTGTCCCGGTCGCATCACAAATCAGTCAGGATCTTGGACGAGAATTTGGCGGAGACCCCTGAGAATCGCGACACCAGTCCCGTCAGCTTGGTGCCGGACTTGGACAGTGTGCTGCAAGCCTCAAGCCCAATATCTTTCAAGGACTGGTGGATGGCTGAACAAAGACTGGCGCAGAGGTGTGAGGAAAGCACGTGACAATCAACACCAAGACAGCCACGTTGACTGCCAAACGAACCGTAGCCCATACTTGCCTGAGGCAATGCAGTCGATGATAATTCTTGGAAAAAGCTTGGTTGACAGAACATTTCAGGCACCCTCTTCACAACACAGCCACAAACAGATTCAATTCTGTACCTAAAGGGATGTACAGTGCGTTCAAGACTCTAGCGGCATGTTCACGAATGACTCAGATGCCACCAGAACATAATGTGTATGAAGTACCTGACAAACGACCACGAGTCTGAACCAACATGCAAACAGGTGCTTGACCGTCGCTCATTTCAATTCGCCCTGGCAAGTTTGAAAATGGGAACAGTTGGCTTTGAGCAAAAATGGCCGTAGTGGCGAACATGGCCGTTGTCCAGAGGGTCACAGTAGAGTGTTGTTTTGAGGCTCGGTACCAGTCTTGGCCTGCTTTAGGGGGAAACCAGAAGGACAACTGCAAGTTTTAGTGTCCCACTATGTTGATTCGCATGCTCAAGCATTTCTTCGTCTGGAGGTATCTGGGTGCGAAACCTCCAACAAAGGTCCATTGGTCAACCCATGTTCCCAATGGGAGGCTCCCGCCTTCTTCATTGAAAGACCCCATCTTGTTGCTGAATCTTCCATTTGCTGCAATGAATATGTTTTATATTCCTCAAGTTTACATTTCACTCCTGGACATATATATATATATTTCTTCTTTGTTCCGGGTCCGCCACAAAAAGAACGGCTCGCTCAACTCACTCCAAAACTGCACTCGAGGAGCCCTGGCCCGCCTTCTTCGCCAAGCCCCTGCCCAAGGTGGTGGATCCTGCGCTGAGCTTCGAGGATCGCCAGGCGATCGATTTCTCGAGTTCGACTCGAGCGAGCGAGGTGTCCAGTTGCATCGAGCGAGGTGTCCAGAAGTTCAGACTTTTTCTGGACCTTTCGCTCGGGAATTGAGTTTCCTTTTGAGCTTCCTGAAATGTTTTTTTTAGTGTTCCTTCAAATACCAACCAAAAAGTGTCATTTTGGGTTGAAATGGTTGGACCTTTGATTTCCTTCTGGTTCCCCTACTAAGCAAAACGGGGCGGGGATCCACCATTTTGGGTTTTCTGTTGGTTTCCCTGCAAAAGGAGGCTTTTCTTAAATTGGCTGGTGTTAGTTTCCCTTCAAATACTAACCAAAAGAGGGTCCACCATTTCGGTGTCCTTTTGGCTTACAACTGGTTGGTTTTAGTTTCTTTTATACCAACCAAAAGCGGGTTCCCCGAACAAACATACACCCATGGAGGGTTTCGCAAAACAGTGGTCCACTATGGCGACGGTTTGGTCCACCATTATGAGTTTCCTTTTGGTGTCCCTTCCACCAACCAAACGGGGGCTTTTCCGAAATCCATTTTGAGAAGTTCCCACAAGTTGGCCAAGTTGCATGGGCGTCCGCGAGTGGTTTGCGCATCTTCGGAGTACATCTCCTGTTGCGAGTTTCTCATGAAATTGGCCAACAGCAATTGACAACATGGAGTGACTAGGCGCTTGCTTCCTTTGGGGAAGCCGTAACGAATACGTAGCAACTTGAGCCGTGTTCAATTCGTGCTGGTTGTCGGGCGGTTCATAGGCCTAGGTCGGAGACCCTGCACCTGTCATGAGTCTTGAGTCAAGCGTCACAGGATGCGAATGGTCGATTTGTTGGTACCGTCTGACAGCATATGGCGACATGGCTTTCGACCTGTTTCCAGAGTGGCCAAAGCTTCTGATCGCTGTGATTTATCCAGGTTTAGTGGACGGCATGTTGCAAATACAATATACAGTAACTGTTTGGTGTCCAATCCATTTCCAGACCAAACGCTGAGGTCAAACCCGGGGTTCCGAGTCCAGGACCAGACTCTTCGGAGAATGTTTGCGAGTCACATGTGCCAGAAGACCTGCATGGAACATGAATCAAACAGACGGAATGCTTCCAGCAGGGTTGTGGGATCAAGGGGTTTATCCCCACTTCTGTGATACAAGGGAATCCCCTCTTTCTATGGGGGGTTGGTCTTTGGGAGGCCCTTTTTGTTGTATCACAGAAGTGGTCATTTCCCACAGCCCTGACTCCAAGTGATGGACTTTCCATGAACCCTGGAGCCCCGAAAGGGAGCCTAAGACTCTCGGAATGGCGTCGCTGGTTCGCTGGTTGCAACGGTGACCTTTGATCCACTTAAATTCACTATAAGCGGTTGGCAACCGGGGTTAGTCCTTGTTATCACTTACCGGTCCAAGGCAAATCCACCTTTAAACTCTATACCGTCTATACCTGTTGGTTTCCTGGTTTTGGCAACCTTGTGCAGTCGAGGTCTCAAAAGCTCAACCCTTTTCTTTCCTAGTCTCTTGGGCAAGTAAGATGACCATACTTGGATGGTCAGGGGAATAGCTAAGTGGTTCCAGTGAAGCCTCAAATAACCCCCAAGCTCCACGCCCCCTTAAGACCCTTGCAACGTGGGAAGCCCGCAGCTCGGCAATAAAGCCATTGCCATCACAACCAAAATGTGGGGCCCTATTTGAACACAGTTATTTAACTATTGGGTTGGATCTTTGGACTTTAGCCTTTTTTGGTTGAAATATTTAGGCGTTTTCCACTAAACCTCCAAAAAGTGATTCACTTTTTGCCACCAAGAAAATGGCAACCAAGAGACTGAACCACGTCTGAACCACGAAACTGAACCATGGGGGTAGCATGTCTTGCCGCAGACGGCTCTGGGCCTGGCTCAGCGAGCGCTGCGAGCCATCTCAGGCAGGGAAGTCACATGATTTGGCCGTGGAATTTTTAATTGGGAACCACCTCGAAGTGATTGGTGAACATGATGTCCACCAAAGGGCCCCTTTTTGAAACAGTGTTTTTATGTTTTTCCGTTCGGTCCGTTTGTTTTAACGCATACCATACGTATGTATATGTGTATTATATATAATATACGCATTTGGACATTGATGCGCATATGTATATATATATATATATTTTACGTGTCAGGCGAAAAAGTCTTTTGGATCCCTTGCGAATCCGGTGCGGTTTCGCACGGCTCTTGGGGATGTACATCGCGGGGATCATCAAGTTTACCTTGTTTTGACCCCTTTGCCGGGCTTACGCCGGGCCACAAGACAAATGACTGGCTTCTGAGGCAATGCCCCCAAACTGAAGCATCCAGGTGGTTTCCCAAGGGATCCCAAACTATTCATTCCCAAAACCAAGGGAAACGAAGAGAAACCAAGGGCAATTAAGTCCTTTTCTGAGAAGTGAGTCCACCCAACCGCTGCTTGAATCGAAGCATGCCTCAGGAGTTCGGCGGCCTTCCCAGGCGCGGATGGGGCAAGGAAAGCCGAGCCAAGTTCCAGGGATGGCCGCCAACTTGAGTTTTTGTTGAACCTGCCAGGAGATCAAAGGTGTTTAATTGTTCAGGGCTTTGAAGGAGACAAACATGGAAGTGCACTTTGAAGGCGGCTTTTCCAACAAGTAAGACGCCTTCCAATGTTGGGTCTGTGCAGCCGGACTCCGGCGGATTTTGCTTGTGAAAGGTCGCCGTGCCTGGGGTGGTTCCTACATTTCCGACGTGTTGAACAAATAGGGACCTTCTTTTTGATGAAAATTTGTAAGAACCCCAAGAGCCACCCTTACTGTTTGGGGCAGTTTTAGGATACTTGTTTGGAAGCCCCGACTTTGGATTGCGACTTGGCCATCCCAGTATTTGAATCACCGCTTGGTTTTCCTGCAAGGGGATCGGTTGGTTCTTTGAACATGTTCAAGCGTCCAACCCGTCTCCAACCCCAAAGCGGTTCGCGCCCCAAAGACAAAAGGACTTGTTTGAGTTGCCACGGCCCAAGTAGTGTCCATGGTCACGACACCCCACTAGGGAGGGGTAGGGATGGTCAAGCCACTACAGGATGCATAATTTGTGAACCAAACGGACAACCCACCAATTCGGGGGTCCAAGAAAAGATACAGACAAATTTGCCTGGATGGAAGAACAACTTGCTGTTGCGATTGGTAGGGAATGAGAAATGGAATGAACCAGGGCTTTGGTCCTCAAGGAAACCACCAATTTGGATGGATTGGTAGGGAATGAGGGAATGCACCTGGGGATTCCCTTAAAGGAAACCATGGGGATGGTTTAATCCTTGGTGCATGTTGCTTGCATGTTAGGACTTTAACTTTTTGCCAACTATTGGGTTTTCCAATTAAACCACTAAAAGCTAAACTTTTAGCAGGGGAGCAGAAAGCAACTGATGTTTGTAGGGGTTCTTTCCCTGCCTCTCTCGCAAGACAAACCGTCAGCCAGGAATCTGAGGACAGCGAGGGAAAGGCGGAGAGGGGTTTTGATCAGACGCGTGTTGCGGATGAAGTGAGGGCAACGGCGCGGAGGGCAACGTGGTTTGGGTCAAAAGGAATTATAGCGGGAACCACCTCACAAGTGGTTGGACATGAATACCCCACTATAAATATGATGCCCACTAAAGGGTATTAAAGTCGAAAAAGGGCCCTGCAAAAGGGGCTTCGGTTTCCCGGTTGGTTTCCTGTTACACCTTGCACCTTTTGCACTGCAATGCAAAAAGTATGCTCAAAAACACAATTCCGCGGGGCGTCCCTTCTTGTCCAACCCCTAACATGCTTTTTGGCACCCCGTTCTCCTCGTCGTTTGAGGTTAAGATGACTGTTTGGGGGTTGACAAAACAAGGGCCCCTATTTGGGGAATATGCCAGTATATAACACGTCGACTGCATGCAGAACAAGCGATTCGCGGGGACTCAGCCGGCTGTCATCTCTGACGACGGGCTTGGGCAAAGGCCCTCCATGACCCTTCAAAAATGGGGTTATGACTCCTTTATTTTGGGTACTGACCCCATTTTTGAAGGGTCATGGAGACTCCAGGGCGATTGATTTTTGTGCAAAAGGATGATTTCGCCTTCGCAAAGCAGTGGGAGATTTGCTCACGTGCCAGCGGCATGTAGATCCGCAAAGCACAGCTTCCTACGTGGAAGCCAAATTGGGCGATTGAAGCAGCCGTCTCGAAGAATGTTGACCCAGGATCAATAAACCCGTCCCATTATTCGGGGGGTGTTCCCTCCAAAAGTGGTCTGATTCCCCACTAAAAGGGGGCACCCCCCTGTTAAGCAACCAGGGGTTAATCCGGGTCAACATTAGTCAACACACCCCTTGATTTGAATGCAATAGCTTGGCATGTTGTGTCTCCACCGCGCTGCATTTAGCATGGCCCACATGGCAAGCGGTAGACTTGCACCTTTGGATCACCTGTGTTCGATCGGCGCCCTTTGACAGCCTTGGCGCCCTCTTTGTCTTGCTGGTGCGCAGGTAGAAATGACAACGAGATCCGGGTTTTGGGAATGAACCGTGACAGGACGCCAAATCGGATGGATGGATTTTCTTGGTCATTCTGGTCGTTCCATTTCCCAACGCCTCGTCTTCAACCTGTAGGCCTCGCATGACGAGGACGAGGCCCGGTTCCGTTGCGCGAGGCGCCTGGTTACACTTGCCTATACCTGGTCACATTATCTCTTTAGCATGTGGGGCTGTCACTTTTCGGGGATTAGTTAGGGAATCAACAGGGACCCACCTGTTTGGAGGGAATCTCATGAGAGCCGGTATCATGTTTCTGTCCTTTTCAGGTTAGTTTGCTTGGACATGGATGGGTTCCACTGGTTTAGATGGTCTTGTTATTCCACTTACCAGGGCCACCGGTCGAAAAGGCCGCCTATGGCTGTTATGGTTCCTACTGAAGCCATCGCTCGGAGTTTCCATGGCTCTGAGGACAGTGCGGGGCGTCGCAGCCTCAGCATGTCGTGAACACCTGGGACAAGAGTCTTGCAGAAGCCTACGGGTTACGGATGTGCGAGGCTGATAGGGTACCCCTTTTTGGGTGGTGTTATAAAAAAGGAAAGAACCAAATAAATCCCCAATTGCCCTTTCTGTGATACCAAAGTAGGCTCGGTGGCAGTGTCACAGAAAGCGGGCCTACCAAATCTTTTGTTCCAGTTTCAAGGCTGGTGACCCCTCCTTGTTCAACGAACCAGCCAACCTTGAATGGTATTTGTTCTTGACTGCTATTGGGTTGGATCTTTAGACTTTAACTTTTGGGAAATCAAGGGGTTTTCCACTACACCCCCTAACAAGTTATTCACGTTTTGCAAGGGGGTCAACAGCAACCAAGCGTTTGGCGTCGCAGCTTTGGAAAAACACGCAAGTCCGGCAAAGCTGAAAGCACACGGCATGTTGGCCCCACTCAACTGCGATAGACTGGAGCGAGCTCCATCCTAGTTGTAACAGCACTGCGCACATGATCCACCCACAAGGCTACCACGAGGGACGAGCTTGGGTATTCTTTGAAGTTGTCAGTGCGGGTTCAATGTCCAGCAACACAATTATCAATTTGCCTATTTTGCAATGCCTTTCTTAAGCCGTTGCTCAGGCTGAATGAAACCCTAATTCCCCGTTGCCCGTCATTGCCCGTCATTGCCACGGTAGGCCAATACCCTACCGTCGGAAGCTAATAGGTCAGACACTTGAATGCATCGCCGGCGGAGCCACACGATTCATCAAGTTACCATGAATCACCACATGTCCCGGCGCAGCCTGGGTTGGTTCTGCATCTAAAAAACACAACCCTCCTGCGAAGTCGGGGCGCATGTTTTAGCTTATCCATGCAGCAGTGCCCTTCAAATGGACTACAACTGCGATAATGAGCCATTCGCAGTTTCACCGTGTAAAAGCTTCCGCTGAGACTCTGAGACATGCATGGCTTTAATCTAGACAAGCACATGACTACTGTGAGAATCAACCAGGTTGGTTCATCACACATATGCCCCGTCGGTGTGGCACGCGTGAAGCAGGGATTGAAAGCCCGCGCAAGCGAACGAGCCACGAAAGTTTGTCTGCATCTGCTCGCGCGAGAGTGCGCAGCGGAGGGGCTGATGTGAAGCCATTTCAGGCTGCGTCTTTTTAATTCTGGTAGTAGGCGCGATCACTGTACTTAAAGGGTTGCAACTGCATTGCGCCCGCGACGTGTTACACATAGCAGAGTTTTCGTGATTCGCAGCTACCGGCTTGAAACCCCAATGGGGTGTCCCCAGCAGGTTTTTAAGAGGTCGTTTGGCTGGAAGGACATGTTGCAGAGCTTCAACCCTTTGCTCGCGAATCTGCTATTTCAGGCTTGGCATTGTTGTAGCGGATGCTGAAAACGTTTGCAGCGAGGTGGCTCCGGCACCGGCTCTCGTCGGTGTCTGAGTTGGGGATGGCCACCAGGGTAGGGGGGAATGGGAATGGGAATGGGATTCCCCGAAACTGGGTCTCGGTTTCATGTAGTCCAAGATCCCAAATACGGGCACCGCGCCTCAAAAAGAGCACGCGCATCTTTGTTGGCCCCTTAGAGTGTTTGTGTTCCACTTGGGACGGGTGTTCGGCATAGGCTGAAGTTCATGATTCATTGGTCCAAGTTCTTATATCCTTCCTTTCCAAACCCCGTATCGTCATCTGCCATGATTAGAGGGAGGGACCCTAAACCCTAATTGAAAGAATAGGTGACGCCATTGAGACGACACTTCAGTTAAACAGTGTACCCGAACTACAGTTGCAATGGGGGGGAATGGACATGCTTTCGGGCCGCACGTGGGCGTCTTTGTCTTCTTTGCCCATCAGGTTTGCTGCTCATGGAGTATCTCATCCGCATGGAGGCGCGGACATGACCCTCCAGTAGCTTTACAACAATCCGAGCGAAATGGTGGTTCAAAGCCACGCCACCCACGTCGGAATGTTGAGAGCCCGCGACACGTTGTTTTTAGGGACCCAGCCCTAGCAAACCCAAACACGTGGGACATGTTGCAATTTGACTTGCTTGCTCTTTGGCTTTGTAAACTAGCTGATTGACTGACTAACTAACTGACTGACAGCCTGACTGCCTGACGAACCGACTGACTGACTGCCTGCCCAACTGCCTACCTGATTAAACAAGTTTTCACTTTTGAAAAGCTGATGTTGCCCAACTGCTTTTTTGTTTAGAGTTCCGGAAGGGTTCCGAGTCCCGGAAGTGCAGCTATTCGGGATATCTGGGCTTATTTCACTCCCTTGTAGCTAAAACCACGTTTTGCGGTTGCCGATGGGAGGCATTTGGACAGGAAATGGTCTTGTAGATGTCCCCTTCGCCTTTTCTGGGCCAAGGTTTACATATTAGCTTCCTTTTGAGGTGATGCTAGGGTCAGGAAGCAAGTACTTGTCGTTGCGTTTGCCCCTATGAGCTCCCATGAGCCAAGTGGGTGATAACTAGGGTTATGAAGCGCTACGTGGCCGATGACCTTCAGTGCGCGGCGCTCGGTCAGGCCACTTGCGACAGCCTTGCGCCAGCGGGGCGTGCTCGCCTGGTGACTTCGCCTGTTTGAGCAATGGCTGATCGTATTGTGCACCTCGAGGGGAGGGGGCTATCAGGGTGTTGGTTTGTGGGTATGCTTTTCAGGTTGGTTTCAAGGCAAACTAAAAGGACACAAACTCATTTTTGGGGTCCAAATCCCTAGCCCGAATCAGGCCTGTTCTAGGGCCCATCTCGGGCTTATCGCATAGTCTTTTTGGAGGTCCATGATCACAGGCCTAGTGCCGTGCACCGAAAAAAAATATGTGGCGGAAACACGTATCATTGGGGAGCTATATGCCAATTTAATATAGATATATACGCGTGGGTATATATATATATATAATATCTACATGTTGTGTAGTTTGGCGGCCCGAGAACAAGGAGCAAGGGCCTCGTGTAGTCGATTGTTAAATTGCCTTCTCATGCAGCACCAGAGTTAATCTTGAGCGTGGTCGACTTCTGAAATATGAATCATTTGGGAGAACTTGATTGCCGTTTGCTACGCAGTGGATCCATTTACCGGTGCAGTAGGGGACTAAGGGCTTGCTACCCTTAGTAAGCCAAACGGAAAATAGCTGGTTTGCAGTTTGTTACCCAGTGAAGGGAGCCGCCGTTTAGGAACCAAAGGAGAAACAGCTGTTTGCCTACTAAGTATAGTGGCTTGCCTGGGATCCACTGGGCTATGTTTGCGGCCAGCGACTTGCCATCACCAGCGACTTGGCCAGGTACAAGGCGCATCCTATGCGCGGCTCTCAAAATTCCAGCGGCACTTGCCCAAAGCGCGGACCTCAGCAAGACCTCAGAGCCAAGGGCATGCTTCGGGAACCTATGTAAATTCCAACATATGAGCAACAGACAGGTTTGGGGAAGGATATTGGGGGCCCACCCATTTTCGTGCCAAAACCAGGCGCCCTCCCAATTTTCCCATATCCTTGTAGAAAAACAAGTCATGTGCGTTGCTCACGCATCATTATGGATCTCAGTGATCCGAAAAGTTAGCACCTGTCATCTGATCTTTGTTTTTTGTTCTGATATACGTCGTTGGACAATTCTCACGGAACCCTGAGGTGTTTTGGATTGGTGGTTTGGGATTTGAACCCCTGTCTTTTGTAGAGATTAAATGGAAGTCCCTCCTGAATCACCAAAGCACCAAGAGGGAAGCTGTACTTCGGCTTCACAGGTGTCCGTTTTGGTTGGTTTGGTTGAAAAGACAAACATGGGCCCTGATTGATTTGGTGGTTCGATCATCTACCAGGGCCATCTGTTTTCCAAAAAGGACATCTATATTCGGCTCCCCCCTTTCTTGATGCGAACTTGATTGCTCCCAAACGCAAAGTCACAGAAGGCATACTGGGACAAAATCCTTCACCAATGGAAACAAACCCATGAATACTGGAACAAGCCACCTACAGTCCATCCACAGTATCCTTTCCTTCATCCGGCGGTCTCAACCAGCCGCCAGCATCCTGCCGAAATTCTCAGGTGGCTGCAAGGCTGGCGGCCGTCAGCAACATCCAGGAGCACCAGGCTGTTGGCAACCAGAGTTTTCCTGGTCGTTCAATCATTACCAGACCCATCTTTCCAAAACGGCCATGGATAGAACCCCAACCATCAGCACTAGTCTGCTCTTTGATTGGCCCAGTGCTGCTAGTTACCACTATAAGTAACCCTTATGGCTACCTCCAGGAGACCCTGGCTCTAGGTTTTACATCAGCAAAACCCCCTGGCAAGCCTTCGAAAGTGGCTTGCCGGGAAGCACTTATGAACATTCAGGGTGTGCATTACCGAGCGATGACCATGGGTGGTGGGTAGGTGCAATCCATTTAAAGAGAATCCACCACTTTTGGGGGCAACACTCTCGCGTTGATCCATCCGGTTTATGTTTACGTATAGATACTCGTACCAGCCCAAAGGGGGTTCAATTTACTTGAGACATATTCTTCATTTTTGCCTTTTTGCTATCACATGACATCGCTCTTTCTAGATTCTTCCGCGCTTCAGGTCATGTCCCATCCCAGGGTGTACCCTCTTTCCAATCCTTAGATGGTTGCAGTCTTCCAAAACCCTGGTGTGCGATGCAGTTCCGTGTTTAAACATGTTGAAATCACTGCTTGAACAACCTTTTCTTGGGTTTTCCATTTTTTTCCGGGGGGAGCAGGTGTTTAAACATACTTCGCCCGACGCTAGCCACTGCATGTTTGACGCCCTGATTGCAGGCCGAGAACGGGTGCTTGGTGGAAGACATGATGGCAGCATGCACCTGGGACCTGGAAATCGGCTGAAAACTGGGTGTCCCTGAATGGGCAAGAGCCCGAGTGTTTTGAAAACCCACGCAAAAACGGGGTCCCCCTGATAAAAAGATCAAGTACAAGGGTCTGTAAGAAAGGTCCAAAAGACCATCAACCGCCTCAGAGACTCGGAACTGTAAGGCACGTGCACAGACCGCTTCTCGGAACCAGACGTTTGAGATCCGGGCACGCCGAGAGCCAGGGAAGATATACATGTCAACAGCTCCGGGCCGCAGGTTTGGGACCAGTCCTGGCTTGGGACCAGCTTTTCTGGCTTGGGACCAGTTCTTTTTTCCAAAAAAAAAGCAGCATCATTTTGAAAGGTTTGGAAGGTTGAGATTTTGTCGAAGACAGGTGAAAGCAACAGCCTTCAGGTTTAGGGGCTTTGCAATGCCCCAACACAATTCCCGGCTGAGTTTGGTGGGTTTTGAATGGACCTCAGATTTACCTACAACTGAAAATGATGAGTTTTACCGAAGATCTCAGGTTTAGAGACAATAGCGGATTAAGTCGCATGGTGGTGTATTATTTTGTTAGGTTCACATCAGAAGGGAAATGTATGGGAACAGTAGAGAAAGATATCATCGTGGACTGTGGTAAGTAGTCAAACGATCATTATTAGCAGGAGCGATACCAAAACTAAGCAAAGACGATGAATTGAGACACTCGCCGATGCGATCGATTGAATACTGGTGGGATGGAATAGGACGACGGCAAGGATAAGTGAATTAGTTTGCCGGATGAAGGATTAGCAGAACTTCGGTTGAGGCCTTGAACACATATTGTAAGAATAATGATTTTGAAGTATTCGACATATTGAGTGATTGCATTGGCACCGACATTTTTCAAAATAACAAACGTACTAGACATGTACGATGTTCAGATCTTAGCATTTGGTCAAGGTTGGTTATTCGTAGCACATAATTATAGTATGATAAAAACATTGGATGTCTTTACAACCTTTCATTATACTACACTTTTAACCTATAACAAGCTTTCAATGACAAACACCGATGTCAAAACAAAAGATCCACCCAACACCCCAGAACATGAAACAACTAAAATACCTAAATCTTGCAAATGAGCAAAACATCCCCCCGCCCAACAATGAACAAGGCAACCATTTACGCAAATGCCCACCTCTAAGAAAACGAGAAAACTGCCCCCCCAAAATCCTCTGTTCAAAAGGAATCAGGGGCAACACAGATTGAGAACCAACATAAAAACCATGACAGCCAACACACAACGGGTAACCCCTTAGGCCCCCCCTTGTTACTTTATTGAATTGGGAGGGACACCAAAAATAGCGGTTTTGTGTTGTCCTTTTAAACCAAGAATCTTGGTTTAAAAGGACAACACAAAACCGCTATTTTTGGTGTCCCTCCCAATTCAATAAAGTACTAAGATGAAATGGGTACCCTTCAGATAGCGCACACCAATGTCCTGATGGGGCACCTTCTGCATTTTGTTTGTTGCTCATGTAAGCCCAAGCTCTTTGACTCTAGGCCGAGACAGCCTCGACATCTTGGAACGCACATGGCGGGAGGCGCGTGCTACTTCATGCGATCGGCTACTTAAGTGGTGAGTCATGCTGGCTATTACCCATGTGCCATGTAGCCCCGTGAAAAGTCCCCGAAGTGGGTTTCAACTTGTTGGTTCTGAGGGAATGCCAGTGTTTTCTGATGATTCCAGGAATACCAACAAACGTTATGATTGTTTTCAACTATGGTTTCTTATGGTGTCGTTGTAAGGAAATCAAAGGGAAGACAACAAAGTCTCCCAGACCAAAACACATTTGACAAATACTCAGAATTCCGATACCTGGCAATGGAAGGTCCCAGTCTTTCAGAACACCTGGGACAAAATCTGGCATCTTTGTTTGCGGGTTCCCCCTTGGTGGTTTTAAAGGGAAACCAAAGCGAAAAAAAACGTTGCGCCATTTTTGGGGTGCAACCCAAAACGATTGGTAGTTGTTTTGTTTTTTGTTTTGAACACCTCTATGAGCCTTTCTAGAGCCAGTCCAGTGGATTCCGCCCTGTGTTCAACTCTTTTTTTGGGAGGGGTTCCCCTTTTGCCCTCCCCTAAGCTGGAAGGCTTGATTTTCGGCTTTGGCCGGGATTTGGGCTTCACTCACTCCAATTGGGGGGGGGGCAGGGTCTGAGCAATGTGGCGGAACCAGCCAGAACAGGATGGCTATATTTGTTCTCCCGCCAATCACTCCAAAAGCTGGCAACCTAAAAGAAGAAGCTTCCTGGTGCACCACCCAGGAATGATCCTAATCTACAAGGGGACCTCTCCAAATAAATGGAACCATGCAGGCTGATACTCCGTTCGCACCAGTTGGGATGTACGAAACCCCATGCAAACTGGTTGGTAAGCCACCTAGCCCAAGCGGTGCGAAGTGTCTATGAACTTTAGTGAGGATGTCCGGTCCGCCCACCCCGCAGGCCCTGCGTTGCTTCGTGGGCCTTGCGATTTCGCTCGCCAGGAAGACGACGCGTGTCAAGAGATTGACTTGGAAGTGGGTGGAGCCCTTGGGCATTTGAGTCCGAGTGACCAGAGCAAGGGGTAGAAGCCGCCGAAACGCGCAGTATGCGCGGTGCTCGCCCTAGCGTCTGGTCTGGAATTCTTGACGTCAACCGAGAAAACGCACAAACAGGAAACAAGAAGCCGTTTTCGCGTTTTCGCACGTCTTCGTGCTTCGTGCTTTGCAGGCCCTGTCCGCTCTTTCGTGCTTCCAAGCTCTTGCGGTTCCGTGCTTCGCTCGTTCCTTTTTTTTCTCCGCAGTTTTCGCTTTATGTTTTTGTTTTTTTCCCCGCGGATCCAGGTAACCAGGTGTTTTTTGTTTTCTCAGTTTTACATGAAAGGTTCCCTTGGCTTTTTTGTTCGTCTCGGTTTTACATGGCCTCTCGGTTTTACGTGGTGATTACCGAGGTTCGAAGCCCTTGACCAAGCGTCGGAGCCCTTGCCAAGCGACGGAGTCAGCCTGTTGTGAGCAGGGTTGTGGGATCAGGGAGTTTTTCACCCCTTCTGTGATACGAGGGAGCCTCCCCATCTAACTGGAGGGTTTGTTTTTGGGAAGCCCTTTTTGTTATCACAGAGAAGTGAATTCCATTTCTCACAGCCCTTGTCATTTCATCGCTCCGAGGGCTACCCGGATCTTTGCTTCAAGACCAGCAATGTCGCTGTCTGCTGAAGGCGCAGCCTGCGGTTGACTGGTTCGTGCGCGAGCGCGAAGTCCGAATCCAAATCTGCCACTTTAGCGTCGCCGTAAGGGTGCCCTTCAAATGATTCGAGGTCAGAGACCTCAGCTACATTGTCACTGGGGTACAGTCGGGGCTATTGCTCGTTTCCCTGTTAGATGTGCTGGTATTCATCTCATGTCCAGGGCATGGCATACTTAAACCTCTGCTTATGAATACGGGGGTGTTCCCTTCAAAGAGTGATGAACCCCCGCTAAACCCAGCAACACCCCCCCCCATATTAATAAATAGGGGTTATTGCTCCTGGGTTGACTTTGTGGGTTCAGGGATTTCCTTTCAGAAAATTCCACAACCCAGAGACTTCAGGTTGTCTCCACAAGAAATACCTTTGTTTAATGGCCGTGGCTGGTCTTCGGTGTGACGTCAGCCCCTTAAAAAGATCAGACCTACAAAAGGTCAGCTTAGACCTTTTGCGCAGGTGGGACATATCTTTTTGGGGTTGGTACCACATTTCGGGGTTGGCTTTCTGTGTTCAAGCTGGTCGCAGTTTGTTGCTGACATGGAAGCAAACGGGGAAAAACACAAAACAAAAAAAAAACCTTTCCCTTTCGATTGCCAGGATCCAAAATTCCCTTTCCCTTGAAATCCAAGGGGCAGATTTCCCTTCCACCAGGCGCTTCCAAACCTTCAAGTCGCAGACTTGGAAAGCCTATTGCCCGGCTCCCAAGAAACGACTTGGACGACCAGCGGCGACATGAGCCGCGTTTCGCCAGAGTGTCGGTTTCAACTCCCGAGTGCGGCCATCAACAGGATTGATTGGTTTTGCTGGTGACCTATAATATAGCGGTATCTGGAAACACTTGGTGGAAACTGACAGTTTGCGCCATTGCCAATGTACGATGGGCAATGAATCAATACTGTCCCGATCTTCAAAAAACCCAGCAAAACAGCAGTGTTCGTCCGAAGCAAGCGTGTACAGTGGCACCGCAAACTGTTCTACAGATTCAAGACCTTGCAACAATACAGGTTTGTACGCCACGTGGCAAGTTTAGAAGGATTTGTGCGCGAAGGACACCATCCGAAGGGCTACTGCACATGACCCCACGCATGACCCAGTTCCCCACTATAGTAACTAGGTAACCATGGCAAAACCATGGGGGAACAAAATCCCGAAGGCTTACTTACTATGGCTTGGGCCTGGAAGCACGTGATTCACGTCATGGCAATTCGCATCTCGCCCGCGCGCGCGCCCTTCATGAGCCTCGCCAAGTTTGGTTTACGGCGATTCTCAGGGCCCCCGAGTCAGGTTCCATGCGAATGGGAGGGTACCCTCCCTCCAATCTAGTTGACAGAGTTTACCGAGAGGAACGTAGCCTGAAACCCTCCGAGTGTCAGCTTCCATGATTGGAGGGAGGGTATTCAGAAACCAAAAAGAAGGGAAGGATCCCTGAATGGAGAAGGTACGGCTACATTGGCCCCTAGACCAAAATTTAGGGGGAGCCCTCTTTTCGAATGGTTCTAAGGGAATCCAAAAGGAAACCGTCGAAGTTTCAGTTTTGACCGTATCCAGTGTCTATTTCTGAAAGCACCAGTTTGGCGATGAATTCTACTGGGTGGAACTCCCTCCAAAGGCTTTTTGAGGACATAAAGCGGGGCGGCTCGGCACTTGTGAGAAGGGACGTTTCTTCCACGCACTAGGTGCAACTCCCTTACAGTGAAGGGTTGCCTGCCAGAACTTCATAGTAATCTGAGGTCCAGAGCGAAGATATGTCTTGGCTCAATCGAGATTCACACCCACATGTGTGGCTCGACTGTTTTGAAGGTGGCCGTTTTTGGGGTGATGTTAAAGGGAAACCAAAGGATAAACGGCTATTGTGAAGAGACACCCATAACAAAACGACAGATTGAAATACCATTTAGGAGGGGATTCAAGGAAATTCCAAGTCACAGTCAGCAGAAAGCAACAATGACGAAGGGAAAACACAGGGACACCAGTCATGTTGAAGGGACAGCTGTCATTTTTAAGGGGCACCCGCCATCTTGAAGGGAAACTAGCCATTTTGATGGGACACCCGAACCAGCCATTTTGAAGGGACACCAGCATTTTGAAGGGACGCCAGTCATTTTGACGGGAAACCCCATAAGTGAGCAACCACATCCTTCTCGGTGAGGCGGGGGCATTTGCCTTCTGTCGGGGACGATGCCGCGCTGCGTCGGATGTGGGGAAGCCAAAGATCGATGGCTTTTTGGCCAGGGTGTGTGTTTCTGTTGAGGGTACCCTTTTTAGGGTTGGTTTAAAGAGAAACCCACCAACAATTTGTGGTCCCCCTATTTTTAACACACCCACCTTCGCTCGGTTGGAACAAAATATTTGAACAACAACATCTTGAGCCCCTTTTTACGTGCAGACCAAAGTTGGTTTGAAACGTGTAACACAACCCTCTCCTTTGTTTGATGCCAATCTCTTCATAGGAACGGCCCACTTTGGTATCACAGAAAGGGTTAGGTTACTTGCCACAACCCGTGGTCTTACTTGTCTGCGCTTTGGCTTCAACGTCACGGCTTGCAGAAGGAGCCCGGCAGTTTCTCGCCTGAGGACAACGATTCAATCCAACTTGTTTCATCAGCTTCCATGGTGACAGGCACGCCACCTGCAGTTTGTTTTGTTTCCGGGTGGAAAGCATCGCATCTGCGAGAACGCACGACTTCGTCACGCAAAAAAAAGAGAATAATTAAGAAAGCACCTTGGGAAATCCGAGGCGCCCATGTAGCACACATTTGAGTCGCCCCCAAAATGGTTGTCATGTTGTTTAAGGGCCACTCACGAAAAGGAAGCCGATTGGACACCACTTATCGAAAGGCAGTCATGCGAACTGGATGGATCAAAAGGTTGATACATGGCTTCCATTTGCTTAAGAGGAGTTTTTCCCCCTGTTGGTGTTGAAGGTGAATCTAGCACTGCTGGAAATATGTTTTTTTTTTTGGTCCAGGCAGCTTAAGCAAATGGACGATGAGATGATTCGTTGGAAAGCCACCAAGATGATATGTCCGATGTACCACATGGGAAAAGTTGCTCATGCTCAAAACTGGGGGCCCTAAATGAAATATTTATCACTTGTGCCCTGCCTTGTGCTGACGCTCTATTTGCTGGTTGTGTGAAACCAAAGGCACACCTGTGCATGTCCACAAGCCGTATCCAAGTCGGGCGTGTACCGTTTGAGGGTGTCATTTTCAGCTCGGGAAGCCGGCAGGAACACCGCCATCTATTTTTGACACGCACACTTGGAGCTAAAAGTGTTCCACCAGACTCTGTCCTGAGTTGAGGGTATTCTGGCTCGAAGGAGCACCGCCATGGACGTTTTGTTTTGAAGGCGTGAGACTTTGGGGGGTCACTCGGAGCGCTCGGAGCGGCATGGCCCAGGCTGGAATGCTTCCGCGAGGCTGGACATGCGCAGAGCCACGTCCTTCAAGCGGCTAGAAGGTTGGTAAGGGTTAGTCCCAACCAGAAAAATGGGTGTGTTCTTTGCAGGTAGACCATTCTAATGTCCTCAACCCCTCAACGGCGATTCTGGACAGCCCTGCCTGACGAATTGCTGTGCATGTGATCAAGGACCAGCTAAGCTCGGTTTGTATTTGACTCTGTTCCACTGCACGTTTGGATGCGGTTGGATTGACGAAGCGGATGGAGCCTGAGAAGAATGTTCAGCGAGAGAGTGGCAAACTGCACCTTCTGCTCCTTTTGGAAGACAAACAAGCTGGTGAAGACGTCATGGGTCTGTCTCTGAAGAGGAGCCCTCAAGAATGGGTGGTTTACTAGTGGTTTCCCTTTAAACCAACACCAAAGAAGCCAGCCTCCAAAAAACACGATCCACCCATGTTGGGGAAGCTTCCGCCCTATATATATATATAGGACTTGGGCTAAACTCCGATTTGGCAACCGATCAACGCAGTAGGTACCCCTTGCGTACGTTTAGCTCCACGTGTGACCCACCGGATGGTTTTTGCTGGGTTACCCACTGGAAGAACTGGGTGCGTCCAGAGAAAAAAAAAACCAAATTAGGCCAACTGGTTGAACTTCTGGTTGGATACCGGGGGGGGGGGTTCTGCCAGGACAGCTCTGAGCGCAGGCCAGTCATGCAGTCTGGGCCGTTGCTTTGGTGCTTCGAGCTCCATGCAAGCGGTGTATGCAATGGGGCGATCCAAAAGGGGTGCCCAAGGCCGGCGATGATTGAACCGTTGTTTTAAACCCAGATCACCCTATATTAACTTTGTGTGATTTGTGTGACATGTTTCAAGGCTCACTGAATATGGATCAGAATCTGAGCATATGATTTGTTATTGCCGGACTTAAGTAGCCGTTGTTTGCTGACTTTGGTTTTTTCTCATTTTCCCTTTCAACCGGCAAAAAGTTAACTGTTGGCGGGGGAGTCTTGGATCAGGGGAGGTGAGGTTCAACCTGTGCCGGTAGACCATTGTTCTTTTGGAGGGACGTGGGAGGGACGAGCTCTGAAATTTCCACCAAAACCAGGGCACTCACTAAGCTTCCAACGTCCTCTTGAAGGAAGCTGAGTGCTTTTGACCGTGCCTCGTGTGGTTTCTGGTCTCTGGCAACCGCATTCGTTGCACGCGCATGCGGGAAGTTGAAGCTTGCCCTGCAGGTCTGGCTCCTTTCATCCCAGTCAGTGCCTCAGCCCGTTCTTCGGGGAGCATGCGAAAGGAAGCCGTTTGTTGGAACCCCATCAACGGGGCGCCCAATACCCAAGGTAGACTTGACCCTGGGTTTCCTGGAAAAAGAAAGTCACCCCCTGACTATTTGCCTCGGCCTCGGCGGAGTTGGGCCTTCAATTACCCAGGCTCCGTCAAGGAGACGCCGCATATGCCAGGACCTCAGCAGAGCCATAGGAGCTGCAGCCGTCGACTGCAGCAAGGGGATGGCATGGGGCACACTCAAAAAAATACCCTTCGAAAATCACAGTTCCTAAAATCCAATGTCACGGTGCGTGAATATTGGCTCTGGCGCACAAATTTCTAGTGGCCCCATACTTTGACAGTTGATTGTCCCAAAAACGACTACTTGGATTGCGAATGGGTACATGAAGGGTATTTATTTGGGAGGACGACTCCAGGGCCACATGATTGGTTCCTGGGAGTTTGGCAGTGCTGTTTGACTCAGGTACAAGTCGCGATCAAACATCCTGCCACAGATCCGCGGGGAGTGCCCAAGCGTCAATTCTCCGAATTGACATTTCACCAGGTTTCCGTTCTTGGGACACGGGCTTGTCTCGAAACGGACCCCGCAAAGTAATTGGTGTTCTGTGGGTTTGTCTTTTCAGAGATTCAACCCGAGGCCCCCCCAAAGAAGACATGCCCACAGAGACACCATCGAAGAGCAGGTCTTGGCACGAGGCGCCTCGGCCGAAACCGCGGGTGAGCCGCCCCACCGCCCATTGAAAGGCTCCTGGGCAGAGGATGCTGCCCTGGCTCAGAGGTCGGAGGCCCGACTAAAAGGAAACTGCCAGAGGCAGGTGAAAAGTGCACCTCCGGTGCCTAAGAGCAACCCCCCAAAAACGAGGAAGGAAGCCGCAGAAACAAATCGCCGCAAGGAGAGCAGAGGAGAGCCCTCGGGCCACGGCTGGCCCTGTGCCAAGAGGCCGCAGAGAGTGCTGCGAGAGACTGGAGGACCACGCCAGAGGCCAGAAACAAGCACAAGAGCGCGAAAGCAGACGCACGCCAGCTTGGTGGACGCTCCACGCGCAGGGAGTGGGTGACAGAAACCATAAAGACCGTTGTCTGAGCTGAAAGACCTGGGCGAAGAGGAGGCGTTTTTGAAGTGCCTCCCCTCAGAAAGACCAGCAAAAGCGAGTCTCGCCTTTTGCCCCATCCCAAATGGGTGGCCTCCTTAAAACTGGCCAGGTACACCATGCGGGCCATGCGCAACGAAGGCAGCGCCTGGGCTAAATTTGCTTCGTTCATTGAGTGGAGATTTGGTGATACCGTGAATGGACGAAATCCGTTCGCACCACCTCGGAAGCCATGGGAAACCATAAGGTTTGTTGGTATTTACAGGCGAATCATCATTCCAGGATTTCTTAGGTGGCGCAGGATTGCGTCCAGCCATGTCCAGCCACAGTATGTCAGGTTGGCTTTTGTTTTGGAAGGAACTGGACCTGAAAGGGGGTGCCCTTTGATTGGATAACGGTGACAACCGTAGCCATGTCAACGGAGTTTGATGGGAGATTGTGCAAGAGACAAAAGGGCCACAGCGTAGCTATTTGGTAGTTGTTTCGAAGCAAGTTCTGGGGGAATGCGTCAGAGACTTGTACAGAGGCTTTGGCAAATGGATATGTGTGAAAATAGGGGGACCCCAAAATTGTGGTTTTGCTTTTGGCGTCCGGCAAGGTGGGTGTTGTGCTTTCTACATTGAAAGAGCTTGCCTGGCCGAGGATTGAGCCCCTTGGGCCCCCTCTCAGAGATACTCAGCGCCGCGCGAGCCCCAGCTCGGTCAGAAGATGCAATCATTGATTTATTTGTGCTTGGGGTCTGAAAGTGTTGCCAACCGTGCCAACTTCATGATGATGGTGACCGTAGCTTGTTTCGGTTGTTTGATTCAAGCTCATGTTTGCTCTTTGACCCACAAAAAGCTACGTATTTAATCCTGCCGTCATTTCCCAAGTCAAAAGGTGAAACCTACGAGCGGCCAAGTTGTGTTGTTTGTCGCACTGAGAATCGACAGCTATCAGAAAAAAGTCCGAGTTGCTGTGTGCCATGCAATCAGTCAACTCAGGCAGTCGCCACCAAGGAGACGTGCGAAGCTTAGTGCATGAGTCGATTTCGAGCTTTTACCCTTTGGGTTGGTTGAAGTTGAAGGGAAATCAAGGGGAAGCCAGCCATTTAGAGAAATGGTTCCCCACACATACCCTAGTGGCAAGGCCTTTGGCAAGGGCTTGCGGCTCAAAGCGTGCAAAACCAAACTCTCGACGACCCAATGTCCTGTAGCTTTGAACCACCAAAGTGTGCGAATAGCCTCGTGACCGGGAGGGGCTGGTTGTTTCAACAAATCTTAGCCCAACCCCGATAGGAACGGTTGCCTAGTTGTGTCTTTGTGCAACTGTGTCTTGACTCTTGACTTAACCCTCAAAGACTAGCTCACCCCAGAACCCTCATTTTCGGGTATGATCTGAAGGGTGCAATTCGTGTTTGTGTTTAATGACAATATATTACTTTGAAGCAATAATAGTAACAATACATTGGGCATTAAAACGCCCGACCCAACGTGGGTTTTGTGTGGGACTCATGTTGCTTTTGCTAACCCAATCACTGCAATTGATTCATCAAACGCAAAACAGGTGCGTCCTTTTTGAGCGAACCCCAGAAAGGTGGTTTTCTTTTTCGTGTCCCTTTCAAACCAGCCAAAAAAGGGGTTCCCGAACAACCAGACAGCCCCAACTCTTGCTTTTGTTATTCAACACCTACTGTGTTTTCTAAACCCCAAGCTAATTATTGCGTTTAGCACATTAAGAAAACAGACAGAAATTGAGGCGCGCCCAGTAAAATGGAGCCTTTAGTAATCCATAAAGGAAACGGCCGTGGCCTAATCTTCGATTCCTCGCAGGGCCTTGCAGCCGGGCCGGAGACCTCACACCCTGAGCCGAGCGGCGAGAAGTCCCTCTGGGCCCCGCTTGCGAGGCCCTGTGCCACTGTGGTTGGGACCGTTTCCTGATGACATCTCCATGTTTCCCAGAGGTCCGCTGGACACCACAAGAAACCGGAGAGCAACACAACACCAAAGACGGAGTAAGACTTCACACTTCAACCACGAAAATCGGGGACGAGCTCCAAAATGCGCTGAACATCGCGAGTGCAGGCGTGCATGCGCCCTTGACCTGGTCCAAGACTACAAGCCTGTGCCCTGGGTTTCGGATTCATAGCTCACTCCCTGAGTGTTTTTTTTCAGGAAGTGGCTAGTCCTCCTTGCTTCTAACCCACTTAGGGGGGCCTAGTGGGCTCAAATTGGGTTATAAGTAGGGTTAGTAGCCACTTACTAAGCAGCTGGACGCCTTAAATCCGGTGGGCCGCTGCCGCGCTCAAGGTCATAAGCCCTTAGCCGACGTCTTGAAGGAAGCCAAAGCGACCATGGTCGGCAGCCAAGTCTTCTTTTGAAACTGCTCTGACCAGTTTGGCCCTGTGCCGTCCGTTTCCTTCATGCCCTTTTGCCCTTTCACCCCCTTTTCCCTGCAAAAGCTTACTTTTTGCAGTCTTTTGTGGGGAACTTGTTTGGCCAAGTGTCGCATTTGCCATGCCTGCTAGACTTTCAAACCAGGAGGCAACGTTTGTTTTTGCTAGGAGTGCCTTGCAGCTTCGCAAGGGCTCCAAGGCTGGTTGGTTGATTGGTTGGTTGGTTGGTTGGTTGGTTGGTTGGGTTGGCGGGTTGTTTGGCAGAGTGGCGGGTGGCTCAACATCACTAGCATCACCGGGCTCAGTCTCCCCCTGATCTGTTGCCACCGCAAGACTGGCGTGAGCCCCATGCTGCGTTGCAGGGCTGGTTTCAAGCCGCTTAAGTTCTTGCGCGGTGTTTTTTTTTTATTATATTGTATTGGGGGCGGTGTTATTTGTATTTTTTGCTGGTTTGCGCCTAATTTTGGCGCGTACCAGCAAAAAGACAAACAACACCCCCTCCAGCAACAGTAAGCGCAGCTGAAACAAGCCCCAAAGCCTGACACAAGCCAGCCCGAAGCCACCCCCAAGTTTACCCAAGTTCAACCATTTATAGCTGCTAAGCTCAAAAAACGAGTAAAACGGTAATCAAAGACTGGACCCTGCAATCAGCTATTGGAGGCTGCGCCGCAATCACGTACAGCAGAACCCGGCAATCACGTACAGGTGAGTTAAGGATTGGTTTGGAGTTGGTTTGGGGTTGGTTTAGGGTTGGGTTGCAGGATTGGTGTAGGGTTGGTTTAGGGCTGGTTTAGGGTTGGTTTAGGGCTGGTTCAGGGTTGGTCTAGGGTTGGTTTGGGATTGGTTTGTGCGTGGTTTAGGGTTGGTTTAGGATTGGTTTGGGGTGGGTTTAGGGCTGGCTTGGGGTTGGTTAGGGTGGGTTCAGGGCTGGTTTGGGTTGGTTTGGGCTTGGTTTAGGCTTGGTGTAGGGTGGTTTAGGGTTGGTTTAGGTTTGGTTTAGGGTTGGTTTAGGGCTGGTTTAGGGTTGGGTTGGGGTCGGTGTATAGGGTTGGTTCAGGGCTGGTTTAGGGTTGGATTAGGGTTGGTTTAGGGTTGGTTTAGGCTTGGTTCAGGCTTGGCTTAGGGTTGGTTTAGGATTGGTTTAGGGTTGGTTTGGGATTGGTTTCCGGCTTGGTTTAGGGTTGGTTTAGGGTTGGTTTGGGGTTGGTTCCGGCTTGGTTCAGGGATGGTTCAGTGTTGGTTTACGATTGGTTTAGGGTGGGTTCAGGGTTGGTTTAGGGTTGGGTTGAGTTTGGATTAGGGTTTGTTTGGGGCGGTTTAGGATTGGTTCCGGCTTGGTTTAGGTTTTGTTTTTTGTTGGTTTAGGGTTGGGTGGAGTTTGGTTTAGGGTTGGTGTTCGGTTGGGGTCGGTGTAGGATTGGTATAGGGTTGGCTAAGGGCTGGTTTCGGGTTGGTTGAGGGCTGGGTTGGGGTTGGTCTAGGGCAAGGTTTGGGATTGGTTTGTGCGTGGTTAGGGTTGGTTTAGGGTTGGTTTAGGGCTGGTTTAGGGTTGGTTTAGGGTTGGTTTAGGATTGGCTCAGGGTTGGTTTAGGGTTGGATTAGGGTTGGTTTAGGGTTGGTTTGGGATTGGTTTCCGGCGTTGGTTTAGGGTTGGTTTGGAATTGGTTCCGGCTTGGTTTAGGGTTAGTTTAGGGTTGGTTTAGGGTTGGGTTGAGTTTGGATTAGGGTTTGTTTGGGGCTGGTTTGGGGTCGGTTAAGCTAAGTTAACTCGACCAAAGCAAATTCGACCAAACCCGACCAAATTTGACCAGACTCAGCCTAGAGAATATGACTGGACAATTTCAGGAATTTTCCGGTTGAATTCAGTCTGGCGATGGACCGCCCAATCCGACCAACTTGGACCACTGCGCTCGACCAAAGTCGACCAAACTCAACTCAAAGTCAACTAAAATAGACAGAGCTCGACACCATGCGACCAAATTCGACCAGATTCAACCAAACTCGACCACACCCGAAACTCGAGCAAACCCGACCAAATTTGACCAAATCCAGCCTAGAGAATATGACTGACAAACATTTCAAGAATTTTCCGGTTGAATTCAGTCTGGCGATGGACTGCCCAATCCGACCAACTTGGACCACTGCGCTCGACCAAAGTCGACCAAGCTCAATTCGAAGTGAATTAAAAAATGACAGCGCTGGACCCCGTGCGACCAAATTCGACCAACATCGACAAAACCCGACCAAACTCGACCAAACCAAACTGGACCAAACCGGAAAATTTCAAGAATTTTCCGGCTGAATTCAGTCTGGCGATTGACTGCCCAATCCGACAAACTTGGACCAATGCGCTCGACCAAAGTCGACCAAACTCAACTCGAAGTCAAGTAAAGTTGACAGCGCTCGACCCCATGCGACCAAATTCGACCAAAATCGACCGAAATCGACCAAACTCGACCAAACTTGAACAAATGCGACCACTGCGCTCGACCAAAGTCGACCAAACTCAAAGTCAACTAACATCAAATTCAACCCACTTCGATTCCATGGGCGGGTTTTGGGATGCGATTGGCGGATTCAGCAATGCGCGATTGGCGGGATGGCAGTCTGTGATTGGCGGGACGGGACAGTCTGCGATTGACAGGCTCCGCGTATCAATTGGCGGGTTGCCCGTAGAGCTAGTCATTTGCCGACTAAGCTAGTCAGGGTGTGGTGTGCTTCCTCAAAACTGGTCGCTAAGACGTTCATTCATAGCTCCCTGAGCCAGCCTGAGTCCATGCCCCTCCTGTCCGCTCTTTTGGCATTGCGCCGCATTTCCTGAGGCGCTGGACGATGAAAGGGACTTCTGCCTGACTGTGCATAAAACTTTTTTCAGCCTCGCAAACGCAGCTGGCCAGCAGGATCCCGGTTGGGCAATGCTCACTTCAACATACCTTCGTTCCTCTTCAAGGTCAGAGCTTCACTTCAAGCAGACTCTCCATTGTTGTCTACGTATAATTAGCAATCCTATATCCTTTGCGGATTCCTAGCTTCCAAGCATGTCCAATGCTTTTGCACACCACTTGTAGTCATGGCTGTTGAGTGTAATCAGCATCCATTGCCCCGCTGCCAAAGTGCGCCGGCATTGGCGAAGGTGTTGCAGGCTGGGAGGACGGAGTTTACGATGACACAGCTCGCCTGGGACAAGCCGGCCAGCAGCATGTTCATGGCGTTCGAACATGTCTCCAGAGAAGATTGCAGAGAACCCCTGTCAACTTACAAGCAGAAGGCTCCATGTCATCATTTCCATTTGAGGCGCACGGTATTATGCGGTGATATGTGGTGTGGTACGGTTGTCGGAAGCCCTCATACCCAGTATGTTGGGCCAACGATCTACGCTTGTAGAGCGAGAAGGATGGTTGTTTTTTCCCGACATGCCCGAAATTTCATTGGCCCCAAGCCTGGCTACTCGGAGGTTGACCCAACATCAAGTGTGCGCCCCTTGTTCTCCTGGCATCCCAGTTCACAGTCTGGGCAACTATTTCTTAGGAGCATTCAAGAGTGGTGCAGGCGCCCAGTGCAAAGGTTGCACAGCCCCAAAACCTGGCGGACAAGGATGTTGCACCAGTCGCAAGAGCACCACAAGAGCTCATACCGTGGCCACGCCTCTTGAGCGGACAGGCGCTTCTGCCCAGCGCCAGTAGCATAATGAGGACGCCCAACATGTTGCCTGACGCTACGAATACTCATAGTGCCGAACAAACGCATGGCTGCGGCTCAGACAATGCAATGACTAAGTAAAATGAACTTCTCGAAGCAGATGCAAGCAAGATGCGGACTTAATCAGCCAAGCGCCATGTCAAGCACTGGTTTATGAGACATGCTGCTGCAACCTTGCTTCAGCAGGTATGAGCACAAACGCCAAAAATGGATGTTTCACAGTTGAGTGATGAACACATCATTTCGGGTTGTTAGGACCAATTGTGTTCCGTTTGCGGGTGGGTTGTTTGTAAACTTAAAATCTCCTTGTGTGTTGAAAAGCGCTTCTTGCGTTGTGGGTTTCTATCAGCGCCAGCGCAGTACCTCTTAGGATACCTCTGTCAGCAACAGTGATAGATGTTGCCAAACGACCTGTCAACAGTTTCGACCCCAGATGAATCGATTGATCAAACCGGTCGGATTAATAGGCGGGTGTTCCCTCCAAAAATTATCCGGATCCCTTCTTAATGTGACACCCCCCCCCACTTTAGCTATATCTTTAATGTCTTTTTGTTGCGGGCTGGAAGCTAAGGGGGCCACTGCACCGGGTTTCAGAGATCCTTATAATTTCCCATCCACGGATTGCACCATGTCAGGGAAAACCCGCTTGAACGCCGGTCTACAGTGTTTTGCTCCCAACCAGGGAAGTGGAAGAAGCCTTGTTATGATTAATTAATCCTTGTAGACTCGGAAAGCCTTAGATGTGTGATTTCTTCATCTTGACTTGACAGCCAATCTGCGGCAACCAGAGCATGAGTTGGGGGCAGAATTCCAGTAGCGACCGCTGCAGGAACAGAAGGAAGATGCTGAGAACGTTGGGGGCCATATGTTGCAACAGGGAATCATTGCCGCCCTTTGAATGGGACGCAAAAGCTCTCATTCACATGTGGAACAACCGCTTGGATCAAGGCGTACGCCTTAATGTTTGGCAGTTGGCCCATGTGGTACTTCATCAAGATTCAACTTGCCATGCCGGTGCATGCCTAGGACTGGTTCCAGGAGCTGATGCTGTTTTGCTGTGGCCTAGGCCGAAGATAGCTGCCATGTCCAGTTCTCAAGCTTTGAGCCAGACATTTATGCCCACATTCCACGATGTACCCGAATATGTTGCTGTTTGCAAAGCGACCCTGAGGCAGCGTTTCACATCTCAAATTGCAAATGGTGCCAATGTGGCAAAAAAGAATCGTTTCGCACTCACGCTGGGTCATGCTTTTCCTAGCACG